ACCTTGCTTATCTGTTTGGATAATTTGCACATTCGGATCGAAATTACTGTTAATTAATATCATCACCCCTTTTGAGTTTCTTTGCCCATGGGAGAAGTATATTTCTCTCTCCCCCCCCCCCCCCCCCCCCCCCCCCCCCCCCCCATTCCTTTTTCCACGCAACTTCATCTAGAATTGTTGTAGTCCTCTGTAGCTCAATTGGTAGAGCATGGCGCTTGTAACGCCAGGGTAGTGGGTTCGATCCCTGGGACCACCCATACGTAAAGATGTATGCACACAAGACTGTAAGTCGCTAAATGGCATATTATTATTTTTAATGAGATTCCTGTAAACAATAGATATTATATTCCTTCTCTTTGAGTCATGTAAATATTGTTCTTCTTTTGTTATTATCTGCTAAGCCATTACAATTATAACTGGCTATACTTATTTCACCATATACCATAATGAGATACAAGTTTCAAATCTATTTATCATTATATATGTTTGTAAATTTACCAATAAAAAATACCATAGTGATTGAGTGTCTATATAGCTGTACCATGATATTTGCATTGCTACTAAGTAACCCTCCAATTGTTCTCCACTAATTCCCCCACTAAAGCCCCTCCCCATCTCAAGTTGGGCCGTCATCCCAGTGATCGGCATACCACCCCCGTCCCTCCGGATCCCTAGGGCCCCGAGAGGCCAGGACCCATCCATCGAAAACAGCACACAGTGCCACCCACAAAACAGAAGCAGGTCAACCGCCAAAAGCATTTCCAATGCTCTCACCTCAATATATATATATATAGCTATTTAAAAATATATATCTATTCAAATATCTTATTTTCCATCATTATCAATTAATATGCGTAATAATGTTGGCAGTTCATGCGTAGGATTTTAACCTATAACCCGGATTGCCATTGTATTACATTACATTTTTGACAAGCAATTATTATTTTAGCAAACAATTATTGTGGTTCATCCTATATTCTCCCTAACATCCTTACCCCCTTGCAACAGATGTGGGATAAACACACACGCACATACTCTAACACACTCAACCCCTTTCCTCCACAATCAACCATAAAATCAGATGCTTAACGGTTGTTACATCCCAGAGCCCAACTCAAGAAAGGACCTGATTTACGAATGCATATACAGTTACAGCTGTTTGAGAAAGCATGCAAGATTGAGCAAAAATTGACAACAATGTGAGATTTGATTAATCTATTTAATCTATGTCAAGTCCTAGGTGATGGAGATCAGATCCACCCTCTTCACCTGAGACACAAACACTCTGGTCCCCCGTTGTAACCATTTTTCCCAAGCATCTCCGTGCAGTCAGACCTTTTATTATTTTGTGCCACCTGGGCCACAATGATAAGCCCCCTCTCTGATTGTCAGAGTGTGACCCCCTCCCCATAGGTTACTGCAGCCAGTGTTGCCAGCACTGCCACTACCTGGGTGGGGGTACCCCACCGGAATCCCCACCGGCTAGGTACAAGGTCATCAAGGTTCTCATTAGCAGCTTTGAGAATTTCCTTGTATATTATGCTCTCCCATCAGGGGGCTCTGGCTTTGTAGGACCAACCCTGCCAGGCAGGCTCAGAATCTTGAGGGGGCGGTGCTGCTCAAGTAGGTCTCTGACTGCATTTATTTTTCTGTTTTGGCTGCATATAGGCAACTCACAGCAGGTCCATAAAACAGATGGGGACTTCTCTATGGGTCGCTCAGGTGGGTGTCTAGGATATAGGGTTGGGGATCGTTCCATCATAATAGGACAATAAAAAAATATATTAGATTAGATTAGATATTTTACAATGTATATCCCTCATCTGCACAAAATTGAAAGCTCTCTCTCACAACCCCTGCTCACAGACACACGTTGGTTCTGGGATATGCAACCATTTCCTTTCTCACTCACTTAACGCCACACTTATTCAAACACAAAAACGCACACCACACCTTCCATCACAATTCATCCACACATACCCACATACTGTGCCTTCTATGTCTTCTGTTTGCTATGTTTTTATCTCCACTATGTTGATTGAGTACTTGTGTTCTAATTTAGTTGTATTTGAAGATGTATTATTTTGCTTGTTATCTTTTCTTGTAATACCGTCTTATCCCTTTATAAAATACTATACATACTATAAATGTGCTTTATTATTACAATCCCTACCATGGCTAGTATTGGGTGTTGTATTATTCGACTCCTCTATTAGAACTTTCAGAATAGCCACGGAGTAGTCTTTGTGTCGCGGAACATTTGGTTGTCAATATACAGTTTATCGACAACAAGAGCAACACGCTTCCCTTTTAATCTATTTTCCTTGAAGATTGGGTACAGAACTTTTTTTTTTTTTTTTTTTTTTTTTTTTTTTTTTTTTTTTTTTCGGGGGGATGGATCAGCTTAATATTGCAGATAGATTGTATCTTCTATCAATGTAATTGTCTGCATCACTTCCAATCCCCCATGTTTTTTTTATTTTTTATATATATATATTCCCCTTTATTACTTTTCAACCCCACCATCCTTTCCCTACTTGGAGTAAATTAGTGAACAACAACGCCCAGGCCTCTACTTCCGGTCTATACTTACTATCTACACCTTATGGACAGAGTTAATTTTACAATAATTCTATATCTATATATATATATATATACATACATACACATACACACACACATACATATATATATATATATATACATACATATATATATACATATATATATATATATATATACATACATACACATACATATCTATTTATTTTTTTGCTCCTGAACTTCTTCTACTCTCAACCTCTCCGATCATTTTCATGATGTCCATCCGGTTTGCTTCTAAATGCCATATCTTTCTAACTGTGCTCTTTCCCAAAAGCTCCCAACATACAACCTATATACTTATTATGGACACAGTATGCTTACATTATTAGCTATCTTTGTTATTATTTGTTGTTATTTGTTATTAGTCCCATCCTTCAACTCTATTCAATACCTCCCATCTATCTCTTAACACCATCCATATAGGATTTCTATTTGCCATATATATTTCAACCATACTGTGATGTTTTACAAAAGTTCTGAACCTTTCTATTCTCATTGCTTCTACAGATTGTGAATTAAAAATAAACATTTTTGCTAAAAGTATTATTATATTATTGATTGATTGACTATGACTTTTCAGATCATGGGTACAGAACTTTGCGCCGTTCTGCAATCTCCCTCGGGAACTGATAATTCATGCCTATTTTTGTGCCAGCAAGTCTTTTACCTAGGCTTTTAACCATTACTTTATCCTTAAAAAAGGCACATTTGGCAACAATTGGACGCTCATATCTCTGTCCTCTTTGTCCGAAACGGTGTACACGTTCGAGTTGGATTTTGTCGACAGCCTCGAGTGGAATTTGAAGCGCTGTAAGAAAGAAGTCCTTCACTATTTTTTCTGTAATCTCTCTCTTTTTTTCTGGATACCCGTAAGTACTAGATTTTCTCTCATCGATCTAGTTTGTATGTCTAGTAAGGCTTCTCTCAGAAAGTTGTTCTCCTTTTTAAGTTCCTTAACGTCCGTTTCCATCCTAGTGACTGTCCCTTTTTGTTTTTTTGTATCGCTCTCCATTATCGCAGCTTTTCCGTCACTCATTTCAAGACTCGCCTTCAACTCTTTTACATCATTAATGACCAACTCTAGTATGCCCAGTTTGTCATTTATCGACTTCAACAGGTCGCTTTCCACACTTACCAGTCCCAGTGGTGAAAAGCATAAATCATCTGTATCAGTCGAGGAGTCGCGTTTTCTCTTGGAGATTGATTCTCCTCGTTTATCTTCCGTCATGTTTGGGTGTTGTAATATTTGTAGATACATTTATCTAGCCTTATAATTTGATTTGTGTTATTAACCAGATTGAATGTTATTACCATCGATTATATGAAATGTTAATATTTAGTCTAACTTACTGATATTGAATATTATGTTTTTATCTTGAGGTGATTTGTACCGCTGTGTATTCAATACGCCATCTTGTATACCTGCCCTTTTATTCCCAACAAGCCCATTTAGTGGAAACATACCACTGGTGGGAAAATGCGCATGTTTTCTTTATGCGGATTATGGAATATTCGCATGAAAATCTGTCGCCAATTGGATGGAAAACCTAGCTAGTAATACAAATATTTTTTTCAGAATATTGACCAAAAAATCTATCTTAAGGGGGTTAGCCATCAGGGTTGACAAGCCACTGACGGAGTTGACAACAGATACTCAAAACAGACATATTTTTGCCTCAACATTTGTAAAATATGGAAACTGATTCATTTGAAAATCCCCAATAAAAACATATCCCTTCTATCAGATCTTTCAACACTCTGACGGAGTTGAGTTGACGTTAGACAAAATCTGACGGATTTGGTGTTTTACAGAATTTCTCTTCTTCATTCAAGTGGTATATACACAGTAGGAATTTCGTTTTTCCTCAGATGCTTTATGACTCCTAATTAAATATAACATATTTGAACCAAAATTCATATTATATCTTAATCTATTCAGGCAGATGGAGTTTGCTCCGGACAACGGCATTTCCAAGCATGGAAATCTATAATATTGAAAGTATTAAAAACAATTCTAAAACAAAAACCTTTCCCTTATAAAATTCCCGTAAATGTACATTTTAAGCTCAAATAATGGAACAAAATAAAAAACATTTAACTATAAAAAGAAAGTTACCCTGCCAGACAAGGATTGTCCTGACTTTCAAGAATCCCTGAGCTAATTCTCTGCTATTCTACACATTTCGCCACGAGGCTAAGAGAAAATGTTGTAGATTTAAAGCTAATTTTATGATGTGTTCATATGCTATTTGGGGGGCCCAACCTCCGAGGGGGCCCACGAGCTTTGGGGTCCCCCCCCTTGCAGGGGCTGCGGGGGTGTGCGCTACGCAAGTGCCAGTATCAGATTGTGTTACCTCATTAGGATTCTGTGCAGCATCTAGCAGGGCTTTGACCTGGCCCAGAGCTCTTTTCCTCTCAGACAGCCCGTCAGAGGCCTGCGCCGGGTCCGTGTTGTCTGCCGGGAACTCTGACCCCTGCGACAGGAGGTCATCGCTGCGGTCGTCCAGACGGTCGTCCGTGTTGGTGCTGACCACATCCGGCGTGCCGCTGTGGGAGTGGTCAGTGGTGTGACCCTCCTCGCCATCTGACACAGAGAGGTTCTCCGAGCTGAAGGTGGACACCGACTGGCACTTGGTGATGCTGGTCGGACGTCTGGGGAGAAGAGGGAGGTAAAAGAAGAGAGGAATCCACTTTTGTTTCAGTTTTGATTAATTCGATTCATATTTAATAGTCATCATACTGCTTGTCACTTGCAGATTCACTCATACTAGCAACACAAAACATCTCTGATTGGAATTATAAATGCCATTTTCATAATGTTTTCAAACCCTGTGACTCCTAAAATCATACCACAGAACCATTTAGTGTAGATATCAAAGATAAGATAAAGGTAAATTAGTGGCAGTTTTTTGGGTAATGGAGTACAGAAACATACCGTCTCCATGGCAACTCCACTTCGCTGTCAACCTCCCCCTCCTCCTCCTCTGAAGAAACGCCACGCCTCTGTGGACACAGCCCAGAGAACAGAGGGAGCTAGCTAAACACATTCACAGAGATGAAAGGAGAGAGTACATACTGAACATGACTAGCTTTTCATTGGGACTGTACCTGTTTGCGTGTGATGGCTGCCCTGTACAGGATAGCTGAGGGGGTGAGGTGCCCTGAAGCCACCCGGGGTAACCTCACACCACTCACTCCCTCCTCCTTATCGTCCCCATCATGGGGAAGGCGTGGGGCACGCAGTACAGACCCCCTCCCGGCGGCCGCTCCTCTCCCACATGGCGAGTCTGGGCTGCTAGAGAAGGGGAACGAGGCTGCGTCCTCACTGGGCGTGTCGCTGCGCGGGGGCGTCTCCGTGAGGTCATCCAGACCCGCCGTGCCGTGCTCGGATCCCCCAAGGCCCGCGGAGGCACTCAGGCTGCCACCCTTCTCCAGTCCCCCGACGGTGGTCTCTCCTTTCCCCTGATCCTCAGCCGCCAGCGTGGTGCATATGAGGTCTGGGCTGGAGGAGGACAGCTGCCTCTGCTGCTGCTCGTGGCCCAGGGCCTGCAAGGCTGCGCTGGGGTCCAGGAGCTGCTTGGAGGGGTCCGTGCTGAAGCTGTTGGCCTGAGCAGGGTTGTCCCCACCAGGGGAGGGTTGAGTGGCCTTCAGGCCAGCCAGGTACCCGCTGCTGCCCTTGCCAGGCTTGCGGTGGCGGGTCTTGACCCTCCGTGAGCGGCTAGGAGACGTGGAGCCCCTGTTGGGGCAGGAGGGGATGGTGACCTGCATCACGGAGGAATCCATCTTGGGAATGATCACCTCCGACTTGAGGATGTCTGGCCTGTGAGAACAGGATAGAATAGGAAACAATGGTCAGATACATTGTGATATAATCTGATTACACATTTATTTAAAGTGCTTTCAATTGGGTTACATGAGTAAGTTAATTCTGCATGGGGTTCACATTAGAACTACCCTTGCCTCCTATGCTTTTGGCGCTCGGAATTAACTCACCTCTTTCCAGAGGGCAATTTCTGTGGGACGTTTCTCTTCTTGATGAGTTTGTCCATGGAGTTGGAGGAGCTAGTCTGTCTGGAGCTGTGGTGCTTGAACAGTCCTGGAAACTTCTTATCTAAAGACTGCTCTCTCCTAGGAACACATCAATATGATTAAAGTTGATTGCATGCGAAATCGAGAAACTAGTCTGTTCTACATATTCTACTTCTATGAATTTTTTTTTTTTTTTTGTATCCTCTATAACCCCAATTACCAAAGACTTATTAGCAACTTATTTTCAAACACTGCATGTTCAGTATGTCTATATACCATACTAGCTGATATGATTGATATGCTAAATTAGAATTTGCTGAACAACTCCACATGCATTGAAGTGCTTTGACTGGCGGATCCACCTACTTCTGCAGCTCTTTGTCTTTGAGCTCCAGCTGCAGCATGACAGCATTGAGCTCCATGTAGAGGTTGTTGGCCCTCTCCAGCTTCCTCTCATAGTGCTCACGGATGTCCAGAGCGTGCCTGAATAAAAAACAGTGCACAAGAAGTGACATCATGTTTACGCATGAAAGGATCCAAATGCTGTTTAACAGAAATGCGCCCTGAGCCTATTTTCTTAATTTTTTCCCCACATCTCTTTCTTTCTTTTTTATATCGCCCAAAGGTAGATAAAGGAAGGGCAAAGGAACTGGAGCCCTTTGATGTTAGTGAAACTGCCTCTCTACATGACCCTGGACTGCTGTACTGTAGTTGACCAGCTCATAACAAGGCACTGGTGGCTTTCTGTTATACTATCCTGGCATTGCATCACTTCCAGCAGGTAAAAGAGAAGAGTTACTCTGTCTGTCAGAGTGTTGTGGTACAGACCTGAGCTCCTCTCTGCGTCGGTTGATCAGTTCCTCGTCCAGTCGGTGCAGACAGGTCCCATCAGACTTAATCTTTTCAAAGTGCTGCTTCACCTCCTCCCGCCACTCAGCCTGCTCAACACACACACACATACACACACACTTAGACACTGTGTGTGTGACTGTGCACTTCTGTGAATGTGTTTGTTTGTGTATAAGGTCATTAGGTTGTGTGTGTGTGACATAGTGTACAGTAGGCTACCTGAGACTTGAAGTATGTCTCCTGTGGGGTGGAGAGTACATCAGCTGAGGCTATATCCAGATGGAGGAGGATCTGACGGAAAGAGGGTCTATTTCTGGGTTTACAGTTCCTGCAAAGCCAAGGAGCCAGAGACAAGTTTGGTATATCTACTGTATAATCAATATGGATCTACGTGGGCCAAGTCTACCTAGGAAAGATTTAAAAGGAAAGAATTTCCCTCTATCTATTTCCACTACCCCCTCTCTCCTCTTTTCTGCCATCCCTCTCTTTCTCCCCCTCCTTCCCTCCCTTCCACCATCCCTCCCTCCATCTCCACTCACCAGCACTGCCTCAGGAGGATTTTGAATCCATCGGGGCAGCTCTCAGGGATAGGGAGGTTCAGGCTGTTGTTGCCCACCCCCCAGATGATGGCGGAGGAGTCCACATCTTTATAGGGGACCTCCCCGGTCAGCATCTCCCACAACACCACCCCAAACGACCTGCAGTTCACAACACTCCTTATATTAGTGATCACTGATCAGAGATGGGATTGCATTGGTCCTCTTTTCTAAGGTCAAGAAGTTGAATTCCTTCACTTACCAGATGTCCACCTTCTCTGATACGGGTTCATTCCGAATGACCTCTGGGGCCATCCAGGCCACCGTACCAGCGAAAGACATCTTCATGCTCTTATCAATGAGCTCCTTGGAGGTGCCAAAGTCAGAGATCTTCACCAGGTCATCATGGGTAATCAGCATACTGCCATGGATAGAGAGAAAAACACTATTATTTTAGTTGTTCTTAAGCCAGAAAAGCAATTTTTTAAGAAAGAGCTAATTTATTTACTTTGAGGACTTCTGGTCTTTAGGCGGATGGTTTTGATAATATCCAGCACAGTTACTCACTTGGGGGACTTGAGGTCTCTGTGGATGATCTTGTGGAGGTGTAGGTAGTTCATGCCCCCGGCAATGCCCATGGTCCAATCGATAAGTAGGGAGGGGGTGATGTTCCTGCCCGCCCTCAGTACCTCGTACAGCTGGCCCTGGGCACAGTACTCCATCAGGATACAATAGCAGGGAGCCTGGGTGCAGATACCCCTGGGGGAGGGAGGGAGGAGGCAGAGGGACAAGTATAAAGAAGAGCAAAATGGAAAAAGTGAGTGTCTGATGATGTCATAGTCTTGGTGTGCTAGGTACTGCTGATATAGGCTACAATAGCTCGGACAGTTGATATGTTCATATAAATCTCTACTGTTTTCTTGGGGTCAGGGAGTTTTTCTCACTTGAAGGTGATTATGTTGGGGTGCTTGAGTTTGCGTAGGTGCTTGATCTCCGTCTCCTTGATGTCCCGGACTTTCTTGACAGCCACGTCCTCTCCATGGAACTTTCCCAAGAAGACGGCACCCTGGGCCCCGCTGCCCACCCACTGCAGGTCTGAGATCTCTTCAAACGGAACCTCCCAGGATTCTAAGAACACAACATCAACACAAGGAAACAGTCAGTCACAGGCCGTGGGCGGCAGATGGAGCGGACTCCAGTCCAGTCAGCAAACCAGCTGAAATGTATCATATAAACGGCATCATCTGTTGTATTTTAGTCTACAGATGTGAGGCATTCCTGAGGAAAAAAGTACTTTACATTGACACATTAGTAGGTGTTTTCCCCCTGTGGTACCATCATAGCTCACAATTGGATCAATATGTTCAGTGTACAGTACGATTGCAGTTGGGGAGAGATGTAGAGGCAAACAGCTGCACATCTCTCCAAATCTAATCTCTCCTCCCTCCATTATCCGTCATGAGAGTACATTTGATAGATGAATGACTGAGAGTTTGGTCACTGTGAGGAAAGAGAAGCCAGTAGGCGGAGAAACAAGCAGATGAATTCTTCATGAGAAGTGTTGTCGTCTCCAGGGACCTGCTGCTGTAGAGGCAGCTGCTCGTGTCGTCTCGCTAACCAGCTGTAAATCTGCTAACCAGCTGTAAATCTAGCGCACAGGTAACATCAGCAGCATTGTAGGGAGTGTGTAAAGAGAGAATGGGGCATGATGGCAGGAGTGAGAGATAAACAGAGAGGGAAATGTAAACCATTTTAGTGAAGTACCTCCATAATGAAATGAAGTCAAGTTGAACCTTTATATATAATGCATCACCATGGTTACAGATTTACCTCAACATCTTGACAGTGAATGACTAACATTTCAAGTGACAAAAGATTTGCTGTCGTACATTACATATCCTACGCTGAGTGAAATATCCTGAAGTGTCTCTCATGTATTTCTGTATTGGTTAAGTATTCAGTATCCTAAAAGTATACAAATGTCTTTGTTAAACACAGAAGACCTTGTGCAAATAGTGAAGTGACATAGAATTGGCTGTTATACTCACTCCACGCACCTTCCTGGTTATGCTTGTGTTCGGTGGAGTAGGCTTTCCCGATCATGGTCCAGACGGGTTTCAGGCAGCCAAACAGCCCCTCCAGGAACCCTCCACTTCCTTGCTGCAGCCGGATGTTGTCTGATTGGCTGCGGATGGCCCCAGCCTCTGAGCTAAGCCCCGCCTCCGCCCCGCCCCCACACTGGCAGGCTTCATACTCGTGCAACTTCAGCACGCTGTTGTCAAAGTGGGCCGGGGGCCCGTCGCTAGGAGTCGGGCTGCTGCCACAGGTGTGGGGGCAACCCTCACCTCCACCTGGCACAACCGGTGTCCCACCTGTGTCGATGGACAGCACGTTGCGGAGGACACACTGGGTGGGGGTCAGGTCGGTCTCTGGGGTGCAGGCGGGGGTGTCTGTATCCAGCCTGCGGAAGGTAGGTTCTGATATGGGGGTGCTGAAGCCTGAGAGGGAGGGGGAGGGGGCGTGGGGCTCATGGAGGCAGATCCCACTCATCAGGGGGTCCCACAACACAGTAACCAAGGATGGACGGGAGTAGAGAGGGAGAAGGGGAGGCCTGGATGGAGTAACACAAAGATGAAGAGGAGAGGAAAAATGCAATGAGTCATTATAAATCAGTATAATTCATTGATGCCTAAACTTTTGGCTGTTTCAGAGCTGTCCATTGCTGAAATAGACCTGTATCTTGACTTCTCATTCTAAAACAGTGTGTGATGTGTGTTTGGCCTTGTCAGTATGGTACATAGTTGTTCTAGTTGAAGTAAATTATACATTATTGTTATCAAGTCAACTACATAGGTGTTGTTCACCTATGCAGAAAGACTGTCTGTAACAGACGAAACATCAAACAGATGGGCCTTAATTTGCAGGAGAGGAGAGGAGAGGGAGATACATTTATTTTTACTACATGGAATTAAGAAATCTTACTCTGCCTTTCTTAAAAAAAAAACTCCTGTGAGAGCAAGTCAACCATTACATACAGTTTCTCCTCAATAAAGACAAAAGCCTCAATTATTCAGTAGACCACATCTTAATATTTATGAATTGGATTAAGGCAGTCAAACAGTAGCCTCTCAAGCCGCCCGATCTTGCGAGCTTACATGAATGTTCACTACAGTGGTAATCAGTCTGGTAATTACGAGGCTAGTCAAACAGGGCCAAATCACCTGGAATGGGGAATAGTTTTATGAATGAACCAAGGAGATAGCACTGACTACAGAATAGACCTGAGCTTTATCCCCAGGGTGATTCCCTTAGGAGTGTCACCACAGGTCAGGATAGCCTATATCTTGTTTTACTCTATGATGGATATGGATGGTGCACTGCTGGAATCAATAAGGATGAGTACTATGCTTCTTCTGGTACTGTATGTATTGCATGACACTTAGGTCCTGATACATGCTTGGCTTGACAGTTTTATTCTGCAAACTATACATATACAATACTGTATGTGTTTCAGTCCTGCCATTTTAGTTCTGCAGAATATGACGAAATTGCAACCCTAACCCATTGAGGTGCGTGTGTGTGTGTGTGTGTGTAAGAGAGAGAGCGGTAGAGAAAATTGCCACATGTACCCAATTCACATTATACGGCAGCCCAGTACTCTGTACTGCACCACCGCATGAGAACCGCGACGCTCGAGCGAATTGAGAGCGTGAAATGGGATAAATACTGGGCCTGTGGGAAAGAGCACTTTCGCACACAAGTGCAGCAAGATCAATCTTTAAATAACCAAGGATGTGATGATGACACTCACTAGCATCACAGTCGACGTGCGTGAATTAATGCCCGACCATACGAGTCCATGCCAAGTCTAACTGCAGCAGCGTCTGTAGATTTACTGAATGTTGGCACCAACACAAAATATTTCGTAATAGACTATCATGCTGCTGCAGAAATATGATTTCTCATATTAATCGACGATTATGCATTTTCTGCCAGATTGACCTGGTGGTAGCCTATGCTAATGTGAACAGAGTACACTGCATGAAGCAAAGGCAACGCACCTGAATATCTCATAATAATATTTGATCTAATATAATTGATAGTATGACATTCCATTACCTTTCTGCCTGGTTGCTGTCGCGTTGTCAAGTAAGGGGTGGGTTCAGCTTCCTACATGAAATAATGAAGAACAATCGTCGTTTTTTCCTCTCCGGACTGTCTGTCGTTTTATTGCATGAAAGTCGCTTCCCACGAGTTCACGTTATCAGAACGAATCCCAGCGGGCAAATTGTGTTATCAATAACCGGGGACCCATGGAACGTGAGGCGCGCGCTGGATTGGGGAGGGAGGGAGCTGTCTCCTTCCCAGTGCTGAATTGACGTCACAGAGTTGCAAACCCACAAGGGGGCGTGAATATCGCCCCCACAAAATGAAGCAGTTGTTTCCATCTTTTCAGCAAAGTTTAATGTCTTCGTGTCATGTCTGTTCCACTGACTACTTAGTTCTGTCTTTGGAAATCTCTAAGTTACAGACACAATTAATGGTTCAAATGCAGTATAGCTTATAATTTATCCACCAAGGTCTACACACCATGAATGCACTCATCAAAACGACATTTAAATTGCAAACAACCAGCACGTTTTTACAGTTTGCTGGGTTCATCCATGTCTTGTAACAAACAGCACCAATGTGAACTGTGAACAGAAGGCTGTAATGCTGCTATTTATCCGATAGATGACAGCAGCGTAAGCACCTCTGGGCTAAGTATGTCCGCGTTGTGGAAATTCTCCGTATTGTATGCCTTCTACAGCCTCCGTAGTTTATGAATCTAGGACAGCGGGATTTACTGACTGACCTGTTTGAAGCTGCTGTAAACCTAGCTACATTTTACAGGAAAAGAAAGGTAACACCATTACATGGATAACTGACTGAGTAGTTGTATTTTGTAATTATCAGTCTAGCTAGCAAGGCTAAAGTGTCAATCCAATCTAGCTAGCTAAGCTTGCTAGATAGCTAACGATAGCAAGTTAGCTAACGTTTGTGACTAGTTAGCTAATTTAGCTAGCATCTGCATGTGATAGTTGAATGTTGAGCTACTAAATGTGATGTATATTTCAGGAGGAATGTGGTTATGATGTGTTCCTTGGCTCTGTTCCCGCCTCCGCTGCCCGACTATGGAGAGACTTCTCAATACGACGAGTCCAACACAGATCCAGCATCAGTCTGGTTTGGGGTGGGTGGGCAGGCAGGCTATCATATCAATGCCAATCCTAGGACTAGTTACCAAAAACTGTCACTAATATTTAGATGTTTACTCTTATCACCTGATATTAGGAACGTGTGTGTATATGTGTGTATATGTGTGTATATGTGTGTATATGTGTGTATGTGTGTGTATGTGTGTGTATGTGTGTGTGTGTGTGTGTGTGTGTGTGTGTGTGTGTGTGTGTGTGTGTGTGTGTGTGTGTGTGTGTGTGTGTGTGTGTGTGTGTGTGTGTGTGTGTGTGAGAGAGAGAGAGAGAGAGATATGTGTCTAATCTATTTCCTTTTGCTGTAGGATTCACATGCTCTGAATCTGTACTTCCCGCGAGAGTCACTGAAGCCTCACAGCCGCCAAGAGAGCAGCAGCAAGGCAGCCTTTCGGGACCACTGTGAGACACTGTACACAAGGAGTGCAGGGGCTTGGTGTGTGTGACACACAGACACAGACAGACAGAGACACACACAGTCAATTCTAAAGCCCTGTTCACTAATCCCCACCTCTGTGTCTGTATGCTAGGCGTGATGCAGGCCTCTCTGGACTCCTAAATGAAATAGCTAACTCCAGTGCAGAGGGTGAGTGCCATGTTATCTTAATTATTTCACGGTCATGAAAGTATTACATGCAGACTGCGCTTCTGATAAGAAAGTGTTCAATAATGCAAGAGTTTGTGTAACTCTTTAATGTGTGTGTGTTCACAGTGCCCAAGTGGCTAGGGGTTAGCTCTAGCTGTGCCCTGGCTTTGCTACGGTGGGTCTCCTCCTTCCACGGCTCTCTGTTTCCTCATCTCACAGTAAGTGGCCTAGTCTCACAGTCAGTTCACATGGCTAACATAGAAATCTGCAGGCTTCTCTAACTGACTGTCATTGTCTGCCCTTTGTCTTCAGTTAAGCAGCGAGGACATGACCGCCGAGTTCTCCCAGGTGCTCGGCTGGTAAGACCACCTCTTTAGTTTCAGTTCCGAATTAGATCCTTAAATATACCCTCTCTTATGTCCTGTATGGCCTTGTCAAATATGAGTTATTTCTTAACTTTAGGGCAGTGGTCACCCACTGGTCGATCACGAACTTGCGCTCCTTTTTTTATTTGTATTAGTGCGCCGCTGTTTGCGGTGGGTACACTTGATTCAGAAGCCCTGTGCAGCGGGTAGTCAAAGGGTTCCCATTTTCAACCATTTCATTTGTCTGAAAATACAAACTCTGCCTACCCGGCGGACCGGGAGATCTCTGGCTAAATCGAGTGTGCCTGCTGCGCTGGCCAATCGGATAGCTCAAATCACCGTGCCTACAGTTTCCACAACCCTGGCCACAGCAAAATTTGATACTAGCCTTCCTGAGATACATAACATTTAAAACCTTGACCAGAGAAAGAGAGACTGTCAAAGAATACAGCAAAGAGCAGCTGTTTTTATGAGTGAGTTTATGTCTAAGATTTTATTCAGCACTGTCAACACTGTTTTTATTCAACACTATTACAAAACATAAAACTTACTTCTCCCTGCTTCCACTGGCACTGCAATGAATGATGAATGAGTAGCCAAGTGTATCGATAGCCCTGTGTTTTCATTATTATTAGCAGCTCGTTGTCTATTTTAATAATGAGGAATATTTCACATTCTCTGGTCATAGGAACAACATGAATTTGTTGTGCATGAGGCAGAGGTACAACTCGAGTTTCGCCATCAGGTGGAAGACGATGTCCCCTCTCTCTGGTCAGTCTCACCGGAGGAAAGAAAGGAGAGAGCAGGGACCATGAGAGGCGGACCCTCTGCTGCTCTCTCCCTCCCTCCGCTGAGACTAATGCTGTGTTCAAAACAACTGGGAACTCTGAAATTTCCGACTTCAGTGTGTTCAAGACAACTAGGAACTTAAAAAAAAAAAGCAAGAGATACGACTGGGAAAAATGGTTTTGAACAGTCATTCAACTCGGAATTCCAAGTCGCAAACTTGGGTATCTTTCTAGAGCTCCAATTTTCCGACCAGAAGATCACTGACGATTCAGTTAAAACAAAAATCTGACATTGATTGATTTATCAAGACAAGTCCCCACGCTTGTCTCAAAACAGCACGATGGTGCTGTCCCTATCAAAACGGTGCTGAAATTATAGTTGACCACACTTGGCTATTGTTTTAAATGATTTAAAACTGTTAACTTTGGGAGTTTGAGTAAGCAACAAATTAAAACATTCCTTCAGTGACATTAGCCTACTTTATTCCAATATTTTTGTCATTTATTGGTATTCATTCCCACAGTAAACATTTATTGGTATTCATTCCCACAGTAAATATTTATTGGTATTCATTCCCACAGTAAATATTTATTGATCCAACCAGTTGTGGTTAAGAACGCATAGTGGTGGGCTTTGCGAAGTTACATGCCTCACAAAGTTTAGAACTGCCACGAGGATGGTAACAGCCTGGTAACGGGCGCTGCCTAGCAACCATCATTATGAAGTATCAAATCTCAGGAATGCGCATTGTTTACACCGGACATAGCTACAACTAGTCTTATTTTTGGTTGGTGAAAAAGGTGTAAATTCTGATCCCTAAGTCGGAACATAGCTACCCGACCTAGCATTTAAGACTAGGGCTGTGGCGGTCATGACATTTTGTCAGCCTGTTATTGTCAAGCAAATGACTGCTGGTCTCATGGTAATTAACCGTTCATTAACATAAACACGTTTAGCATCTATTTTAATTTTTTCCCTATCTTTATATCAAATAGTAATTTTGTTTCTTATTCTATGATTTGTCATTTCCATACTACATATTTCGTTAACGGTTTCTTTCCAATTGCTTATTTGGGGTGCCAGCGGTTTCAGCCAGTTTCTAGTTATCTTTTTAACTGCTGTTATTCTCAGAATTCTGAAGAGGTACTTATTTACATTTTAGTCATTTAGCAGACGCTCTTATCCAGAGCGACTTACAGTTAGTGAGTGCATACATTATTATTTTTAAATTTTTTCATACTGGCTTATCAGAGTCGAGGACCAGTGCATGAGTTGTCCTCCCCAGGAGTATGTGTTCTGGATTTAGAGAAAGTAAACATTTGAACATATCATCCAATACTTTGTATACTTCGATCCAGAAATGATTGAGGACTGGGCAGGAATAAAATATGTGAGTGTGGTTAGCTCTGCTCTCCCCACAGTTACGCCAGTAAGTTGGTGTGATGTCACGGTTGTATTTTGATTGTGTTATAGGAGTTATAAAAAATCTTGACTGAATTTTCAAGAGTATTCCCTCCAGAGTAGAGAGGTGGTTGTCTTGGATGTGTTTCTAGATATGTCCTCCCAGTCCTCTTGGGTTATTACTGTACTGATGAAAAATATAAACACAACATGCAACATTTTCTATGATTTTACTGAGTTAAAGTTCATATAAGGAAATCAGTCAATTTAAATAAATAAATTAGGCCCTAATCTATGTTTTTCCACGTGACTGGGAATACAGATATGCATCTGTTGGTTACAAATACTGTACCTTTAAAAGAAAAGTAGGGGCGCGGATCAGAAAACCAGTCAGTATCTGGTGTGACCACCATTTGCCTCATGTAGCGCGACACATCTCTTTCGCATAGAGTTGATCAGACTGTTGATTGTGGAACGTTATCCCACTCCTCTTCAATGACTGTGCGAAGTTGCTGGATATTGTCGGGAACTGGAACAAACTGTCGTACACATCGATCCAGAGCCTCCCAAACATGCTCAATGGGTGACATGTCTGGTGAGCATGCAGGCCATGGAAGAACTGGGACATTTTCAGCTTCCAGGAATTGTGTACAGGTCCTTGCGACATAGGGCCGTGCATTATCATGCTGAAACATGAGTTGATGGCTGCGGATGAATGGCACGACAGTAGGCCTCAAGATCTCGTCACGGTATCTCTATGCATTCAAATTGCCATCGATAAAATGTAATTGTGTTCGTTGTCCGTATCTTATGCCTGCCCATACCATAATCCCACCGCCACCATGGGGCACTAACGTTGACATCAGCAAACTGCTCACCCACACGATGCTATACACGTTGTGAGGCTGGTTGGACATACTGCCAAATTCTCTAAAACGACGTTGGAGGCGGCTTATGGTAGAGAAATTAACATTAAATTCTCTGGTAACGGCTCTGATGGACATTCCTGCAGTCAGCATGCCAATTGCACGCTCCCTCAACTTGAGACATCTGTGGCATTGTGTTGTGTGACAAAACTGCACATTTTAGAGTGGCCTTTTATTGTCCCCAGCACAAGGTGCACCTGTGTAATTATCATGCTGTTTAATCAGCTTCTTGGTATGCCACACCTGTCAGGTGGATGGATTATCTTGGCAAAGGAGAAATGCTCACTAACAGAGATGTAAACAAATTTGTTCACAAAATCTGGGAGAAATATGCTTTTTGTGCATATGGAACATTTCTGGGATCTTTTTTATTTCAGCTCATGAAATATGGGACCAACACTTTACATGTTGTGTTTATATTTTTGTTCAGTGTAATTAAGAGATGTATATCACTAAGTGTTTTATTAGGTCCCACTGCTTTAGTAAGGTAGCTTCTTGCTTGTAAATAATTGTAAAACTGAGAGTTCTGGAGGTTGTACATTATTGATAGATTCTAAAATGTATCTATCCCCTTGTCTGTAAACATCTGATAATACTTGGTCAGTCCATTTTCAGCCCATAATTTAAATCTATCACCAATCATACTTGGCTTAAAGTTGCCATCCATTACAATTTCTCGCAGGTAGATCAGGTCTGTTTTGATGCATCAAATACAAATTCACGGTAGTTGTAGGCAAACCCTTTGTGCCGCCCTGCACAATCAATGAACCAATAGCATCGCCTAGGCCTATACGTTCTCTCTCAGACTCATGGATAGAAAGTTTGGAGTGTCGCATAAGTTAACCAGTCCAGCCAGTATGCATAATAATACAGTCCACACTCAAAGGTGATTACTAGAATTTGTTACATTTTTGGAGTATAAGCTAGACCAATTATGTTCCAAATACACATTTTATTTTATATGTTTTTCTGCTATGTGTAGTAGGCCAATGCAGTAGGCTATTAGGCTATGTATTGTACACTTAGTGTACAAAACATTAGGAACACCTTCCTAATATTGAGTTGCACCCCCTTTTGTCGAACGCGTTCCACAGGGATGCTGGCCCATGTTGACTCCAATGCTTCTCACAGTTGTGTCAAGTTGGCTGGATGTCCTTTGGGTGGTGGACCATTCTTGATACACACAGGAAACTGTTGACCGTGAAAAACCCAGCAGCGTGCAGTTCTTGACACACTCAAACCGGTGTGCCTGGCACCTGGAACCATACCCCGTTCAAAGGCACTTTCATATTTTGTCTTGCCCATTCACCCTCCGAATGGCGCACACAAACAATCCATGTCTCAATTGTCTCGAGGCTTAAAAATCCTTCTTTAACTGGTCTCCCCTTCATCTACGCTGATTTAAGTGGATTTAACAGGTGACATAAATAAGGGATCATAGCTTTCACCTGAATTCACCTGGTCAGTCCATGTCATGGAAAGAGCAGGTGTTCCTAATGTTTTGTACACTCAGTGTATAACGGCACAATCTTTATTTTAATTTCTTATTTTTTTGGCTTGGGCTCATATATAGGCCTATATGTATGCATAAGCTCTGCATATGGGTGGTTTTTAATTAATCATCACCTTAGAAAGCGCTGTCCATTTCCGTTTTTGACTTTGAAACAACATCCACAATGACCATGTTTTCCATTCAGTTTCAACCTGCTGTTGAACTTCTTTCTTCAAATTGATCGATCACAGTGAAGTAAGTTTTAAAAGCATGATACTATTTTGATGATAAGTCTTTTATGTGATTTTCGATTGCGTTTGCATTGATGTAAGAGTGGTTAGAGGGACAATAGAGCCCTCAGTACCAGGCCATTAGTGACCTGACCGGTCATTAGAGAGTTGGGTACAACCAACGCATGTCCAGAGTGCATAGGAGGAGATTACTGTTACTCAACGGTCGCGTGGAATTTGACTGCTGGTGTGGCAGTAATACCGTCACCGCAACAGCCCTATTAAAGACCAACGTTTTTTACGCCCAACTGGTGCAACCAGACCCTGTTCATGCTCCCTGTGTTTCAGGTCGGACTGTGCAGTGCGGAGCTTTGCCTGGCACCCACACACACAGAAGTGTGCTGTGGCCCTGCTAGACGACTCCATCAAGATCTACAACCCCAAGAGGTAAGCAGCAGACTCATGGCCCCGCTGTCAGTCTGTTGCCATTGTGCTGTATCATTGACTATTAAACTCTATGGGAGATTCTCAATTGGGCAAAAGGTTCTGTGACCCAAAAATTGATAAGTGTTCGAGGAGTGTCATTTCGTTAGTAGGCGAATGGAGGAGTATGCTCACCTCCTCGATTACATCCTTCGGCAGAGGATTCACAAGAGTATCCTACGGGCGGCTATCGCGGACAAGTTTTGAAACCAGTCACGGCCCCTTTGAAACAGCTGTTGTGTTCTTGGAGAAGAAAATAATGCACATATTTAAAATCAAAATGCTACTTATCCTTTTATCTATAAAATATCTAGCACAACTACATTTTTACTACTTAACACATTTATTTTGGTATTCCATATAAGCGCAATTGTTTCCTCTCCTTGCCGCTTATCCTCAATTTATTTTTGACCTTTTTCAAAAGGCGAGGAGAGGACGCGAGGAGCCAAGCAAAACCAATTGAGAATCTCCCTATGGGCCGGTTTCCTGTCCTTTCCATGTCCTCAAAATCATATTCAGTCAGACCAACCTAGTGCGGTGTTAAACTTCTTCTGTCTCTCTCTCTCCCTCAGTGCTACTACTCCTACCCTAAAGCACCGTCTGCAGCGCAGTGTGGCAGCCCTGCAGTGGAAGCCTCTGTGTGCGTCTGCCCTGGCCGTCGCCTGTCACAACTGCCTGCTGATCTGGCACGTGGACCCCACCTCGCTCTCTACCAGGTACACACGCTTTATGTACAGTACATTAGTCATTATTATACTCTTGAGCTTTCTTTCTCCGCCCTTCCTATTTCTCATTCAATCTCTTTCTATCTCTCCTTCCCTCCCACAGGCCCTCTTCTGGCTGTGCCCAGGTCCTGTCCCACCCAGGCCACTCCCCCGTCACTTCCATCGCATGGTCACCTAATGGATCACTCCTGGTGTCGGCCTCTCCCAGGGACACTGCCATGCTGGTAGGAACCAGCAGCCTCAGCCTCTACTCTACTGCTACTCAGCTGTGAAAGTGTTTTACTGTGATGTTGGAACATCCTTGTGACTCTCGTGCTCTCTCTCTCTTTGTCTCTGTTTCTGTCTATCTCTGTCAGGTGTGGGATGTAGCTGTTGAGAGCTGTGTGCCTCTCCACCGTGTGGGAGGGGGAGGAGTCACGTACCTGTCCTGGTCCCCCGATGGCAGTCGCGTGCTGGCAGCTACACCCTCCTCCCTCTTCAGGTCAGAGACGGTAGTGCAGGAGAGTTTTATGTAGTGTTGATGTTTCTGTATTACTGTATATGTGTATTATATATGTCTTATGTGTGTGTTGCTGCAGGGTTTGGGAAACCAGGATGTGGACTTGCGAGCGGTGGCCTTGTCTGAAGGGACGCTGTCAGGTGAGACACCTGGTCTGTGTGTCTGTGTCTGTGTCTGTGTGTTTGTGTGTTTGGCTAACTGTCTCTCTGTAACTGTCTAGTCTGGCAGTTGGAGTCCTGATGGGAGTCGGCTGCTCTTCAGTGTGCAAGGAGAGACTGTCATCTATGCCCTGACTTTCACTGACACCCCAGGTACACACACAAACACACACACACAATTCCATGTACAATATGATGCAGTCCAACCTCTTAGTTGTCTTACACTGTGTGCTGTGTGCTTGCATTGTTTGTTTTGATGTGTAAGTTTTCCTCTTTCTCCACTAGGGATGCCCTTAGGGATGTCAGGGGGGCCTAAGGCAGCAACAGTGGTGGCTGACCTGTCTGAGACCACCTTAAATACACCAGACGGAGATATGGCGTAAGGAAAGGCCTGAGTTAACTAGTCATTCACTAAACTAGTTGTTGATTAACCTTACAGATTGGCTTATTGTGTGTGTCAGGGTCGGAGGAGAGATCCAGTCGCTAGCATGGGACCCGACAGGAGAAAGACTAGCTGTGCTTCTCAAAGGTCAGGCTCTTTCCCTCCTCTCCTCTTTCTCCAAGTTGAAAAGTGTGTTTTGTCATCGTCTCTCCTTCACTCACTTCCTCCCTCTTACCTGTTCCATCAGGAGATGCTGAAGCAGGCCGCCCTGCCATGATCGCAGTGTTCAAGACTCAAATCAACCCCGCTTTTAAGCTTCTGCCATGGTATGTGCTCTAGTATATTACATTGCCAGGAGGGTGTCTCAGTGTATCTCGGTGGTGATCAGTGTTGTGTATCTCTGTATGTCAGTGGTAATAACTGTCTGTCTATGTGTGTCAGTGGTTTTGTCCAGGGGGAGGCCGGGACAGAACCCAGACTGATGCGATTCAACCCCAACTACCAGCATGGAGCCCAGCTCACTGTGGTCAGTCTCTCTATAAACTCTACTCTTTACATTTAGGGGACCACCAGGCATTTAGATGTTGCCCCACAGTGCTGCTTAAACTGATCTTAAAGCTATAGTTTACTCTCAATTTAAAGTTTATTTGTTTTTTGTTTTACTCAAAGTAATTTATGCATTAATGTCATTTGAATGGGAAAGATGGGCAATGAGACTTCAACTAGAAATTCTAGATGGTCTACACACTGATCATTCCATTTTACATGGCTGTTGATGTGCTGTAGTGAATAGAGCACCAGGTCTAGCTAGGTGGTGCTAAACTCATCCCAGTGACTGTAGTGATGTTGTCTCTCCACAGTGTTGGTCTAATGGGAAGATTACCCACGTGCCTTTCTACTTTATGAGTGCTGGGAATCCCCAGCCCGGCCTGGGAGGCAGCCCCCATCTCCCCCTGTCCCAGGGCAGGCCAGCCGACTACGCCAACCAGACACTCTACACCGAACTCATCTCCTGACCACACACACACACAAACTAATACAGAAACCATATTTCAAATCACGTTTGTAAGTGGAATTTATAATTTTTTGAACACTTGGTAAATAAACGTGTACAAAGTGTTACGCAAATGGAGGATTATTGTATTTTTTTATGCCTAGTCCAAGACATGGCAAAGGGGCTGGTGGGATGAGGTCAAGCCATCGCCGGCTTTCCTTCTTGCAAAAGAGGTGAATGAGGTGATCGGGAGGCTTCATTGTGTCTTTAATGACGTTTCTTAAAGAATCTCCATGTTCTAAGGTAAGGGAGTATACTGTATCTTCCCTTAATCTATACTTATCTTAAAACAATCTGGCATTAATAGGATCGTTTCGTCTTTTACCTTCCAGATTTGCCCTTCACTTTCGGTCAAGAATAATCTAAAAGATTTAGGTAAACTAAAATGTAACATTTGTAATTTTGTGATAATGTCAATGTAGGTTTGTAATAACAAAAATAATTTCCCTTTAAAGAAGAATATATCACTGTTTAGTCTTTTCAGTCTAATTTTTATTGCTCAGCAGAAAGATATGGAGAGGGACAGAGAGGAGAACGGAAGTGTAGAGGATAAGGGAAACAGACAAGCGGGTCACCAAATGCTGACAAACACCTACGTGACCATGTCTTGAAGCATCATTCCTGTTAATGTACAAAATACTTCACAATTCCATTCAGCTCATCATTTTCTTTACTTTATTTATGCCTATTAGTTCAAACAAAAAGAAGCCAACCATGCCCAACCCCACCCTGAAACCGGTGAATGAATACAGTACTTTCATTCCTGTGTTATGACATTCTCTCATAGGAAAACACACTCACACATGCATACTTACACACACATCCAATGCACTCACAAACATTCAAAAAGGGTAACTGACCTCTCAACAACTATAACAAAAACAAAATACACAGACCTTGGGTTCAGTTACCAAAAAAAGCTATTCAACCCCCATGCCATTTCTGTACTTATTTAAAATAAACTCAATTAAAAATCAACTTAATTGTTACTTGGTTTTTCCTTTTTATTTCCAATTTACATCAATTAAAAGTGTAACAAAATAAACAAAAACAAAACAAATTATCATGATCATAATAAAATTAATAGTAACAAAAAAATATACACACTCTCACACACACAGAGACAACCCACCCTGGTTGTTTTGGGCGGCTCTCCTTGGAGTCCCATGATTCTATTTGTGGGGCATGGATCCTATATGATGCTACCCAGAAACCCCTTAGTTCTGCCTTGCCGGCTGCACCTGTCCTCCAGGGTGGGTTGTGTGTGTGTGGTGTGAGGCTAGTGGGAATTGGGGGGGGGTAATGGCAGTGACTGAATTCTAGAACTCATAGCACCTTCTGAAGACGGAGCAACCCAAAGCAAAGATGGCTGTTCAGCCCCAGTTCCACCCGAAAGCAAATTTTGGTCAGCTCAAGATTTAAGGTCAACGTTTTCACTTTGTTTTTCAGCGTGAGGTAGCTTTAAACAATCAGGATGACTACAACTTTCCCCAATTTTATTAGAAAATGTAGGTTGTTTGTGAACTGAGTAAGATATTTTCCTCTAATGGGCAGTCAAGGGGTAAAAGACAATGGAAAAATACAGCCCAAATGAAACCTCACTTTCCAAAAAGTGTTGGTGTGCATATAGCTAGACACATGTACACACAATGTGGAAATATATAGAAAACCATCTGGTTTTTTATAAACACAGACTTTTACAACAATAGAACCAATGATTTATAATACACAGTAAAAGTTTTGCTCCTTGTCTTGATGGTAAAGAACATTTGGAGCACCTGGACTTGTTTATAATTACTGAAAATATTTGTTGGTCTACATTGATTCAAAATGGCGTATTTGTAGCTAGGTCGGGGAGCGGACGAGGGAGGGAGGTGGAGTGGGATGTTTTAGGTGTTCTGTAGTGGGAGGGGCTTGTGTTGCTCTTATGGTGAAGCCCCCCAGTCCTACTGTACCTCCCCTCTGCCCATGTAAGGTTTAGACAATAAATAAGTGACATCGAGTCATGTTTCTGTTTCTTCATCACTCTTCCCTTGGCTTGGTACCTCTTCCTCCTGGCGCAAACTCATTCCCGTCAACTGTGGGCCATGGGAAACATGACTGGATCTCAGGAAGTGGGTTGACAGGGAATGCTGGAACGCCGGTGCCCTTCAGTGCTAACATCCACGGAGTACAACTTGGAGAGCACTTTGTCAGAGAAAAAGTATCAATGTTCTTTTTTAAAAAGTTACTGTCTTCTTTTTTGTGGAGTGTGTGTATTGTTTCATAGTTGAGTTATTTCTTTCATGTTTTAGTTTTTTTGCCGTTGTGTTGATTTCACTTTACAAGAAGCAGACTGCACCCACGTCCACACCGAACTCCTGGTCCGCTCCTCCAATGTCCATGGGAGCAATGTCCACGATGGGCAGACGGGAGGTCTTCTGTGTTTTGTACTCGAAGACAGTCTTGCCCCACTGGCCTGTGTGTTTCTGTGGGACGACAACAGAGACGTGTTGAAGCACATTAAACCACTATATATTCCCATAGACTACAATAACAGAAAAATGCTGTTTTTTTAGACCTTGACTTCACTGTGCCTTCCCCCATGGTCCTACTTTACTATGTCCATATTTTCCCTGACCTTACTTTACAGTGCATATCCCTCTCACCTTGCAGCCATCCTCCACAACGCTGTAGGTGAAGCGACTGTTGCCCTCGGCTCTGATCTCAACTTCGTTGGAGCCCTGGAGCAGCAGACTCTTCTTCAGGTTGCCGGTGGATGCATCCATGTAGGCCACACTGTTCTTGCAGTGGTAGGTGAGATTCTGAGACGCTTCCGTGGACAGCAGCCTCAGGAATGTCAGCTGGATACTGGCAGCGTTGGTACTGTCCTCAGCGTAGCTGAACTATAGAGGGAGCCAGAGAGGGAGGGTTAAATGTGACGTGGTAAGGAAGAGGGCAGTCACAAAAATGGAGGTCATACATAGTTTTATGGATGGTAGGACTTTATGTGATGTCTATCAATTATCTGCAAGGCTGAAATATAAGTTCAGTCTGTAATTCATAAAAGGAAACACTGAGGAAGGGTTTGACTGATGATCAGGGTAACCCTTGAAATGAAGTTATCCTACTAAAGGAGTAGCTATGTTTCACTCAAAGGTGCCAGTGAAATTATTATTCATATAAAGAAGAGGCTCACGTGGAATCCTCCATTCATGGTCTCTCCGAACCAGACGTGTTTGCGGTCCTTGCTCTTGCTTGTCCACCAGTTCTTTTGTGGCACGTTGGCTATGCTGGGGTACACACAGGTCTCGCCAGTCTCCATGTTGCAGAAGACCTTGATGGCGTCAGCTGTGCTGCCAATGTTAGGATCCACCCAGTAGTCGCCTGGAGAACGAGAGGATCAGAGGACAAATGGTTCAAACCCTAGCACTGTTTGGACTGATCATGTTATACACGTGTTCTTACCTTTCTACACTGTATATTTTGGGGGAATCTTCCTCAATGAATGAAAAACAAAATTCCATAATTCCATTTCTCTCTTTTCTCTTTCCATTCACTATCTTTTCCCTCTCCTCTGCCCGTTCCCCCACTCACCGCTCTTCCACTCGGGGTGGCACAGTTTGAGGTCTCTGCAGGTGCGGGCAGGGTTCTTCTGGCTACCATCGGGGCTGCGCAGGTTCTCGATCTGGTTGTTGAGGGACTTGAGTGTGGAGTCCACCTCCACGTCGTGCTGCCTCAGGGAGCTGGACGCCTCATCAGCCCTCATGTACCTCAGGGGATCCGGAGACTTCTCAGGCTGAGACAGGCCAGCAAAGGCAGACATGTCGATGCCAGGGCCGGGAGGACCAGGAGGACCAGGTGGTCCGGGGTTACCAGGTGGACCCTGAAGGAGGATGGAGATGACATGTTTAAAATATGAAGACTTTGCTGCTACATGTACAGTATATATAGTATATTCAGGTAAGTCTAAGGTTGCCAAGCGTTCCTCACAGCAGGGCCAGTTTCTCCAGAACGACCACGAGGTCCAGGGGGTCCGAGGGGTCCAGGCTGACCGTTAGATCCATCCTTACCAGCGGGACCAACTGGGCCAGGGGGTCCCTGAGGAGATAGATAGGGTGGGTCAGTCATGGCTCATTCACATGGATGCTAGCATAGCATGAATGCATGGAAGTCTCCCTTAAGTGTTTAGTTTCACATTGTTTTAAACTTTTACCTGATATAACGTTTTTGTTCAATTGTTGTTGATTATGAGTGAGAGTACACTCTTTAATTCAAGAACAACCTGCTTATCGGACATCACAAATGTAGCATTTATCTCACTTTGGGTCAAAATGATTCACGTTGTAGTGGCCAGCCCTTTCCTCCTCTTTATCATGTAATTAATCTTTATGGATTATTTTTAAAGTAGTAGCCTCTCCTGTCTGTCTTCCACTCTACCATAACATGTGGTAATCACAAAAGCATTAGCCTTCCCTGTTATCATAGAATAGGCTAATTAAAAACACAGTGGCTATTTCCATCCTCTACCTTATGGTGTTGGAGGATTATAACTAGATTATAATTGGTGTTGGTGGATTATGACTAGCCTGTGCCCCTCATTATCATAGCATGGGATAACTACTGTATAGGAGTAGTCTCTATTTGTCTTATCAGATATGGAGGGATTAGAGAAGTGTTCTGTCCTTCTCTCCACCAGCTCTTCTCTTTCGTCTGGACTCACCTTAGCGCCACTAGGTCCGGCAGGTCCAGCAGCTCCCTGGTCTCCAGCGGAGCCCTGTTAGTTAAGACAATGACGTCAGGAAGTCAGGGAACATAATTTATTCCACATGGAGTGTATTGAATGACTGGCAAATTACATTGAAAGTCAGGCAATATAGTTCTATGCGGATAGAGAGGTATAATAACTGGTGCAGAGTGGCCAGAGGATTTGGGTGACTTACTGGAGGTCCGGGAAGACCCTGCAGACCGGTGAAGCCACGGTGTCCCTTCTGTCCCCTCTCTCCTGTCTCGCCAGCCTCTCCCTTGTCTCCACGTGGTCCTTGGGGTCCCTGATGTAGAGAGGCAGAGAGTGTCACAACTCAGGGTGCCAATGCGGGTACAGCTACAGTAGGTATAGTTTATTAGAGAATGGTATATGCGTTTCACAATGATGAACGTTGACACTCACAGCCATTCCTCTAGCACCAGCTGGTCCAGCAGGTCCGGCAGGTCCTTGGGCACCCTAAAAACAAGAGTGAGGTACTATCAATTACAAAACACCAACATTTCTCTAATTCATATTGTGTATAGTTTTGTAGGGGTACTCACTCCCTCTCCTCTGTCTCCCTGCTTGCCAAGGGGGCCAACAGGGCCGGGGGCACCGGGAGCGCCAGGGGCACCAGGTGCACCTGCAGGACCAGTGTTACCACGCTCACCCTACAGGTGGAGAGAAGATCATAGGATATAAGGACATCTCAAGAACATTTGATATCTTATCCATCAATTGGACTGATTGGTGTATAATGCAGGAAAGTAAGCATCTCAGCAAACCAAAATTCGTTATGTGAAAGTTCCTGGAACATTTGTTGGGATGCGGCAAATGTTCTCATAACACAAAAACTGTCCAGTTGTGTGCCTGATATTGCAAGAACGTTCCCAGAACACATTTAATTCTTTACTGGTATATTGTGTTGTTACATTACCTGGAAACCTAATGAGAACGTTTGGAGAATGGTCTGTGGTGGTTGTTACAGATGTTATGCACAACATTTTTGTGAATGTTTGAATATTTCATTTAAAACATAAGAAAACAAAAACATTTTGTTATCAAAAATATTATTTGAATGTTTTTGTGATTATCATCCTAATGTTAGATAAAACCCTAACTTAATGGAAATCTTAGCTAATGTTCTGGGAATGTTTGCTGGGATTTCACTCTAAGGTCTACTACACAGTGTTTTATTTGTCACATGCACCGAATACAACAGTTGTAGCCTATACCTGTTATATTCGGTGCATGTGACAAATAACATTTTATAAAATTTGGTGTGTCTCACCTTGACTCCGGTGGATCCATCTCTACCAGGGGGCCCATCAGATCCAGCATTGCCCTGTGAGGTAGAGACAGAGATTTAATCAATAAATGAAATGTATTGGCTTCCAGTCGTGAAGTAGCTGCCAAAGCAACACGTTTGGGATCCATGGGTTAATGGTGCTGTAGAAATACAGATGGTTGCTGTTGGTGTTTGCGATTGACTATGGTAGTTGTGGTTGTGTTTTTTTGTTTTCTGTTGTGTCATTGTTGTTTGTTTTGGTTGTTATTGTTACTGTTGTGGTCATTGTTTACATTTCTGTTTTGTGGTTATTGTATATGTGTGTGGAGGGAGGGTTTTTGTTTTGGAAAGTTGCTGTTGTTCTGGTGATTATTGATGTTGTTGTGGGTATTGTTGTTGTTGTTTATATTGCTGTTGTCGTTGCTATGGTTGTTGCAGTAGCTCAACCTAGAGGTGTAATTATATTGGCCAGCTGGTGGCACTATAGTGCAGCTATGGCCTTTACCCCGGTAATTGCTGCGTGCAGCTACAGTGGCCTATATTTGTTGTTGTGGTTTATATTGTTGTTGTGGCTTGTGTTGTTGTGGTTTAGTTCTGACCTCTCTTCCGGGCTCACCAGCAGGTCCAGACAGTCCAGGAGGCCCCACAGGCCCAGGGGGTCCACGATCACCACCAGCACCAGGAGCTCCCTGCTTACCGGGCTCTCCCTGGGACACACAGAACATGGACATCAGACTCAACATCAGCGAGTAAGTGTCAGACGTCATCACTATAACCGCAAGGATGTAACATTTGACTAGTCAATGGATTAATGGACTTAACTATTCATTTGCATGCAAAGTAGGACTTCAGCAACTGGCTAAAAGCCCCTATGTGCTAAGAAAAGCAGCAAAACCCCATTAGAAGTCTGTTGTAGGACGTAGTATGATGGAAATTAACGTTTTGAATGCATCTCCGTTACAGCCAATGGGTCACTGAGTGATTGACTTCTTTGTGACAGTTTTAAGGAGAAAGAAGTCTTGATGTAGATCTGTCATATTGAATGTACAGTACCAGTCAAAAGTTTGGACACACCTACTCATTCAAGGGTTTTTCTTTATTTTTTACTATTTTGTACATTGTAGAATAATAGTGAAGACATCAAAACTATGAAATAACACATATGGAATTATGTAGTAACCACAAAAGTGTTAAACAAATCAAAATACACTACCGTTCAAAAGTTTGGGGTCACTTTTTTTTTTTTTGTCCATTAAAATAACATCAAATTGATCAGAAATACAGTGTAGACATTGTTAATGTTGTAAATGGCTATTGTTGCTGGAAACAGCTGATTTTTTATGGAATATCTACATAGGCGTACAGAGGCCCATTATCAGCAAACATCAGTCCTGTGTTCCAATTGGCACGTTGTGTTTGCTAATCCAAGTTTATCATTTTAAAAGGCTAATTGATCATTAAAAAACAATTTTGCAATTATGTTAGCACAGCTGAAAACTGTTGTGCTGATTAAAGAAGTAATAAAACTGGCCTTCTTGAGACTAGTTGAGTATCTGGAGCATCAGAAATTGTGGGTTCGATTACAGGCTCAAAATGGCCAGAAACAAATAACTTTCTTCTGAAGCTCGTCAGTCTATTCTTGTTCTGAGAAATTAAGGCTATTCCATGCGAGAAATTGCCAAGAAACTGAAGATCTCGTACAACGCTGTGTACTACTCCCTTCACAGAACAGCGCAAACTGGCTCTAACCAGAATATAAAGAGGAGTGGGAGGCCCCGGTGCACAACTGAGCAAGAGGACAAATACATTAGTGTCTAGTTTGAGAAACAGGCGCCTCACACGTCCTCAACTGGCAGCTTCATTAAATAGTACTCGCAAAACACCAGTCTCAACGTCAACAGTGAAGAGGCGACTTCGGGATGCTGACCTTCTAGGCAGAGTTGCAAAGAAAAAGCCATATCTCAGACTGCCCATCTTAATCTTTAATTTTTATTGGCCAGTCTGAGATATGGCTTTTACTTTGCAACTAACCCCAATCTTTTGAACGGTAGTGTATATTTTATATTTGAGATTCTTCAAATAGCCACCCTTTGCCTTGATGACAGCTTTGCACACTCTTGGCATGCTCTCAACCAGCTTCATGAGGTAGTCACCTGGAATGCATTTCAATTAACAGGTGTGCCTTCTTAAAAGTTAATTTGTGTAATTTCTTTCCTTCTTAATGCATTTGAGCTAATCAGTGGTGTTGTGACAAAGTAGCAGGGGTATACAGAAGATAGCCCTATTTGGTAAAATACCAAGTCCATATAATGGCAAGAACAGCTCAAATAAGCAAAGAGAAACGACAGTCCATCATTACTTTAAGACATGAAGGTCAGTCAATTCGGAACATTTCAAGAACTTTGAAAGTTTCTTCAAGTGGCTATGATGAAACTGGCTCTCATGAGGACTGCAACAGGAATGGAAGACCCAGAGTTAACTCTGCTGCAGAGGATACGTTCATTAGAGTTACCAGCCTCAGAAATTGCAACCCAAATAAATGCTTCACAGAGTTCAAGTAACAGACACATCTCAACATCAACCGTTCAGAGGGGACTGTGTGAATCAGGCCTTCATGGTCGAATTGCTGCAAAGACACCACTACTAAAGGACACCAATAAGAAGAAGAGACCTGCTTGGGCCAAGAAACACGAGCAATGGACATTAGACCGGTGGAAATTTGTCCTTTGGTCTGGAGTCCAAATTTGAGATTTTGGGTTCCAACTAGCCGTGCCTTTGTGAGACGCGGTGTGGGTGAACGGATGATCTCTGCATGTGTATTTTCCAACGTAAAGCATGGAGGAGGAAGTGTTATGGTGTGGGGGTGCTTTGCTGGTGACACTGTCTGTGATTTATTTAGAATTCAAGGCACACTTAACCAGCATGGCTACCACAGCATTCTACAGCTATACGCCATCCCATCTGGTTTGGGCTTAGTGGGACTATCATTTGTTTTTCAACAGGACAATGACCCAACACACCTCCAGGCTGTGTAAGGGCTATTTTACCAAGAAGGAGAGTGATGGATTGCTGCATCAGATGACCTGGCCTCCACAAACCCCTGACCTCAACCCAATTGAGATGGTTTGGGATGAGTTGGACCGCAGAGTGAAGGAAAAGCAGCCAACAAGTGCTCAACATATGTGGGAACTCCTTCAAGACTGTTGGAAATGCATTCCAGGTGAAGCTGGTTGAGAGAATGCCAAGAGTGTGCAAAGCTGTCATCAAGGCAAAGGGTGGCTATTTGAAGATTCTCAAATATAAAATATACTTTGATTTGTTTAACACTTTTTTGTTTACTACATGATTCCATATGTGTTATTTCATAGTTTAGATGTCTTCACTATTATTCTACAATGTAAAAATAAATAAAAATCCTTGAATGAGTAGGTGTGTCCAAACTTTTGACTGGTAGTGTATGTTGATATCAAGACTCCATGATATTACACAGACAATCACTCCAGTCATCCCAGATATGATATTAGGGTATCTATGTTGCTTAGTTACTACTCAATGGTGCAGGACTAGTGGGAGTTATATGAACCTGGATTTAAAGGTTCTCAAGCCAATTGTCATGAACATTTTGAATCAATAGCTTATAAAGAGAGCTTAACATAGAACTGGACCAGTAAGAGCAATGGTTCCGTAACGATGACCTGGCTTTCAAGTTCATAGCCTACTGCAAGTGTAGTAGTACTATCAGGGGTGAGATACTCACAGAAGGACCAGGAAGGCCAGGGAAGCCCCTCTCTCCACGCTGCCCAGGCAGACCAACAATACCACGTGACCCACCCAGACCCTGGGGACCTGAAGGACCATCGGGACCCTTAGAGATAGAGGAGACAATAGATCAGTTTAATACATTGACTTCACAACTCCAGCTCTTGCTCATTGACTTCACAACTCCAGCTCTAGCTCATTTTCACAACTCCAGCTCTAGCTCATTGACTTCACAACTCCAGTTCTAGAAAGTCAGGCACATTGAAATGAAGTGATAGATAACCAAGGTGGCTGAGTTGGTGTTACTAAGCCTACAAGGGGTAAAAGGCTGGGTGACATTTCCTCCATGAGATATCATATAAGAGTGGAGGGGGAAGACTCACAGGGGGACCATCCTCTCCAGCATCTCCCTTCTCGCCAGGGGCTCCAGCAGCTCCACGCAGCCCAGCGTCTCCCTGTCTTCCTGGAGTGCCAGCGTCACCTCGAACTCCCTTAGGACCGTCTTTACCAGCAGGACCAGCGGGGCCAGCAGCACCAGGGTTACCCTGACGGAGGGAAATGGAGAGATGCAGCATATTTCAATCACACAGATATACACAGGTAATCTGAATGAAAAGGTGACTTTCTATTGTCTATTGATATTTGTGATGACGTGATACTCACATTAGGACCAGGAGAACCAACTCTTCCAGCAGCACCAGGGAAACCAGTAGCACCCTACCAACAAGACAATATTTCAGTAAAAGCAATTACAGAACATAGCATTTTATATTGTCACTTACTATTGGGTAATAATCTCTTATCATTGGAACTGTGGACTTACAGCAGCCCCCTGGGCACCCCGAGCTCCTTTAGGTCCAGAAACACCAGTGGGACCCTGGAATAAAAATCAACCAGAAACACAATTAGACAAAGAAACAAGAACAAAGAAACAAGAAGTGCATCAATTGTGTTCTCAAATACTCTCCATTTCTTATAGACTTATAGAATGGTAATGTCTTGGGCAATAAGACATCTGTCTCTGGGACATACAGGTATTTGGTATCTCAAAGTGAATTTCAAGGGGTACCTACCACAGGTCCAGGTGCCCCAGAGGGTCCTTGAGGTCCAGGGGCACCACCATCTCCCTTCTGTCCAGCCTCGCCCAACTCTCCCTTGGCTCCAGGCTGACCATCTGCACCCTGGAGGTTGGAGGATGGAAATGCAGGTCAATAAAGATCCAACGTTTTATATGGATTCGATTATTGTTTACATTGAAACTGATGTGCTTGCTGTGGTTCTACTCACAGGAGGCCCAGCGAAGCCAGCAGGCCCGGGAGGACCACCCTCACCACGGTCACCCTACAGGAAGAGAGAAGAAAGATGGGCTCAAAACAGGTCCACAGAGAAAGACAATCTAACTGTACATGTATGTGGTCCTGACCATCAAGTTGCAGGTGCTGTGATTGAACGTGAAGGAGGCTATACTCAAGAAGTAAAAATTTTTGGGATGAAATGCATTCTGAGGGATTCAAGATGGTGTACTTGGAAATTCCTTTACTAATCATAACTGTATATGCCGGGAAACTTGGATAGTGAGTGTTCTTAGAATCAATATGAACAATATCTTGAAATCATAATGTCTGGTGACTTTGACTAAATATTTGGATCTGTAGAGCTCTACATTGTTTCATGGTAGGGACTGGTTCTCTAGTTTCTTCCTGCTCTCTGTACTGTAGTTAAGGTAGTTTCACTTTGTACATTTCAAACCTGGGCATGTTGACAACATGATTGATTTAATACAAATCTAAAAACGGACTATATGAAACTGGAGGCGGAGAGATCCAACTTACAGGAGCACCACGGGCACCAGCAGCACCAGTTGGGCCAGAAGGTCCACCCTCACCCTGAGAGGGAAGGAGAGAGGAGTGACAAACCCATACTGTACACATACTGTACATTTACTACATTACAAACATTATAACAGGTGTATTTCGTCATTCCTATGGTAATTCTCACCTTTATGCCGTTGGGACCAGCAGGGCCAGGAGGACCAATGGGACCAGTCAAACCCTGAGAGGGAGGAGAGAAGAAAGATGGAGAGGAGAGAGATGGGGTTATTATCGACCTCACATGGGGTCATTGGATCATTGTATTTTGATATGCTGACAGAGTTGCCACAGGAGAGTGTGGCTATATTCCCTGCTTCTGCTGAGTACTCACTCTAGAACCGTCCTTTCCAGGAGCGCCCTCAGGTCCTTTCTCTCCGTTGTCACCCTGTAGACACAGAAGACCATGACATCTTAGTATGTATCTAGCAGACACCATGATATAACCTTGCAATCCACCGTCTAGTTTTCAACGACTATGATTAGAGTATCTTCTTTAGGGTTGTTACTCACTCTGTCACCCTTGGCTCCAGAGATTCCACCAGCTCCCCTCTCTCCTGGCATACCCTGCAGACCTGGGGGTCCCTGAGCTCCAGCACCACCAGCTGGCCCAATTGCTCCCTGTCAGAGAGGAGGAACATGGATTTAGAAGATGGCTGATCACACTGTTTCTGATGTTTCTCTCTTCAGTAGTGGCATTGTGATTGCCAGACTATAGGGATTCAGAAGTTCTCCAAGTGCCCAATAACAGCGGAAACTCTTATTGAAGACAAGGTTGGCTGAAAGGAGTGGCTCCTAACCTTCGGTCCATCACTTCCGGGAGTTCCAGGAAGTCCACGAGGTCCCTGCAGACCCTGGGGTCCAGCACCGCCCCTCTCACCAGGGAAGCCACGCTCACCCTATAAGGGAGCAGAGAGACAGGAGGTGAGAGGCAGAAACAGGAAGGACTACAGACTTAAAGGTTTGACAAGTAGATGGCGGTGGCTAAGTAGATGATTATGACAGTAAGAGAGAAAAACATCTAAATCAGACTTATTGTAAAAATGAAAACTCACTCTAGGTCCAGTAGCACCAGCAGCACCAGCCTCTCCAGGAACACCCTGCAGAGAGAGAGGAGAGAGACATTGTAGCTGCGTACTTTTACAGTAGATAAATAATACATTTAGAATACAGCAGGTGCTTGTGTTTGCTAGTATAACTTGATCAGGATAAAGTGCTGAGGTGTTTGATAACAAATGTGATGTAGGGCGGCAGGTAGCTTAGTGGTTAAGAGCTTTGTGCCAGTAACCGAAAGGTCGCTGGTTCTAATCCCCTGGCCGACTAGGTGAAAAATCTGTCGATGTACCCTTGAGCAAGGTACTTAACCCTAATTGCTCATGTAAGTCGCTCTGGATAAGAGCGTCTGCTAAATGAGTAAAATGTAAATAAAAAATGATGTGAGTAACATGGTTAGATGTTCCTAATGTGTTCAATAATCAGGGACCTGGACAGGCCTGGTGTGTTGCTGTGGCAGTGTGGACACTCACCGCATCACCAGGCTTGCCTCCCTCTCCTGGGGGGCCAGCAGGTCCGGGCAGACCCTGCACAACAACACAAGACAATCAGTGATTCCTATGACATCATAAAAAATTGACATCAAGTTATTCCGAATATAATCATTTATGTTCTAGCCGATCCAGAAAAGTAAGGTGAACTCACCTGGAAGCCTGAAGGTCCAGCAGCTCCTTGCTCTCCTCTCTCTCCAGCAGGTCCCTGGGATGGAAGCAAACTCAGGTGATCAAAACTGGTGATCAGGTGATTCACACAGCATTAGCACCTTGTGGAGCTGTGTGTAAGTTTGGGAATGCCATTGCATTCTCGTGCTCAAAGAGAGATGCTAGCTATTACAGATACTATGGCTACACTTATGTTGTTATGGGTGCACCAAAGAAATTGATTATATTACTATGGGGTGCAGTTGTCATGTCTAAAATAGATGTCTCCTTAAGAACTGTCTAAAAGAGTTCATATTGCTGTGTTGTATTTTACAATATGTCTGTCAGAGGTTGAACACTTACAGGAGGGCCGAGAGGTCCAGCAGCACCAGTCTCACCATCTTTACCAGCCAGACCCTTTTCAGAGAGAGAAACATTTATCAGTTCTTCATGAACCACCACTGCAAAGGAAAGACATGGATCGATGTCCGGTCCTCCACTGTTTTATTTCTTCAAACTTTGTGGGGGTTACACACCAAAATTGTACAGATATGAACTCAACTTTGCTAAGACCAAGGGTTACAGGAAGATAATCTAAAACGTTAATCTACTTACTATCAGACCTTGACGACCCACAAGACCCTTCTCTCCTGCCTTGCCAGGCTCACCCTGTCGAAGGAAAAAAACACTGGTCAGTCACAGAGAAGAAGCATGGACATCAAGTGCAAGGGGACTTAAAGGGGACGTTTACATAGTTCTGTGCCTGTACTGTCAGATACTGTCTGTATCTGGTGCTGGAGGCAGATCTACAGGCAATTTCTTCCCTCTGGGTATCAAAACTTTATTGGAAACCCCTGTGACACTTACATTGGCTCCCTTTGGTCCGGGGAATCCCATCACACCAGGCTGGCCACGTGCTCCCTGAGGACCAGGTGGGCCGGGGCGACCGTCCTCACCAGCAGCACCCTACAGTACCACATACCGAGGAGAGAGGAGCATGTCAACATCACTCGAGATCTCGTACATGGTATTACATGTACAAGATCTCCAGTGATATCTTGTACATCTCATGGGTTTAGAAAGGAAAACTCTGTATTACTGCACCAAATCTTGGTTAATTGTATGGCAAAATGTTTGAGTGGAATACAGTATGTGGTCTAGACGGTAAAAGATGCATACTTACACCAGGACCAACTTTGCCTTGAGGACCAGCATCTCCAGGGCGACCAGTGAGACCCTGTGAGCATCACACATAATGAGAGAGTGTCAACCTAATACATGAAGACGGACACCAATTTAAAGCCATGATGAGCCACAGCTCTTGTGTATGACTGTTCTGGCTGATTGTGATGATGGCGGTGGTGGGGACCAGGGGTACTACTACTCACTCTGGCTCCAGGAAGACCAGGCTCTCCTGTGCGGCCGGGGTCACCAGTGCCTCCCTTAGGCCCACCCACGCCGGGAACACCACGGTCACCAGGGGCTCCCTGGGGAGGAAGAGAGGTATTAGTATTATATGCATTTATCACTCAAGCTTAAACTACATGGTTTATAAATTGTGACTGGCTATTGTATTAATCATAGCTGCTACAATAGGATAACAGTAGTACAATATAACAGGTTTGGTTGTTTTGAAACTACTCAGCAGTCTACAACAACATCTTACAGTTAGGGACTCATTATTTAGAATTTGTTGTTATTGTGATTTTGCAACTACTCCATTCCTGCATATCAGGTGAGACGTGGCATTGAGAACTGTAAAAGTGTCAAATCAGCATTGTAAGACCTACCTTAGAACCAGCAAGACCATCCTGACCTGGGAAACCACGGTTACCGGGAGCTCCCTAGAAACAAGGACAGAGAGAAGAGAGAAGATTTCCAAGATGAGGAATAGGATATGGGAAGAACTGATATGACCCAATGACTAAGAACAAAAACAAAACAAAATCTGTGGTGAGATCTGTGATGGTTCAGATCCTTACTCTCTCGCCAGGAGGTCCAAGTGGTCCAGCAGCACCGGGCTCTCCTCTTGCTCCTCTCTTGCCCTCCTCTCCAGCAGGGCCAGGGGCACCTTGGGGACCAGCAGGGCCCTACAGGGGGTGACCAAGAAGATACCAGATTAATTCCAAACATACTTCCAGCTCCATCTCAGTAGAATGAAAAAGTGCAGATTTGATATGAATGATATATGTTCCATCAAAACAGAACTCACAAGCTCTCCCTTGGGACCAGCCTCTCCTTTGAAGCCAGGAATACCGGGGTCTCCCTACAACATAAACAGGGGCAAAGTCAAAAACAGCTGAAATAGGAGCAATGTGATCCACAGCACATTATCTGTCATGACCCCACCTCCCCATACACCCTCCAAGACTAACCAATGTAAACCAACCTACAGCACCACCAACATATAATTGGTGTGTCCAGGTTTTGGAGTGAATATAGGGAACTTACAGACTGTCCCTTGGGCCCAAGAGGTCCTGTTGCTCCCTGAGGTCCGGGGGGGCCACGGGGTCCTGGGAAACCAGGTGCACCAGCAATTCCAGAAGCGCCCTACAGAAAGAGAGAGAGAAAGTAATTGAGTATTACTGACTGAGTAGTAGACTGATAATGAAATAAGAGCAGTGTTTATTTCATGCTGAGTATATAAAGCGTGTAGAGAGTACATTCTAAACCCATATAGTGTAAGAATATGCTTACAGCAGATCCTTTAGCTCCGGGGATACCATCAGTACCAGGGTTGCCCTAAAGGAACAGAGGAACAGAGACAAGGTTACGAGATGAAAACAATGCATCAGTTAAATGATGAGAGATCATCAGTATGAGATTATCCACTTCAGACTCTATCACAGATGGCCTGGATGTTACGTACAGAGGCGCCAGCGGGTCCAGGAGATCCGGGTGTGCCAGCCTCTCCGCGGGGTCCCTGTGCGCCCTCAGCTCCACGGGCACCAGTGGGGCCAGATTCTCCCTGTAGGATGGAAGAGATTCAGATGACCATTAGGACTGCTGTTGCTTTACTGTGTAACTGTTATTCAAACTGTACTCAGTGATGAAGTCAAATGGTATGGTGATTGGAGTTTGTCTCCCAGAGATGTGATCGATAGATATACAGTGACTGTTCAATATGTCCTTGAGGTAGAGTGACTCTGTGAGAATCTCATCTCATTGCAGCTTATCATTATTGATCATCTTATCAGAGCTTTCACTAGCGTTGTAGTGAAATTAAATGTCTGACCTCCATGATGATTGGGAAATCAACAGACACACCGTTTGTCACATCAATAGGCTTCCATTGGGTTCAATCGGGTTATGACTGACATGATGCACTATAGACACATAATTGTAAATAGTACAAACCTTTGCTCCTGGGGATCCAGGGAAACCGGGTGCTCCAGAAGGTCCAACAGGCCCCTGTAGGGATCAGAGGTCAGTTCACAAACGTACTACATCCTGGTTTTGCTATTATTTCACAAAAATACAACATTGACTGGAAGAAACAGTCAACCAATTCTAAATCTATTCAAAAGTATTTGAAAATGGGTACAATTGTGATTGTGTTGTAATACGTGAAGTGCATAATTGATTTCTGCATTGCATTGATGGTATCTTGTACAACCAGTGGTTCCCAACCTTTTTCGGTTACTGTACCACCAACTTAATTTTGCTCTACCCGGAGTACCCCTGGATGGAAACCACTGTTGTACAATAATAATAAAACCTATATGTCTTTGAAACAGTGAGGAAGCAACATGAAGAGTGCCATACGTACGGGAGGACCAGCAGGGCCAGGCAAGCCATCATTACCACGGGCACCCTGAGGAGAGAGCAGACATGGGAGACATTATGATGGTACAGTACTGTGGGTGATAATCGATGGACACATTTACACCATTGAGCACGCTTACCTAAACATAATTGTAATTTTGATTAATTGATTTGCTACACAGCACATATTGAGTAGGTCATCAGGTGTTAACATTAACCAAAGAGAAAGTCCTAAACACTGGGCTGGGATTGTCTGGTAGGCTAGTGTACAGAATGTCACTGGGTCTGGTTAGGATTGATTGGGATTGGGGACATAAATGTTCAAAGCTATTAGGCATATCATTCAGGGATTTGGATCATTTGGTGTATTATTACCTGGATTGTTGAGTTCATGTATTATTCAAGAGTGTATTAGCCCCGTGTAGCTCAGTTGGTAGAGCATGGCGCTTGCAACGCCAGGGTTGTGGGTTCGTTTCCCACGGGGGGCCAGTATGAAAAAATGTATGCACTCACTAACTGTAAGTCGCTCTGGATAAGAGCGTCTGCTAAATGACTAAAATGTAAAATGTAAATGTATTTAAATCAGAGAGAGTTAAAGTCACGTCTGTGTTACTCACAGCAGCTCCAGAAGGTCCGGGACGGCCTCTCTCGCCAGGCAGACCACGTGGTCCCTACAGGAGACAGAGACACGAGATGAACACTCAGCTTGGTCACGTTAAGAGATACAGTAGGCGAATAAGAGCTTTTACTCATAATATTCAGGTAATGCACAGGTGTAACGCTCTCTTACCATTGGTCCAGGTGCGCCGTTCTCTCCGGGAGCACCACCCTCACCCTATGGAGACGAGACAGTCAATCTGTCAGCCAATCAGACTGCTAATCAGACAGTCAGTCAGATAGTCAGACACAAATAGACACAGGAATAGAAATTCAACAATTTGATGAGTAGAAGACTAGGCAGCAGTCTTACCTTGGCTCCAGCAGCACCGCCCTCTCCCTTAGCTCCATCCAGACCAGGGTGACCCTACACACAGACAGACAGACAGACAGACAGACAGACAGACACAGCAAAGAGTCACATCATCTACATCAGCCTCATTAGACTGATTAATTAACACTAATTAGCTAATATATTATCTTGCTAATCATGTTGGACGTGTAACATCATAATATCATTTCTGATGGAGTAGTGATTATAAATGAAGCATAATGAAACACCCACTCTGTGTCCTTTGATTCCAGGAAGACCAGGAGTTCCGGGGAATCCACGAGCTCCCTGAAATAAAGAGATAAATTAGGAAATTGGATACTAAAGGATTCTGTGTGGGATTCATCTGTTAAAGGAACTTCTATCTTTCTTAAGATATTCAATTTTTTATTGAATTGATCTGTAAATATGAAGATGTAACAAAGGCAATTGATGATAAAAAACTAGAGAACGATGATCCATGGTAATGTGCTCTAATGTTTTGGATATGGATTTGTATACTTTTTGGGACTATCCTCTGTCTCTCTGTTTACCTGAGGTCCTGCAGGTCCACGCTCACCATCCTTTCCAGGTTTGCCAGCCTCACCCTAGAAATAAAGAGAGGGAGAAATGATTGATTATGATTATCAGGAGTTTATCAACTGAATAATAAATGTCTAATTTAACTTTTTATATTTCAAGCGGATTCATTCAGCTAGAGGAAGATAATGCACAGGTGTACGTGATGGGGGTGGGGGGAGGTAAATATGGGACTGCAGATTGTGGACATAGAGCAGAAGATTATTTGCACTATAGATATTCAATGGGGGACAATGGTAGGCAAGTGTGGTGCTTTGTGAACTGCTTTGTGATACTGTGTCAAAGAGAATCATGCTTGTGGTTTTAAACAGTGGGGAAGAAACAAGGTCCACTCTTCATGATGGAACAAGGGACACTGGAGTATGGCCTGTCCCAGATCTGTTTGTCCTTTTGCCTTCTCCATTCTCATTGTCAAGCATGACAATTCCATAAGAAGTTGGCAAGAGAGCAGAAACAGACTGTCTCTCAGGCTACTGGAGTATGGCAAGTCAATATGTTTATGATAGTTTGGGCAGGTGGTAAGAGCTTTGTTTTCCAAAGGATAATGTGCTCTATGTACATATGAGGAAGTTGAAGTAACACAGCATATTTAGAGCTCTACATCTGATAGTGAAGCTTTTTGTCCTCGTTGTCCTCAGAGTGAAAATAACATGGTCTGTGCTTGTGCTCTACTTGAGCATGGCTTTGACAACAGAACTCAGACCTGAGCCATGGATCTGGTTTAAGCCTGGCATGGTTCTGGTTTTGTTAATGTAGATGACAATACTTACATCACTTCCTGGTTTGCCAGAAGGTCCAGGGGGTCCGTGGGGTCCCAGTGGGCCCTAGTATAAGGAGAGAGAGGTGGTTGTTATTGTTTAGGCTGGAGGTTGTAGGCTTAATTGTTGTGACTAAGAACAAACTACTGTAAGAAGCTACCTTCCTATAGTTAACTAAAATGAAACAATGCCATTCCACATTTACATCATAACTTAAGTGCCTTCAACCTTGACTTCGAAGTCTTAATGCCAACTCTAATGAAACTGTTATGTAGCAGGCAGTTATGTTAAAAAGGGAACCCTGTCTATTTCTGACATTCACAGCATGTACAGGACGGTGGCATTTTCTTGTTGCTGGTGGTTTGATTTTAATGAAGGGTAATGATGTTGGTGATTTTCACTTGAGCTCTGTTGGGGATGGAGGTCCATGTGATCCTCACATGGGCAGACATTCCATCCACTTCTACAGGTCAGGGATTATAGGTCAAACTGGGTCGGATAAGGGCCATTTATAGAAACTACATGCATAAAACAACTATCAGTGCTGAGGGTGAGAATTGATTCATTATATTGCCCATCTGAGTGGGTTTATTAGACACTTTCACTATAAACCCTCATTTCTCTGTTTCATGTGGTAAGTATGCAATCATATAGCGTAAAATAGAAAATGGCTCCCTAGATAGCTAATACTAGAATGTGGTGGTGCTGCTGCCAAGATCTACGCATTCTATTTCTATATTGGCATCGTGACACAGAGATTTGTGGTGCACCCTGGGATAGTTTTGGATACTCACAGCTGGGCCTGGCTCTCCAGTCTCTCCGGGGTTACCTTGGAAACCTTGTGGGCCCTGGAATTGATTAGAAGGAACATTTAGTCAAAGACATCCTGATAGTCTGCATATTGCTATTAGCTTAGGGTGTCCACAATAGGGATCAATACTGCATATTAGAATACAGATAGTCCATAAAATAATGTCTTAACCATTCAATACAGAATTCTAAAGGGTCAAGCAATATTCTACAGCACTGAGTCGTATGTACATAGACATCTAACACAATGTCTGTAGCTATTAGCTATTAATTTACTGTAGCAATTAAACAACATTATCCTTCTGTTATGGTTATTACTAGGGCTTAGAGAGGTGTCCAGCCCACAGTAATGATGGTGTGTATACTTACAGGGGCTCCAGAAGGGCCTGGTGGACCACGGGGACCCATAGGGCCCTACAGAGGGAGAGGAAATACATAATATTTATAACAATTTATAGCTCAAAGACTATTGGGATATTTGCTAATTAGTCATGTCTTATGACAAAACCCTTTGAATTGTCAGGCAAGCCATTGTATTCGAATAGCATGGTGTATGTGTCTTATGATGTTGCACAATTAGTTAGTTCTCAGGCTATGGTTATACAGTATATGTCAATGGGTCGATGGATGGCATAATATACTCTAGGTTGACTCTTATGGGGGATGGGGGGTGCCATATGCTTCCAAATGCTGCAGTACGTATCCATAGATACGTAAATTCATAGTCCATAGATAATATAAATAAGATATACTTCATGATCATTTCTGTATATTCATTACTGGCTGTCACTATAGAATATTCTATACCAATAGGACAGCACACTCTATACTACAGTATGTTCCATACAGTAGTTCAATTTTACCACAAGGTGGCAGTCTGGCTTCAATACGGTCTTCAAGTCTGTAATACAGCATGCTACTACCACCCTACATTCATCATATGCCTACCTATCTCTTTAGCTTAACACTATTATTTTACATGTTTCATTCATTAATTTTAAAGTATTTTTAATCCCTCTGGATTCTGTTAAATTCATGTAGAGTAACGTCTCCTGTCCCCTTACCATAGGTCCTTGCATCACTCCCATCTGTGCGCCTCCAGCTTTCTCATCGAATCCACCAGCCATCTGAGCAGCAAAGTTCTGCAGAAACACAACAAAGGTAAAGAGACATTGTTACTGAATTGAGTGTCTACAGTAGATTCACTGCCCCCTGGTATCTACCAAAGCTTTCACAGGCTGTATTTTTGCCATACATGATATTTGACCTCACCACTTCTCTGGCGCAACAAAAAATATGGTGGCAGATTTACTTAGTAGTTGCCAGGAGGGATAATATTGGTGAGATTTACTGTGGTACAGTAGCTTAGTAATGTGTCATCCATCCATCTTTCTTTCTCTATCCTTATTCTACTAACAAATAGAGCTTAGTCTCTTTCACCCACACACATACACACACACACACGCAGAATTTTCCAGATACTCTACTGCTACAGTCTGTCAACAGGGAGTGCAGAGTGCTTCTCTGCACCACACAGACAAAGACATAGGCACAGAGATTTGTGGCTGTGACGTCCTCTCTCATCTGATCTACTGTCCTCTCCTCTGTCTTATGCCACTTACCCCGCCAAGGCCTGGGGGTCCGTTAGGTCCGGGTGGGCCAGGGGGTCCGGGGTTCCCGGGGGTGCCAGGCTCGCCATCTCTACCTCTGGGGCCAACATTTCCCTAGGGAAAAGGAGAGAGGGACAAACACAATCAACAATGGGTTCAATACCTAAACATGTTCAGTATTATGACCTTTAATTGGGAAAAGTGAGTGATCGATATTGTTGCATGGCTTTGATGGTGTTGAGGCTGCCTTAGGAGACTGTTACTGAATGTTATTCTGTTCGGAATCAATCAACAAATCACTCAATCAACCAACCAACCAATCAACCAATCAACCAGTCAATCAACTGTAATGCATAAATTAACCTTTCAATTTGCTGCATTACTAGCCTGGCCAGTGGTGGAATAACTGCAGAGAACATATTGAGGTGCTTTAGGGATGCATGCCACTATGTTGTTTGAATCTTATTGTATTATTTTAGCCGTTATAAAGGGGAATCTTCTCCATTTGGGGAGGTTTTCCAAAATAAGGCAGCATATATATCTTACTATCATGGAGCTAAATTCAAAGTCTCATACATAATAAACTATGCAGTGATCTCTCACAGCAATTACAGATGTTGAATGGTTAGCCCTGATTTCAGTCCATACCACAGACGGATCCCTTAAAGTTACAGGGATTCTGTCTTACCTTATCACCCTTATCTCCGGCTGCTCCACGTGGTCCCTGCTCGCCTGGGGGGCCCTGCGCAAACAAACATATTAGGATGGGCAATATGCTCAACACACAGAGTACTTCATCAATGATAATGTTCTGGGGCAAGATGCACATCAGAACTCATCAAAGATATTCTGCAAGGCAAGATACAACACATATAATATTTCATGGAGCAAATACATATTTGAGAGTATGTTTACCATAGGGCCTGCTGGTCCATTTGCTCCTACAACCTGGATAAAGGAACAGAAAGGATAGCTTGTTCAGATATCAATACTTGTTGGGATGAAAGTAGTCTTGTCAAAGGCCTGATGTTTTTGATACAGTGTGGGGTTGCACTGATTTGAATAGCTAAGATGTTGGGAAAGAACATTCCAGGACACTGTGGCCATGGACAAATAACACAAAATAGACTTTACCAGGAAGTCTGTTGACAGACAAGTTAGTTTAGCTGAAAACATCTTCTGCTTGTCAGGGTTCGTTTTCTAAGAATCCTTGCATACCAGTAACTAAATGGACGTATGATGATTGGTTTGGATCCATTATGTCCTAGGAATGTAAGCTTCCTTCCATGTTGTCATTCAAGGCCCTAAAAAAATATTTGTCTAAAACCACCAGGTTCAAAGCATGGTAGCTAATCACTTATCAACTGGAGGCTTTGGCTCTCTTGGAATCACATGATTCCCAAAAAAAAGAAGAACAATGGGCAAATTGGTAATCTGTAACACTCAATGGAATGTTGACTGTCCATCCAAGATACTGAGGAGAGTCAACCCAGATACTGATTTAAAACTGACTTGGATAGCTTTACTGCATGTATGTGAGTTGTAAGTGAGGCTATTGTAACATAGTCACATAGTCTTGAAAAACGTTATATGCCATTGTTCGCGAATGCTTGGCAATGGCATGCATGGGTACTTAAAACAAACCTTCAGTGCCTTCACTTACCAAACATCCCTTTATCACTTTGATTTGATTGACAAAAAAATATTCTGATGTCTTTCTGAGTAAGCATGAGCTATAGTGCATGACCTTGTATACAGCAGCCCATAAGCTACTGTATACATGAACAATACTGAGAAGAAATCAGTGCGTGAGATAATAAAAATCAAGAGGTTCCCTGTGTCAAGAATAGCAGCTAAATAATTTTACTACACTGTAAGGCTGAGGGTGCATACTTACATCTGCAATCTCGCCGGGTTCCCCTTTCTGGCCCTAATAGAGTACATTAACAAGAAAGTCAGTGGTCATCATTTAAACGTACCTGTATTAAGACAAATACTCAAATCATGTACGTCTAAAGTGTTGTTTAGTTTGAGTGTGTGGATGCAGTGTTTAGATGATCACGTAATATGATACAGTCTGATAACACGGTCTAAAATAACACATTGCTGATCCAACAACAGAAAATACCCTTGTATTGTGATTTGTCCATAACAGCTTTCAGAGTAGCTATCATATCATCGTTGCCCATGGTCTCACCTTAGCACCAATCGCCACGTCTGATGTTGCAGATGGGTGGGATGAGGAAGAGAGAGAAAACAACATTAAAAAAGGGTGAACTTGAGACTGCCAATAGCTGTAGAGTGTGTTGGAGGGTAAGCTGTAGTTCCATGTTGAGGGAGATGGTGCAGAAGCAAGCAAAGCCAAGGGGTGGGACAGATGTTTGGATCAAATCCTCAGAGTGTATTGGATACCAAAAATATTTGTCTCTATAGCATATTTTGGAGCCTACAACTGAGTACATTGACACAGCCTATGAAGTTAAAAGCATAAATGGCCTTAGGAGGAAAGTATCCTGTTATGAAATGGCACATTACATGGTTATTATGATAGACTGATGATAAATATCTTCAAGCACTTAAAGTCATTACAGTTTAGTTTTTAAAGAGACTTCTAAATCTTTCAAAATGCATGAAAATTATTGTTTCAGAGAAGAAAGACATAACACATAGACAATGACTGAAATGTGAAAACAGCTTTGGCTTAGTTGTGGTGTTTGATGAGCAAATATGACTATTCTACATTCAAAGTGAATAAATCCTCGAATCTTAATAGTAAGTACATTCGCACTCAATATTATCTTTGCATTTCTTCTCTTTGTTAATGTTATATATTGTGTGTTGAGCCTGGGAGTAGGTTGGGTCAAGTCTGGTAAAGTGAAGTACAATAATGACTCTCACATGTACAGTACCAGTCAAAAGTTTGGACACACCTACTCATTCCAGGGTTTTTCTTTATTTTGACTATTTTCTACATTGTAGAATAATAGTGAAGACATCAAAACTATGAAATGACACATATGGAATCATGTAGTAACCAAAAAAGTGTTAAACAAATAATATATTTACAGTATCTCACAAAAGTGAGTACACCCCTCACATTTTTGTAAATATTTGAGTATATCTTTTCATGTGACAACACTGAAGAAATGACACTTTGCTACAATGTAAAGTAGTGAGTGTACAGCTTGCTGTCCCCTCAAAATACCACAACACACAGCCATTAATGTCTAAACCGCTGGCAACAAAAGTGAGTACACCCCTAAGTGAAAATGTCCAAATTGGGCCCAAAGTGTCAATATTTTGTGTGGCCACCATCATTTTCCAGCACTGCTTTAACCCATGCATGGAGTTCACCAGAGCTTCACAGGTTGCCACTGGAGTCCTCTTCCACTCCTCCATGATGACATCACAGAGCTGGTGGATGTTAGAGACCTTGCTCTCCTCCACCTTCCGTTTGAGGATGCCCCACAGATGCTCAATAGGGTTTAGGTCTGGAGACATGCTTGGCCAGTCCATCACCTTTACCCTCAGCTTCTTTAGCAAGGCAGTGGTCGTCTTGGAGGTGTGTTTGGGGTCGTTATCATGTTGGAATACTGCCCTGTGGCCCAGTTTCCGAAGGGAGGGGATCATGCTCTGCTTCAGTATGTCACAGTACATGTTGGCATTCATGGTTCCCTCAATGAACTGTAGCTCCCCAGTGCCGGCAGCACTCATGCAGCCCCAGACCATGACACTCCCACCACCATGCTTGACTGTAGGCAAGACACACTTGTCTTTGTACTCCTCACCTGGTTGCCGCCACACACACTTGACACCATCTGAACCAAATAAGTTTATCTTGGTCTCATCAGACCACAGGACATGGTTCCAGTAATCCATGTCCTTAGTCTGCTTGTCTTCAGCAAACTGTTTGCGGGCTTTCTTGTGCATCATCTTTAGAAGAGGCTTCCTTCTAGGACGACAGTCATGCAGACCAATTTGATGCAGTGTGCGGCGTATGGTCTGAGCACTGACAGGCTGACCCCCCACCCCTTCAACCTCTGCAGCAATGCTGGCAGCACTCATATGTCTATTTCCCAAAGATAACCTCTGGATATGACGCTGAGCACGTGCACTCAACTTCTTTGGTCGACCATGGCGAGGCCTGTTCTGAGTGGAACCTGTCCTGTTAAACCGCTGCATGGTCTTGGCCACCGTGCTGCAGCTCAGTTTCAGGGTCTTGGCAATCTTCTTATAGCCCAGGCCATCTTTATGTAGAGCAACAATTCTTTTTTTCAGATCCTTAGAGAGTTCTTTGCCATGAGGTGCCATGTTGAACTTCCAGTGACCAGTATGAGGGAGTGTGAGAGCGATGACACCAAATTTAACACACCTGCTCCCCATTCACACCTGAGACCTTGTAACACTAACGAGTCACATGACACCGGGGAGGAAAAATGGCTAATTGGGCCCAATTTGGACATTTTCACTTAGGGGTGTACTCACTTTTGTTGCCAGCGGTTTAGACATTAATGGCTGTGTGTTGAGTTATTTTGAGGGGACAGCACATTTACACTGTTATACAAGCTGTACACTCACTACTTTACATTGTAGCAAAGTGTCATTTCTTCAGGGTTATAGATATACTCAAATATTTACAAAAAGGTGAGGGGTGTACTCACTTTTGTGAGATACTGCACATTTGAGATTCTTCAAAGTAGCCACCCTTTGCACACTCTTGACATTCTCTCAACCAGCTTCATGAGGTAGTCACCTGGAATGCGTTTCTATTAACAGGTGTGCCTTGTTAAAAGTTAATTAGTGGAATTTCTTTCCTTCTTAATGTGTTTGAGCGAATCAGTTGTGTTGTGACAAGGTAGGGGTGCTATACAGAAGATAGCCCTATTTGGTAAAAGACCAAGTCCATATTATGGCAAGAACAGCTCAAATAAGCAAAGAGAAATGACAGTCCATCATCACTTTAAGACATGAAGGTCAGTCAATCCGGAAAATGTCAAGAACTGTCTTCAAGTGCAGTCGCAAAAATCACCAAGCGCTATGATAATAATAAGCCATTTAGCAGACGCTTTTATCCAAAGCGACTTACAGTCATGCGTGCATACATTTTTTTTTTGTGTATGGGTGGTCCCGGGGATCGAACCCACTACCTTGGCGTTACAAGCGCCGTGCTCTACCAGCTGAGCTACAGAGCTACATGAAACTGGCTCTCATGAGGACTGCCACAGGAAAGGAAGACCCAGAGTTACCGCTGCTGCAGAGGATACATTCATTAGTGTTAACTGCATCTCAGATTGCAGCCCAAATAAATGCTTAACAGAGTTCAAGTAACAGACACATCTCATCATCAACTGTTCAGAGGAGATTGCGTGAATCAGGCCTTCTTGGTCGAATTGCTGCAAAGCAACCACTACTAAAGGACACCAATAATAAGAAGAGACTTGCTTGGGCCAAGAAACATGAGCAATGCACATTAGACTGGTGGAAATCTGTCCTTTGGTCTGATGAATCCAAATAAATTCCAACCAGTGGGGGCAGCAGGGCAGATAGGGCAGCACTCTCCGGGTTGGATGATGGGGTTGGCACACTCTTTTATCTCCACGCAGATTATCTCATCACACAGCATTGACCCGCTGTCGCACACACAGATACGACAGGACTCTGACTTCCACACATCCTTATCATTATAGCGATGTTCTTCCTGGATGCAGCTCCCTGCCCCCTCTGTGGCCATCACCAGGGAGTGGTACAGAGGGCATGGGGCAGAGATGGGGTGGAGGGTAGTGGTGGATGGGGGAAGTGTCAGGAAAGGGGTAAACAGGGATGTGTGGGTGGTAGGATGGGGGGGGGGGGGCACAACAGTGATCATAGTAGATAGGTGAGGAGGAGGGAGCATGAGGGGGGCCATGGGTCTTTTTTTTGGCAGGATAAGGTAGAGGGCGAGCAGGATGGGCATTGCGGGCAAGATGGGGTGGAGGAGAGGGGTGGGGGTCACAGAGAGACGGGGGTGGAGGTGAGTGGTGGCAGTTGGGAGGAGGAGGGAGAGAGACACAAGTTATCAGCTTAACATGAGGCCTCATTCACACCACATGCACAGCATCACAACACTCTCACACACATGACTTCACACAACGCTTGAGGGAGTCTCCACCCCCAATGGGGGACTATCAACAGTTTTCACACATCAATGTCCAGCATCACACAAAATCATTAATTATCAACCACATTAAAGACAGAAGCATATCAGCATAATTAATCAAAAACGTATGGCATCAATATGTCCATCATATCCAGGTATTAGCACTAATAGACTAATCTCAAAATGCTACAACATGGATTGGCAGCATGAGCAGACAGGATCTTTCAAGGCACTGGTCTGGATGGGTGCTGATTCGGGACATTGGTTTTACCTGGGGGCCTCAGTCTCACAAGATCTAACCACCAGCCTGTGGTTTATTTTCATAAAGCAGCACATCTCAGGAAGCCTCCCCCAGGTTTATTTATCCTACACCCAAACTGCTAGATTTAGAAAGAAGCCAAAGCACCAAAAACATCCATTCAGATTACAGTAATCATATGCAGGAAGCAGCTTCAATGCAACCAACAAAGAGTACATTTAGCAGTGCCATTTAAAGCCAGTAGTAGGTATTTCGCGCAGTGGAGTAAGTATATTTAACCTGTAGGCCTGCTGCACTCTCTGGTGACCAATGGACCTGCATGAATGAGTCCCTCACATTGGGAGACTGTGCCCAATTGACAAGCTGCTGCCTTAAGTAAACAGGGGGTCCTTTTAAAATTCTCCATCTGGATCTCATAGCTGGGTCAAGCACCAGTTCAAACACATTGGAGAATTGAGAATGGGGAGCTTTCATGCAAAAGGTCTAAGGATTGGCCTGCTAGGCTAAATACAACTATTTGTTTTTCTTGCATTAGTGTGAAAGTGGTTCTTAGCACGTACCTGCTACCAAACTATACTATATAACATGAGTAGTCCATTTAAGCTTTCCCCACATAAGATGTGTTCCACAACTTTTCTTTGAGTTGTGGTGAGATATATATATATGGACACACAATCCCTAATTCATTACTAAATGCTTAAAACTACCAGCACACTGGGCATGTGGCCCCTACATGCTGTTATTTGAAGTACTAAATGGATGAAAAATGAGAGGCTATGTAACACAGGGCCATGAATATGTTGATTGTAAAGCAGCACATTATATATTACACATTGCATGATGTAGTATAGCCCATCTCTCTAGCAACATACAGAGAGTATCCTGTTCCATAGTTTCTTCATAAAACACCCACTCCTCTCTCATTAAGTGACCAACTGCCTTTCACTTCCTGCTACCCTTTGAGCCTACTAGTCTGGGGTCAATCTGTGTCTGACCCTGTCTCTTTAAATTATGAACTATGTCATCTACTGTATTTCAGCCACCACCCAGAAACTCAAGCAATTTCAATCACTCTATTCTAACAAATAGTCACCTTAAACAATATAACTATTCATTTGAAATCAGAACTGATCATGTTGTTTTCTCAGGAGGGTAAATGCCACGCTGGACAACAGTAAAAGTTATCTAAATTGCCTAAAAATCTCTGGAACTGCCAAAGCATCTCAAGAGAGCCACTGTGTCTGTCTGATGTAAATAGATTTGTGCTGTTAAATACTGGCACCACAACTAGAGAGAGCGCTTGTGCAGCGACGGGTTCCACAGTGAATATCCAGTAGTGAAATAAACTGACACTTGTTCACCTAGTCCTCCATCCCACACAGATGTGCCTTGATAGCCTCACCTATCCTCCCAAAAGGAATGTCAACTCTTTCAATGCATAGGCCCTGTATATCTGCAGACACTTACAATGTAATTAAAATATTGTTATTAACTATGTCAAAATCAAACCAGTATTAGGATATACTGTTCAATTCAATACCATTATTTAAATAGTAATTTCTTAATTTGATATCATGGACTGTATAACAGTCCAGATAAATCATATTTAATCTCTGAATTGTATCTGCAAGAATTGTAATTCATAATTGTACAATTCCACCAATGACAGACAGATACTTTTCTGAGTTTGTGCCCCTCCATCAATGTCAATGTTGATATATCTTGTATATCATATCTTGTTTGCAGCAGTTTTACATTCAACACTCTGCCTATTCATTTTGCAGGCGAGAATTGTGCAGAAACTGTAAAGTTGAAATGCCAAGGTAGTGCCACAGACGTACAAAAAGAAAAAGATGAGTTGATAAAATGCGATCATCAGAAGAATCCAAACTTTTGCAAAAGAAGATTCAACAGAAAGATGCAACTTACGGTCATCCTCTTCCTGACATCTGACAATGGATAGTAAAACAACTTGGGATGCTACGAGTAGCAGAACAGTCCGTGAATCCACAAAGCTGAACATGTCTAAATATTAGACATGCAGGACCTTGGGTGAGAAAAAAGATGGGACAGAGCAGACGCAGCTCTCTCAGTGGTGTGTAATTGTGTGTTCCCAGAGACTACAAGGGAACCATGCAGTCAACCTTCCAAAATCGAAGTGGAATCCAACGCGGGGCCCCAGACGGCACTTTACACCCACCGCGTCAGAGCAAGAACCGCAGTTTTATGTCCACTGTGCCTTCTACGAATCTTCGTATATTCCAAAATACCAGTCCTCCCCCCGACCCCCAGTGGAGCTGAAACTCAACCCACATCTCCCTCCCCTCCACTCTATCAGCTTCTATTCTCCCAGGGACCTCTCTCTCCCATTCCTCCTGTGACATGTGGAGATGAGGTAGGCTACCTGTAAGTCACACTTTTTGGTTCTCTCCCAACACCCCATTACAATAGCATGGAGTGTATGGCCACTCACCTGCCAAACTCATATCGATAGACAGCTTCACAATATGGAGATTAGAATATTTGAGGTAGGCCTAGACCTATTAAGAAAGTCGTCAACAACATAATTATGATTTTACCGTTTGCAGGTGGCGAGGTGCATTGAGGCCTTCACTGGATAAGAGTAGGTCTACACTCATTCATTGGCTTCATTTTATTGGCATGTAAAATAGCCAACTCTATTTTATGGGTGTATTAATACACATTTGTAACTCAATAACCTAATATGTGATCTGAATAAATTACTATTGATGTGGTAATGGTAGTGTAGCTCTGATTATGTCACATACAGTTGCAATTTATGTCAACTCCCTAGGACCCATACAGGTGAGAAACAGATCAGCTCCTGTGTGAAGTTAGCTGGTTAAATCCCACACATCTCTGAAATAGTGCTTGAAAGTCCATGGATTCTCCCAAGAGGAAGGTTGGAATCAGATCTCCTCACTTGGTTTGCCTAGCCGACTGTCAATCATGTCACTCACACCTGAAAGTGAATTAAACTGCTGAGCTGTCTGCCTATACAGGCCCTCACACTCAGCATTGGTTGTGCATGGCAAATGTTGTAGGCCTAAAATTTCAACATTTGAACAGAGAATTGTCTCTGCCTCTTTCTCTAAGAATTATAAAAATTGTTACACACCTTTGTTACTAAACATGGTGTTCATCCTCTGGCCCTGAAACAAACCTACATGTGTAAAAAAAAACAAAAAAAAACGTTGCTAACAATAGGAGTTGAGGGTAGATTAAGTGGACCATGGTGTGAACTACTGTAGGGAGCGCTGAAGGCATTGGAACTGGCCAGCGTGTCACTGAGGATTAACTAAATCTAACCTGTCAGATTCTAGAAAGATTCTTGGATTATGGCTTTATGGGTATCTAATTATTGCACGACCTGAAGCAATCTCTGGGTGTGTAGAGCACTCCAGTCAATGACCGTGTACTAAGGGTCAGTCAGAGTTTCGACAAGAGGCCTCTTTGGGCAAAGACCAGTTAACATGAGGCTGTGAGAACCAGTTAAAAGAAGATGTCTTCCACCACTGTTTGCAATGGATATTAAGGGCTGAAAACTGTAGGCGTGTTGACGGCATTTCCAGTAAATGTTGTTAATATCCAGTAATACTGTTGGCTTGAAAACAATTAAACAGTGAACAAAATATATAAACCAACTATAACGAGCTGTAGCTACTCATCAACAGTGTTGGGAATCTACTCTGAAAATATCGTTTACCAAGCTACCAATTACTTCACACTGGAAGAAGTTAAGCTACACTAAAGCTACCCAAGGAAAAATAGTTTACTTTACTAAAGTTACTTTGAAAAAGTAGTTCACTTCATCCAAACTACTTCGTGAAAAATTATCATATGTACATTTGAAATGTCATAGACTATAAATTGCAAGAATAGATCACTTTGGGGTCACATGTAAAACAGAATGTGTAATTTATCCTATTAAACACAACAAACAATGTTTCAAGTGATAATCAGGCAGGTCTGATGCTGAGAAAGTAAATGATTGCCTACGTCACCCATATTTTATTTGAGCAAAAAAAGTAGTATGTTGATTTTTATTTAGTTCAACCACCACCAAGCTACTGCAAAATGTAGTTAAATTACTAGTTGAACTACATGTACAGTGCCTTGCAAAAGTATTCATCCCCCTTGGTGTTTTTCCTATTTTGTTGCATTACAACCTGTAATTTAAATGGATTTTTATTTGGATTTCATGTAATGGACATACACAAAATAGTCCAAATTGGTGAAGTGGAATGAAAAAAATAACAAATAAATTAATAACGGAAAAGTGGTGCGTGCATATGTATTCACCCTCTTTGTTATGAAGCCCCTAAATAAGATCTGGTGCAACCTTCAGAAGTCATATAATTAGTTAAATAAAGTCCACTTGTGTGCAATCTAAGTGTCACATGATCTGTCACATGATCTCAGTATATATACACCTGTTCTGAAAGGCCCCAGAGTCTGCAACACCACTAAGCAAGGGGCACCACCAAGCAAGCGGCACCATGAAGACCAAGGAGCTCTCCAAACAGGTCAGGGACAAAGTTGTGGAGAAGTACAGATCAGGGTTGGGTTATAAAAAAATATCCGAAACCTTGAACATCCCACAGAGCACCATTAAATCCATTATTAAAAAATGGAAAGAATATGGCACCACAACAAACCTGCCAAGAGAGGGCCACCCACCAAAACTCACGGAACAGACAAGGACGGCATTAATCAGAGAGGCAACAAAGAGACCAAAGATAACCCTGAAGGAGATGCAAAGCTCCACAGCGGAGATTGGAGTATCTGTCCATAGGACCACTTTAAGCCGTACACTCCACAGAGCTGGGCTTTATGGAAGAGTGGCCAGAAAAAAGCCATTGCTTAAAGAGAAAAATAATCTAACACGTTTGGTGTTCGCCAAAAGCCATGTGGGAGACTCCCCAAACATATGGAAGAAGGTACTCTGGTCAAATGAGACTAAAATTGAGCTTTTTGGCCATCAAGGAAAATGCTATGTCTGGCGCAAACCCAACACCTCTCATCACCCTAGAACACCATCCCCACAATGAAGCATGGTGGTGGCAGCGTCATTGCCCTGTGACCACATTGCCCTTCATGACAGTAATGTCCACTAATACATGGAGCTTGTTGCTGATATAGTAATGCTAACATGCCACAATGTGTTCAGATGCCCAACAGCCCCTCCAGGCAAACAGAATGGGCCATGGCAGTGTTCGCTTCTTCGCCAGAACCATAACATTCCTGATAGAGACAAGATAACACGTCAGACTCTCTTCATTGTGAAGCCCTGCAGTGGTGGATGGAGATGAAAGGGGATGAAATGTCTGTATGTATGATCTTTATCATGTACCTCTCTGTGGCAGATAGGGCCAGGTGAGAGAGCCTGAAAGCGGGTCTTTGTTGAGTCGAAAGGCACAGTCCTTCCAGGATCATGACCTAATAGAGAGCCCCCTCATTACTCATACAGGGAAGAAAGAGCCTGAACCCTCCATCCATCTCACCCTGGGTCACGTTCTGCTCTTACTGTAACAACTGATCCAGGGACAGTTTTATTGTTTAGTGAATATTGGTTAAGGTTAGGATTGGGGAAGGGAGAGTTGATCGGAAATCAGTTGTTATGTAAGAGCATAGGAAGCATATTGTCCAATACCATCCTCATTTCTGACCATGCTATTGTCTATTCTTGAAGCAACTATAGCGAGCAGCTAGCTCTGAATGTCTGTCAGAGAGATTAGCTTTGTTTTAAATGACCATCAAGGATGCCCAATTTGCCGATGACCCCAGCAAAGTCCAGTTCACATTAATCTCTCTGGAATTTAAAGTGCCTGTCCCAGCTGAACCAATAATATTGTAGTGAATTTGGGGGGTAGTCCCAACAGGGACTCAAACCCGGGTCCAGTGACTGTCAAGCCAACACTTTAATCGTTACGCCAAGAGGTCCGAACATCTTGACGAGGTCACTAGGTGTTGGGTTAAGGTTGCTACAATATGTTCTATTGAGACAATAGACCACAGCACACTCTCCTTCTCCATAACACATTCCCAGTTTACCAGGTCAAGTCAGGTCAAAGGCCTGGTTACATGAATGAAGATGGAGGGTCAGCATTGGTTTAAGGGGAAGGTGTCTTGATTTAAGGGCCAATCTTTAGAGAAAAAAAGGTGTATAGCCCCAAAGCACATTTATTCTACTTGAATAGATAATGGGACTTCCCTTTGCTTGCAAAATATCTCATTATATGAAATCAAATCAAATCAAATTTTATTTGCCACATGCGCCGAATACAACAGGTGTAGACCTTACAGTGAAATGCTTACTTACAAGCCCTTAACCAACAATGCAGTTTTAAGAAAAAATGTGTTATGTAAAATATAGTCGAGGTAATATGTACAGTGAGGGAAAAAAGTATTTGATCCCCTGCTGATTTTGTATGTTTGCCCACTGACAAAGAAATGATCAGTCTATAATTTTAATGGTAGGTTTATTTGAACAGTGAGAGACAGAATAACAACAACAAAATCCAGAAAAACGCATGTCAAAAATGTTATAAATTGATTTGCATTTTAATGAGGGAAATAAGTATTTGACCCCCTCTCAATCAGAAAGATTTCTGGCTCCCAGGTGTCTTTTATACAGGTAACGAGCTGAGATTAGGAGCACACTCTTAAAGGGAGTGCTCCTAATCTCAGCTTGTTACCTGTATAAAAGACACCTGTCCACAGAAGCAATCAATCAATCAGATTCCAAACTCTCCACCATGGCCAAGACCAAAGAGCTCTCCAAGGATGTCAGGGACAAGATTGTAGACCTACACAAGGCTGGAATGGGCTACAAGACCATCGCCAAGCAGCTTGGTGAGAAGGTGACAACAGTTGGTGCGATTATTCGCAAATGGAAGAAACACAAAAGAACTGTCAATCTCCCTCTGCCTGGGGCTCCATGCAAGATCTCACCTCGTGGAGTTGCAATGATCATGAGAACGGTGAGGAATCAGCCCAGAACTACACGGGAGGATCTTGTCAATGATCTCAAGGCCGCTAGGACCATGGTCACCAAGAAAACAATTGGTAACACACTACGCCGTGAAGGACTGAAATCCTGCAGCGCCCGCAAGGTCCCCCTGCTCAAGAAAGCACATATACAGGCCCTTCTGAAGTTTGCCAATGAACATCTGAATGATTCAGAGGAGAATTGGGTGAAAGTGTTGTGGTCAGATGAGACCAAAATTGAGCTCTTTGGCATCAACTCAACTCGCCGTGTTTGGAGAAGGAGGAATGCTGCCTATGACCCCAAGAACACCATCCCCACCGTCAAACATGGAGGTGGAAACATTATGCTTTGGGGGTGTTTTTCTGCTAAGGGGACAGGACAACTTCACCGCATCAAAGGGACGATGGACGGGGCCATGTACCGTCAAATCTTGGATGAGAACCTCCTTCCCTCAGCCAGGGCATTGAAAATGGGTCGTGGATGGGTATTCCAGCATGACAATGACCCAAAACACACGGCCAAGGCAACAAAGGAGTGGCTCAAGAAGAAGCACATTAAGGTCCTGGAGTGGCCTAGCCAGTCTCCAGACCTTAATCCCATAGAAAAACTGTGGAGGGAGCTGAAGGTTTGAGTTGCCAAACGTCAGGCTCAAAACCTTAATGACTTGGAGAAGATCTGCAAAGAGGAGTGGGACAAAATCCCTCCTGAGATGTGTGCAAACCTGGTGGCCAACTACAAGAAAGATCTGACCTCTGTGATTACGAATGCAAATCAATTTATAACATTTTTGACATGCGTTTTTCTGGATTTTTTTGTTGTTATTCTGTCTCTCACTGTTCAAATAAACCTAACATTAAAATTATAGTCTGATCATGTCTTTGTCAGTGGGCAAACGTACAAAATCAGCAGGGGATCAAATACTTTTTTCCCTCACTGTACATGTGTGTAGAGTTAAAGTGACTATGCATAGATAATAACCAGAGTAGCAGCAGCGTGAAAAAGAGGGGGTGGGGTGGGGTGGGGGGGGACAATGCAAATAGTCCGGGTGGCCATGATTAGCTGTTCAGGAGTCTTATGGCTTGGGGGTAGAAGCTATTAAGAAGCCTTTTGGACATAGACTTGATGCTCCGGTACCGCTTGCCATGCAGTATCAGAGAGAACAGTCTATGACTAGGGTGGTTGGAGTCTTTGACAATTTTTAGGGCCTTCCTCTGACACCACCTGGTATAGAGGTCCTGGATGGCAGGAAGCTTGGCCCCAGTGATGTACTGGGCCGTACGCACTACCCTCGGTAGTGCCTTGCGGTCGGAGGCTGAGCAGTTGCCATTCCAGGCAGTGATGCAACCAGTCAGGATGCTCTCGATGGTGCAGCTGTAGAACTTTTTGAGGATCTGGGGACCCATGTCAAATCTTTTCAGTCTCCTGAGGGGGAATAGGCTTTGGCGTGCCCTCTTCATGACTGTCTTGTTGTGTTTGGACCATGATGTGGACACCAAGGAACTTGAAGCTCTCAACCTGTTCCACTACAGCCCCGTCGATGAGAAAGGGGGTGTGCTCAGTCCTCTTTTTTTTCCTGTAGTCCACAATCATCTCCTTTGTCTTGATCACGTTGAGGGAGAGGTTGTTATCCTGGCACCACGCGGCCAGGTCTCTGACCTCCTCCCTATAGGCTGTCTCATCGTTGTCGGTGATCAGGCCTACCACTGTTGTGTCGTCGGCAAACATAATGATGGTGTTGGAGTCGTGCCTGGCCATGCAGTCATGGGTGAACAGGGAGTACAGGAGGGGACTGCGCACGCACCCCTGAGGGGCCCCCGTGTTGAGGATCAGCGTGGCAGATGTGTTGTTACCTACCCTTACCACCTGGGCCCGTCAGGAAGTCCAGGATCCAGTTGCAGAGGGAGGTATTTAGTCCCAGGGTTCTTAGCTTAGTGATGAGTTTTGAGGGCACTATGGTGTTGAACGCAGAGCTGTAGTCAATGAATAGCATCCTCACGTAGGTGTTCCTCTTGTCCAGGTGGGAAAGGGCAGTGTGGAGTGCAATAGAGATTGCATCATCTGTGGATCTGTTGGGGCGGTATGCAAATTGGAGTGTCTGGGGTTTCTAGGATAATGGTTTTGATGTGAGCCATGACCAGCCTTTCAAAGCACTTCATGGCTACAGACGTGAGTGCTACGGGTCAAGTAGCATAAAAAGTATAAAATTATACATTAAATTGTTCTTATACCTTTGTAGTAATTCAGTAATTACTCTAGTAATTGTAAATTAATTATAGTAAATTGTTAGGAAAACTGATAAGGTACGGAGGTAGTGATCACTTCTTACTTCATAGCAGGGTTTTATGATAAATGCAGCTGTTTTCAATCATACATAGGTGGTGGTCCACCTACTCCGGGATCCCTCAATCACTTAATATCCCATCAACGCTATTCAGAGTTTTTCTTCCTCTCAGATTCCAATCCACATCCTCACATTACTGTTACCATAGAAGGTCCCATGTAGCTCAGTTGGTAGAGCATGGCGCTTGCAACGTCAGGGTTGTGGGTTTGTTTCCCACGGGGGGCCAGTATGAAAAAAAAAAACATGTATGCACTCACTAACTGTAAGTCGCTCTGGATAAGAGCGTCTGCTAAATGACTAAAATGTAAGGAGGTTGATAAAGACTACAGAGGTGGTAACTCAGATGACAGTGGCAGATTTCTAAGATAAACATTGTAGGAGAAAATGAGAGATTGGGAATGAAAGAGAAGAGGGCTCGAAGGGAATATGGAATTCTTGCTTCTGTCCACTGCATCTTAAAGGTGATCATGATGATGGGGAATCAGAAGTACCTAACATTGAACTGGAATATATAGCACTGCAATCTGCACTGAAGGCATCGTTCAACTGTTTGCCTACTAGACGGCCATTTTGGGGACTTATTTGGAATGTTCAGTTTTACTGATACACACTGCTGCATTTCTCAATGTAGGCCAACTATTCTATACCTTTAGATTACAACAATGGGTCAATTCAACTGTGCCACCACACTGGTCGCCTAGGTCCATCCAGAGAACTAAACCTGTGATAGAAAAGCCTGTCCAGGGGGATTGGAGGGACGCCATGTGCGACTGACGTGTTTTCCGTTTGCTCCCGTGGTATTTTTAAAGTTTATGTGAATTTTGCAGCAAAACCGTATTTATTTTCATATATTATTTTGGTGATCCCTTCCCGTAAAAACCAAGACTACTTTACTTCCAAATATCAGCATGTCGACGAAACATAAGGCCAAAAGCATGACTTTGAGAAAACCCGGCCTACAAGACACACTCTCATCACCGCCCTCCCCTGAGCCTGACGACCCGGGGACTGATACTCTACCCGGGGGGGCGGCTTGGCCTGGCGGCGCTGAAGTGAACATTCTCGAGGCCATCAAACTACTACGCTCTGAGATAGTTGAAATGAAAACGGAGGTGGTTGCTACGATTGAGGCCCGAATAAAGGAGGTTTCTGATACTTTAAAAGCAGATTTAACCATCCTGCGGAACGAGACAGTGCCGGCAATCGCATCACTCAAAACAACAATGGAGTCGCACACTACAACGATCGCAGCACTGGAGACCTTCGCTACAAATGTCTCCGACTTAACTACATCCCTGGAGGCTGACGTGAAACGCCTAGCTGCGGACTTGAAAAAGGTGAAGGAGAGCTGTGTAAGTTTGGAGGGATTCTCTCGCCGCAATAACCTGAGACTTGTATCAGTCCCAGAGTCAGCGGAAATGCCTCGCGCCACGGATTTCGTTTCTGGGCTGCTGAAGGATGTTCTAGCCTTGGATGAAAAGCCCCTGATTGATCGTGCCCACCGGTCGCTGCGCCCAAAGCCCCGGGAGGGGGAGAGGCCCCGTGACATAATTCTTCGAGTGCACTTTTTCCATGAGAAGATGGAGATTCTCCGACGAGCCCGCAATACCACTCTGAGCTTTCAAGGACAGAGGTCCTCCATCTACCAGGACTACTCCCCCACTGTTTCCAGGCAGCGCGCAGCCTTCGGACAGGCCAAACGACTACTTCGGGACCATCCAGGTGTGAAGTACGGACTGCGATTCCCGGCCCGTTTATGGCTATCTCATGATGGTAAAGACTACACATTTGAATCTCCGGATGAGGCTCTCTCTCACATTCAACGTCACATCAAGAAGTCTTGAACTTGCTCATAGATCAGCAACTGTTGCTAGCGAACTGTGGATAGTAAGTAACCCACCTGTGGTACAACTATGTTTAGCTACAACATGCTAATTTTGTATAGTTGGGGGGTTGGCGTACCCATTCAGGCTTATTTGATGTGATCTAATGTTTTGATCATCTAGTGTGCTTGCCTTACAAGCATTCAGTCATTTTAATCTCATTGTATTGCGGTTTTACTATACTCCTGTGTTTTCTAGGCTGTCTTGCTCACCTATTCAGTTTGTTTACATAGTGTCTCAGTGACTCAAAATATTCTTGGTTATTTGCTTACTGCATCCGTTTGCATTGACCCAGTAAACAGTAAATGCTTCCCGAGGCGACACGTTTTTTTGGGGTCTTCACTTAAATTTTAAGGCTCAGAGCGTCATTTATGCCCAGCAAGCGTTAAACGTTGCGCACACGTAGTTTTTTGGTCTTGGTTGTAAGCTGTCTCAGCATTCAACTAGACAACTATTATAATAATAATTATTATTATCATTTTTGATTGTCTTACTACGATTTCCTTACTTCAAATTAGGTTTTCGGCTGAGAGCCGTTACACATTCTATTTATTTTCTTTATTTTCCCTCTCAAATGCCTGTTATAAGACTGGGAATATAATTATATACATCTACAAGTGGTGCTTTTGTAATTTCGTCTGCACAAGGGATTCACCTTAATCTCTTTTATTTAAAAAATGATTATCTCTTTTTGCTGTTTGATCCACTAACAAAACACGACTTTAAAGAGCGGGACTGTGGGTTTAGGTTTAAGACCGCACTCTCACAGACATACTGTGCGAAGAGAACATGCTCTATTTAGGCTTGTACCTCGTTTGGGGAGGTACTGTCTGGGATGGGGGGAGGGGGTGGGGGGGAGGGGTTGAATTGTTCAGTTCTAATGTTGTCATTCTGTCTTTTTTGTTTTTTTTTCGGTACTTTTTCTCAACATCTACCACCGTACATTATTACTCTGAGACAAGTTATTCTGGGGTTTCTGGGCGCTCATTGCTTTTCCATTCTATGCTCTAATGACGGGGTTGTATAACGGGAATGCCCAGAGGGGCCGAAACAATGCGATCAAATACATTTCGTGGAACACCAAAGGGGTTAATAACCCAGTGAAACGTAAGAGGGTGTTGACACACTTAAAGGGTTTGAATGCAAATGTTGCATTTCTACAAGAGACTCACTTGAGGACTGGTGAGCACTTCAGGATGCGTAGGGACTGGGTTGGTCAAGTGTTCCACTCTAACTTTCATAGTAAATCAAGAGGGGCTGCCATTTTGGTTGATAAAGTCACTCCCTTTGTAGCTTCTGAGGTTATCGCTGATCCTAAGGGACGATACGTCATAGTAACCGGTAAACTGTTTTCTACCCCTCTTGTTTTGGCTAGTGTTTATGCTCCCAATTGGGATGACACAAGTTTCATTTCTTCCTTTTTGTCTGCTATACCCAATTTAGACTCTCATTTATTGATTTTAGGGGGGGATTTCAACTGCAAAATGTCCCCAGTTCTTGACAAGTCCTCACGAACAACTACAGGCCCATCTAAATGTGCCCTACTTATTCAAGCCTTTCTTCAGAAATATGCCATGTTTGAGGCCTGGCGTTTCCTACATCCTACAGATAGACAGTATTCCTTTTATTCTCATGTTCATCAAACATACTCCCGAATTGATTACTTCTTTTTGGACAAAAAACTTTTGCCTAACCTTCGGCAGTGTACTTACAAGAGTATTGTTATTTCGGACCATTCTCCATTAGTGCTTGAACTAGAGTTTCCCCAGCGACCTCCTATGTGTTATCAATGGCGTCTTAACCCCATTTTACTCTCAGATAAGGAGTTTGTCAATTTCATTTCTTCTGAAATCACCTTATTCCTAGAAACTAATTCAACACCAGGTATGTCCTGCTCTACCATATGGGAGTCTCTCAAAGCATACCTACGTGGCCAAATTATTTCTTATACAGCCAACCAAAACAGAGTTCGCTCTCAGCGACTTCGGGACCTGAGCGAATCCATAGCCACATTGGATGAGAAGTATGCCACGGTTCCTTCCTCTGATCTGCATAAAGAGCGCCAACTACTCCAATCTGAATTTGATGAGCTTTCTACCAGGCAAGCTGAACAGCTACTCTTGCGAGCTCGGTACAGAGTGTATGAACAAGGCGACAAGGCCAGTAAACTCCTTGCACATCAGATCCGTAAATCTGAGGCCTCACGTTTAATCCCACAAATAAGGACCCCGTCTGGTGCCACCACAGTTATACATAAAGAGATCAATGATCAATTCAAACAATTTTATTCTGCGCTATACACCTCTGAATCCCCTCAAGACCCTTTGCTGATTGATTCCTTCTTTAATGGCCTGAATATGCCTTCAATTGATACAGACACCCATGACTATCTAGAAGAAGAATTTACACCTGAGGAGATTGCAACAGCAGTGTCCGCAATGAAAAGCGGTAAATCACCGGGTCCGGATGGTTTTCCAACCGAATTTTACAGGACGTTTTCTGGTCTGCTTTGCCCATTCTTGTTTCGACTATTTGCAGAGTGCCTTAATACCTCAAAGCTACCGCCTAGTCTTTATCAAGCTTCAATTTCATTACTATTAAAGAAAAACAAAGACCCTATGGAATGTGGATCCTTTCGCCCAATCTCGCTTTTAAACTGTGATTACAAAATCCTAGCCAAGCTTTTAGCCATCCGTATGGAAGGCTCGCTGCATCAAGTAATACACTCTGACCAGACTGGCTTTGTGAGAAATAGGCATTTGTTTTTCAATATTAGGCGCCTTATGAATATACTGTACTCCCCTGCGTCGGAGGACCCAGAGGTGGTGGTCTCACTTGATGCAGAAAAAGCATTTGACCGCGTTGAGTGGGATTACCTAACAGCCACCCTTTATAGATTTGGCTTTGGCCCCAAATTCATTGCGTGGATAAAGATTCTTTATTTTTCCCCCATGGCTTCGGTACGGACTAACAACTTGTCCTCTGACTATTTTCCCTTGCACCGCGGATCCAGACAGGGCTGTCCACTCTCCCCCTTGTTGTTTGCTTTGGCAATCGAACCTCTCGCCATTGCATTACGCTCTAATGATGCCATTCAAGGAATAACCCGGACGGGCTCAGAGCAGAAAGTCTCGCTATATGCGGATGACCTCCTTTTGTTTATCTCTAACCCTGATACCTCATTGCCACGCGCCTTATCTGTTCTTAAAAGGTTTGGATCAATCTCAGGGTACAAGCTGAATCTAGGCAAGAGTGAGCTTTTTCCTGTAAACAAGGCTGCTTTAAAGTGCTCTTTTACAAGCTCTCAGTTTAGGATTGTCCGGGATCAATTCACCTACTTGGGAGTCAAAGTGACAAGGAAATATTCAAATCTGTTTCAGGAAAACTTGGTTGCTCTAGCAGACAGTTTGAAACAATCTTTTGCTTTTTGGAAAGCGCTACCTCTTTCTCTTATCGGAAGGATTAATGTCATTAAAATGAGTGTGTTGCCCAAATTTCTATATTTATTTCAATGTCTACCCATTTTTATTCCAAAGTCTTTTTTTATTTCACTGGATCAAACATTCATGCATTTTATTTGGGATGGCAAGGTACCACGGATTGGTAGGAAACATTTACAGAAGCCTAAGTCATTGGGGGGTTTAGCTCTACCAAATTTTCAGACATACTATTGGGCTGCAAATTTCAGAGCCCTTCTGTACTGGCTGCAGACTGATCCTACTGGCCCTAGACCAATCTGGGTCCAGATGGAGTCTGAATCGTGTAAACCTGCTGCACTTTCTTCTGTGTTGTGCTCGTCTCTCCCAGTGTCCCTTGGCAAAAGGTGTGTCAACCCAATTGTAAAGCAGTCTCTTAAAATTTGGAATCAGTTCCGCTTAGCCTTTGGCCTCCGAGGCTTTTCTCTATCAGGCCCAATCAATCAGAACATTTTATTTCCTCCATCTTTGAATGATGGGGCTTTTGACATCTGGCACTCACTAGGCCTCTCCTCACTAGCCCAATTATTCTTTGATGATACATTTGCCTCTTTTGCTCAGCTACAGGAAAGGTTCAACCTCCCCCAATCCCACTTTTTCCGCTATCTCCAGACTAGGAACTTTGTCAGAGCTAACACACCTGAATTTCCCCATAGGCCTGTGAATACAGCTATAGAGAGCATCCTGGAGCTGAACAAGCTTCCTAGGGGCGCAATTTCAGATGTATATGCAATCATTCATGACTTACAGAACCCTTCTTTGGTGCCTTTAAAGACTCGATGGGAAAAGGATTTGGGGGAGGAACTTGGGGAAGACACCTGGGAATCTGTGCTGCGCAGGGTGCATTCGTCCTCTTTTAGCACTAGACACAGCCTCATCCAATTCAAGGTGGTTCACCGTATCCACTGGTCTGGGGCCAGACTTGGAAGAATATTCTCTGATTTTGATCCTACCTGTGTCAAATGTAAAATTGAACCGGCCACACTGTTGCATATGTTCTGGGGCTGTCATAAACTGTCAGGTTTCTGGGAATTAATATTTAAATGTTTCTCTGATATATATAACACTGTTATAGATCCCTCTCCCCTTACAGCCCTTTTTGGAGTACTGCCCATAAGCACCCCCCTGTCAAGAATCCAGTCGGACACTGTTGCTTATACAACTCTTTTAGCTAGACGGCTAATACTACAGAACTGGAAGATGGCAGCTCCCCCATCTTATAAATATTGGGTGAGAGATGTGTTGTGCTCTATGAAGCTAGAAAAAATTAAATTCAATTCACGTGGGAACCCCAAACTGTTTAATGAGGCTTGGGCTCCATTCCGGTCTTACTTTAAACAGTCCATCCTCTGATAGCATTCCTATTAAAACCAAAATAAGTCTATATTTGACCCCCCTGTGACTTAGGGGTTGGATGAGCATTTCTCTGTGTTTTTTTTCTGGGGTGGGGGTGGGGGGCATTAAGGTTGATGTGCTTATTGATTGTGACCTGCGGATGCCCTGTTCATCTCGCCCGGGCAGAGACTAAGGTGTGAGCTTGTTTTTCCCAGTTATTTTAATTTTTTTAATTCTGTTCACGCCTACATAAAATTATCAATATTCATTTTTTATTTTTAAAGCATTGTAACTTTTTATTTTTGGTCCAGTGGATGATTGGTCTGTGGCCTTGACTGTCTGTGAGTGGTTGCATTTCTCCACCCCATCCCTTAACTGTTTACAGGAACAATGGTGAGGTATTTGCTCTGTCCCTATACTAGAGATTGCCCTTTAACCTTTTGTAGCCTTCTGCCTGGTGTGTTTAACTTGTCTAAAGTATGGTATCTTTAAAGTTATTATTTTTTTTTTTTTTATTTTTTTTTTTTATATGTATTATTTGTATTTTTGTCTAGTTGAGTATATTATTTATATTGCTTTGTCTTGTCTGTGTGTGTGTAAAACTTATTAAACAGAGTTCTCAAAAAAAGAAAAGCCTGTCCATTCTAGACATTCTATTTCTCTGTTTCCCCTAACTGTACGCTGCCTCCATCTCCCTGAGCACACAATAGGCCTCTGTGTGCAGGGCCCACGGAATGCTGCGAGATGGCAGGGCAGTGGGGATAGCTGCCTGGTGAGGATGGGGGATTGAGGAAGGGTGGGGAAAGTAGGAGGATGGAGGGGTTGGGGTTAGGGGGGTATGGGAAGGGGTGGTGGTGACGGAAGGAGAGGGAGGGGGGTTGATCTTTCAGGACTGTACGAGCTGCACAGAGGCTCCAGGGGTCTAGAGGGTGTCTAGGTTTCGGCACAGTGACCGCTGTGGAGGCGTGGCTGTGGTTTGCTAAGTACACTGAGAGCAGGGGAGCGGTATCTGGACAGGGCCTGTATGCAAGTACATTCTCTGTCTATAAAATATCTTACTTATTGTATCCTTTTCTATTATAATTTCGTAAATGGTGCATTTTGAAAGTTGGATAAGTTACCCAAATAATAGATTACCAGAAACCATGGGACCAGAAAGGTGATCAGATACAAGGGTTATTTTTTTTTTCAACACTGTACAATTGCACTGTGTTCAACTGGAGGAACTCTTAACTTCTGCTGAGGAGAATGAGGAGAATACTTGGATGTCAGTGCACATCTCTGGTGTGAAGATGTCTTGGTGAAAAAACTTCCTCTAGTGGAAGTCTGGTAGAACTGACTGACTACTCTAGCTCTGGCCATCCACTGTCCAGTCACCATTTAGAAGAGCTTGGGTTTGGCATGTATTTGTATCTGTTTGAGCTCCACTACTGGGAATATATTGCATGAATGTTTTATGATGAGTCATTTAGTTTTCACTCATCATGGTCTGGCATGGCACAACAAAGCTTCAGTTTTTACGTAGTTACCATCCTGTTGGTGTCTGCCAGGCCTGTGTGTGTGTGTGTGTGTGTGTGTGTGTGTGTGTGTGTGTGTGTGTGTGTGTGTGTGTGTGTGTGTGTCGCTCTGGATAAGAATGTCTGCTAAATTACTAAAATGTAAATGTGTGTGTGTGAGTGCACTGCCAGGCCTGTACGTCCGTGTGTCACTATGTGGAGGAATGTGGGAGAGAGTAAATTTGGCAAAGAGTGGGTATTCCATTCACGCTGGGTGGTAGATGGATTAATGGGCTGTGTACTTTAATTTGATCTATTATTGATCTAACTATTCATTATATGTCTACAAGCATTTAACATTCTCTAATTAGAAAGTTTTGTTTCACCACTCACAATTCAAATTTTGCTCTCGCTATGACCAATACCAAATGAACACCTAACAAGTAATCTAAAGTTGAAAGCGGGGGGATATGTTGAGATTGGAAAGTAAAAATTCCCTTCGGAAAGGAAAAGCATCAAATGAAGGTGTCACTGACACTTTTTTTCATCACTGGCTTTTTTTCAACATCATTCTAACCTTCTGCGGTGCAAAGCAAGAAAGGCCTACCTCTTGCCCAAGAGGGTTTAGGGAGGGTCAGAAAAACAAACAACATCCCCTCTTCCTCAGAGAACAACAGCGTAATTGGAGACTGTGGGCAAAACACTCCTCTTTGATCTCTTCTTTAGCACTTCATGAAGTAGTTGTGTTTTAGGGTCGTGTGCACTCTCTGAAATGTGCTTGTGTGAAATCGTCCATTGCTATTAGCCACGTAGATAGCACTATTTGAGACACTCTGAACTGCTAAAGGAATCCCAGACAAGCTTTGGACCCAACAGAAATCTATAGCAGTTTCTCCTAAATCCAGGATATCATGAGTATGGTTCTTCACATTGTTTCCTCGTCATCTCAATCAAGCTGCCCATTTAGCTGGCCACTGTAGCCTTAGGCAAAGGCCCACTGCATGTTGTGCATAACACTTTCTGATAAAGAAAAAACATGGTGACTTTTTAGGTGAATCTGTTAACTACTATATTTCACTGGATTACTTTTTGACCTCATATTTCTGCCCAAATACAGCATCACCGACCTTCAACTCTTCCAAACTGACCGTCCATTTTGGGTTCTTCTAAGCTCCAGGGCTTTATCCAGGCTGACAGACTACTGAGGCCGACTCAAAGCAGCAGGCTCCTCCGAGTATGTTTATTTTCCTGTGTGAGACGGTGAAGGGGGAGGTGAAGTTTGTGCAGGCATGGAGAGCGGGGCATGGGGGCTTTCTTACACAAGATGGAGGCTGGGGGGACAAAGCTGGCATTCATGGGCCGAGGAATGGAAAACATTTTCTCCTGAAAACAGAGAAGCTACAACCGGCAGAGGTAGTGCAGGGAGACCATGGGTTAGCATGTAACCCTTTTGGAGGTCGCATGCCTACGGAGGCAAATCCAAAGGCTGCACCAGCGCCGAATGAGGCCTCGTTTATTTGGGAATGGAGGTAATATTATGTCCCCTCTTAGAGTCAATCTGGACTGGAAGTGGATACCATAGCATTCTACTCACCAGGAGGAGAGTGGCAGAGTCTGAACGGTTATCGGCAGTACAGCCTATACGGTCTAAAACTCATGTAATATAATATCATTTACATTTTAGTCATTTAGCAGACGCTCTTATCCAGAGCGACTTACAGTTAGTGAGTGCATACATAATTTTTGTATTTTTCATACTGTTCCCCCGTGGGAAACGAACCCACAACCCTGGCGTTGCAAACGCCATGCTCTACCAACTGAGCTACATCCCTGCCAGCCATTCCCTACCCTACCCTGGACAACTTGTGCGCCTCCCCATGGGTCTCCCGGTCACAGCCAGCTACGACAGAGCCTGGATTCGAACCAGGATCTCTAGTGGCACAGCTAGCACTGCAATGCAGTGCCTTAGACCACTGCGCCACTCGGGTGTGTGCAGGAATTTTTCAACTACGAGGACTGATGGGTGGGGAGTCTGGGGACCATTGGGGGCCTTGACTGTCTGCATGACAACAATCATGTCTCCTGAATGCAAAGTGCCTTGAAGTGAGCTCCTCTTGTTAGAATCTTGGTAAATGTAATCCCCCAATTTATGATGATCCTCTCCTTAATTAGTTTTTTCATATTACATTAGAGATAGATATCCAATAAGGTAACTGTTTAAAGATTTGAGAAAAAGTTTATAAATGCACCTGTGTAGGTTCCTATTATCTTATGTTTACTCTAGTAGCCCGTAATGGCTTAACCAGTCAAATCATTTCCCAAGAGAGGCTATTCTAGCATGTAACCCTTTTGGAGGTCGCATGCCTATGGAGGCAAATCCAAAGGCTGCACCAGCGCCGAATGAGGCCTCGTTTATTTGGGAATGGAGGTAATATTGTAGCTCAGCTGGTAGAGCACGGCGCTTGTAACGCCAAGGTAGTGGGTTCGATCCCCGGGACCACCCATACACAAAAATGTATGCACGCATGACTGTAAGTCGCTTTGGATAAAAGCGTCTGCTAAATGGCATATTATATTATTATTATATTATTGATCATGCTGAAGAAAAGGTCTGTTAGTGTGTTGTACACAAATACTGAGCACATGAAGGATCCGAGAGGTACAGAGAGCCCACTGGGCAAAAACCGATTGAATCAACATTGTTTCCACGTCATTTCAACCAAAAACTAAATGTGATGATGTTAAATCAACGTGGAAAACTGATTGGATTTCCAAAAAGTCATCAACATTAGGGAATTTCGTCTTTTTTTCACTGAACTTTTAACCTAAATTCAATGACAGGGTGACATTTTTGGTTGATTTCACGTTGAGTTCACGTTAGTTGACAACTCAGCCAAATGTAAATCAAAACTAGACATTGAACTGAAGTCTGTGCCCAGTGGGAGGTGAGCAGTGATGCGTGGGCAGGCTGCCCAGACAGACTGAAGTACAAGACAGGAAGCCAGTCCCTTCACTCAAAGGCTTGTGGGTAGGAACACTGTGTGTGTGTGTGTGTGTGTGTGTGTGTGTGTGTGTGTGTGTGTGTGTGTGTGTGTGTGTGTGTGTGTGTGTGTGTGTGTGTGTGTGTGTGTGTGTGTGTGTGTGTGTGTGTGTGTGTGTGTGTGTGTGTGTGTGTGTGTGTGTGTGTGTGTGTGTGTGTGTGTGTGTGACAGACCCCTGAGAGATGTCCTCTCGTGGATACAATAGACACACAGACAGTGGCAATCAACCCTGACCTGAGACCTGGAGTGAGTGTGACACCTACAGGCAGGGATGTAAACAGACAGCAGAACAGGTCTTACTAGTTTATTATGGGGTAACATGAACACTTATACATGTGTGAAATAGGACAAATATAAGCACCCACAAAATTATTATTATTATGGAGTTGCCGCGGCCTGGAAATTAAAACCGCCTACTGCCCTGCCCTACTGATCTAAAAATGATTGTGTGTTTACTGTTTTTCAAGGTTATGGATTTGAAAGGGTATTATAGGGCAAATAGGGACAGGTTGTTATTTTAAACATGGAATGTAATTTAAATCCATAAATCTATATCAGAAGTTGGCTATAAGCTCCATACAGATAACCACACTAACTACAAGGTTGATGTAGGCCTAGATTTAATTGAACATGAAATGTAAGGGTATCATTTGATAATTTGGTCCATTTCATCACGTGTACCGACACCAATACTTACATGGTAGCTACAGCGGTAGTTACAGTGTAGGGCCCTTCATTACCGCGGGACCCCGACAGAGAAGTGTGTGGCTTGGTCAGAATGGTTCATGCTGCAGAGGGCGGTCAGAACCACACATTCGGAATTAAAATATGATTTCATAATGGTCGTATCGTCATTTTAAATGCGCTGTGAATTGTTATAAAATCACTTATATATCACATTAATCACTCTCTGTCATTCTGGCTGCTTGTGTCCCTACCCTCTCCCAGCCTCTAACCGGGGCTCAAGTTACACAACCGGCTCGCGCGCCTGCTTCAAACAGTAGTGGTGGCAAAAACAATTCTCCGATGTGATTGAGTTTATGTGGTCACTTGTGATTAATTATAAAAGCAATTATAAAAGCAATTGTCAGCTTGCAGTTCTCACTGGAAACTATGTTGTTAATCATTTTCTAAAGGTAATGAAATAATGGCTATTATGATTGGTCACTAGTCAGCCTATCAATAGCCTGTGTTGCCTTTCCTTTATTTTACTGACAGTTCGAGTTGAGATTATTTTGGAATCGGAAAGTTTACAAGGTGAACTCGTTCCACTTTTTTTTTTTAATATTCTGTCTTGCAGAGACTGTTTGTCTGGGCTGCTTCAAATGTGTTTGTTTACACTCGAGTTTGTTTTAATACAAATACTTTGTCTTATGAAATCATGCATTCATTGCACATTATAATGCATGTGGTTTTGAAGATGTGTAATTTTAACATTGCGGGACTGGGCAGGAGCTGGATGAGATCTAGCGGGTGCAGGTGGGATGCCGGCAAAAACCTGGGGAGCGGGCGGATGCGGTATGAAATCTCGCGGGAGCGAGCAGCACTGTACCAAAAAATCAGTCCTGCGCAGACCTCTATTACAGTGTAATTACAGTGTAGTAGCAAACCGCTTTGTGTAAAGGGGGATTATAATAATGTTCATATGAATGTAATATGATGATATGCAAACATAACAAGTAAAAATGTCCGCTAATGTCATCACTACACAGATGATGGGGCATAGACTATGGCATAGTAGGCTACGAGCTAATAGTAGGCCCACATGTAGTGTGATACACTACCATATGGTGTCGCTACACAAGCTACAAATTATTAGAAAATTCCCAATGCCATCTCTGCGCCTTATTGGTAGCCTTCATTTCACTATAGCCAATGTGGCTAGCCAATGTGGCTATCAAATTGTAAGCAGTTGAATTCAAATAATTGTGGATAATAGTATAATTTATATATTCACATTTATTTACAGGTTCAACAGTTGTGAACAACAAACAAGGTTACATAATAATACATCCTACATAGCAAGGCTTTTAAAGGTTTTGGCAATGTTTTCCATAGATACTGCTCAGAAGAAAAGTAGCCTAAAAGTAGATTTGTAATGTGCCCCTCACCACTCAATACGTCATTGAAATCATACCTGGTCCATGGATCGTACATGTCTCACGCTCTTCCCGGTCTGGATTCAGCTGTCATTGGGCACTGGCCCATTTAATCTGTCGACCAACTTCTGCCAGTCACAACTCCACCCCCCACGCGACAGTATCATGTCCTTAGTTGCGCTCGCATGCATAACAACTGATATAAAGCCTCCGAGGAACGAAGCACTGGATACAGATCTGATGTCTCTACAGTTTTTATTCTATTCTAACTTTGTTAACTTAACCCAGCGATATATTTATTTTGGTTGCGATCCACCCTTTAATAATGCATTGTCTTAAACGTCTGCGTACTACTAATGCGGGAGTTTTACAACTGCTTAAACATGCTGTCAACTCCGCACTAGTTGGGAGTGACAGCAATGTTTTATCCAGGAGCCAGCAACCCTTTCAGCTGTTCTGCACGAGTGCAGCACTGCACCACAACAGTAAGCAACATCATCAAGCTGTCAATGATTTGGACCAAGCTGAGTGCAGGTAAATACTTACTCAGTCACATTATCTACCAATAAGGGAATATGTACAGGATATACAGGTAACTGCCAAAATAATGGAAACACTTGAGTAAATGAGGGATACAACGTATTGAAAGCAGGTGCTTCCACACAGATGTGGTTCCTGAGTTAATGAAGCAATTAACATCCCATCGTGCTTAGGGTCATGTATAAAAGGCTGGGCTGGCCATTATTGTGGCCATTATTTTGGCTACCATGGCTATGCCCACATATAATTACAATGCCCCCATCCACAGGGCACAGTGGTCACTAAATGGTTTGAGGAGCATGCAAACGATGTAAACCATATGCCATAGCCATCTCAATCACCAGATCTCAACCCAATTGAACACTTATGGGAGATTCTGGAGCGGCACCTGAGACAGCGTTTTCCACCACCATCAACAAAACACAGAATTATGAAATTTCTTGTGGAAGAATGGTGTCGCATCCCTCCGATAGAGTTCCAGACACTTATAGAATATATGGCAAGATGCATTGAAGCTGTTCTGGCTCGTGGTGGCCCAACGCCCTATTAAGACACTTTATGTTGGTGTTTCCTTTATTTTGGCAGTTACCTGTAGTTAGAAAGTTGTAACAAGTTGTCTCAGAGTTAAATTATATTGTTGACATCCTAATAATGAGTTACTGATTTTGTATTCAAGTTAGGCTGTCTACAGAACATGAAATTAGACTTTTATCTTCAGATAGTTTGTTTTGGAGACGAAGTGGACATTTAATTCCCAATTATAGGCTACTCAATGCAAACAAGGGTAACAAATAGGCCCAGTCGAAAACTAATTTCATCATAGACTACATTTAAGAACTTCGAGCTGAGTAGTCAGTGGAATTGGTTTGAAAGCAGATATTAACATGAACTACACTACTATACACTACACTACACTACAGCACACTACACTACACTAGGCCTACGCTACACTACTATAGGCTACACTACTATAGGCTACACTACACTACACTCTTAGAAAGGAAAGGTGCTATCTAGAACCTAAAAGGGTTCTTTGGCGGTCCCCATAGGAGAACCCTTTAAGAAACCCTTTTTGGTTCCAGGTAAAACCCTTTTGGTTCCAGGTAGAACCCTAGAGGGTTCTACATGGAACCCAAAATAGTTCTACCTGGAACCAAAAAGGATTCTACCTGGAACCAGAAAGGGTTCTCCAATGGGGACAGCCGAAAAAAATACATTTCCGAACCCTTTTTTCTAAGAGTGTAAACTACACTACACTAGGCCTACACTACACTAGGCCTACACTACACTACACTACACTACACTACACTACACTACACTACACTACACTACACTACACTAGGCCTACACTACACTACACTACACTAGGCCTACACTACACTACACTAGGCCTACACTACACTACACTACACTTACACTACACTACACTACACTACACTACACTACACCACACTACACTAGGCCTACACTACACTACACTACACTACACTAGGCCTACACTACACCACACTACACCACACTACACTACATTACACTACACTAGGCCTACACTACACTACACTAGGCCCACACTACACTATACTACACTAGGCCTACACTACACTACACTACACTAGGCCTACACTACACTACACTACACTAGGCCTACACTACACTACACTACACTACACTAGGCCTACACTACACTACACTACACTACACTACACTACACTACACTACACTACACTACACTACACCACACTACACTACACTACACTAGGCCTACACTACACTACACTACACTAGGCCTACACTACACTACACTACACTTACACTACACTACACTACACTACACCACACTACACTACACTACACTACACTACACTACACTACACTAGGTGTAGTGTAGTGTAGTGTAGGCCTAGTGTAGTGTAGTGTAGTGTAGTGTAGTGTAGTGTAGTGTAGGCCTAGTGTATAGGTCCTCTGTAGCTCAACTGGTAGAGCACGGCGCTTGTAACGCCAAGGTAGTGGGTTCGATCCCCGGGACCACCCATACACAAAAATGTATGCACGCATGACTGTAAGTCGCTTTGGATAAAAGCGTCTGCTAAATGGCATATTATTATTATTATTTATTACTAGGCCTACACTACACTACACTACACTAGGCCTAGGCCTAGGCCTAGGCCTACACTACACTACACTACACTACACTACACTACACTACACTAGGCCTACACTACACTACACTACACTACACCACACTACACTACACTACACTACACTACACTAGGCCTACACTACACTACACTAGTCCTACACTACACTACACTACACTACACTTACACTACACTACACTAGGCCTACACTACACTAGGCCTACACTACACTACACTACACTACACTACACTAGGCCTACACTACACTACACTAGGCCTACACTATACTACACTACACTAGGCCTACACTACACTACACTAGGCCTACACTACACTACACTAGGCCTACACTACACTACACTACACTATACTACACTACACTAGGCCTACACTACACTACACTACACTACACTACACTACACTAGGCCTACACTACACTACACTACACTATACTACACTACACTACACTAGGCCTACACTACACTACACTACACTACACTACACTACACTACACTAGGCCTACACTACACTAGGCCTACACTACACTACACTAGGCCTACACTACACTACACTACACTAGGCCTACACTATACTACACACTCTACTACACTCTCCTTTTGGTGCTGGGGTGAAAAGAAAAACATAGAACATTTGTTCATACACAGTTGTCAATGATTAAGTGCTCTTTTGCACATGTACAGTATGTCTTGAGAAAAGTTCTACAGATTAGTCAATAATCAAAACACAGTGTAAAACGTGTATGCAGTGGTGATCTTTAAGAATGTCCCTGTAAGACCTACACTAGTATTGTGACATGGTGCATGCACTGTGCTGTCTGGTCTTCACAGGAACAGCTTGATCTCTGGGATGGACCTTCTCTTCTACACCATCACAGAGGGCAAAGAGATGATCTCTGTCTCTCAGTTCGTCTCTGTGAGTCTCCATCTAATCACGTCCTCTCTCACTGTGCGACACCATACAACACCTAACCTATATACAGTACAGAGTTTTTTTCTGGTTATTTAACCTTTTTAAAAATCTGGAATGCCCTTTTTTCTGATTGTATTGACAGTTCCCTTGACTTTCCGTGACGTCCTTTTAAAGTTGACACAGTACTGCCTGTACCACAACACATTCTAGTTCCTAAAGAGACCTTTGGCCTTGTTGTTTTCACTTGAGCTAAATGCATACCGATCAAACCCCAGAGAGTGTAAGACGAGCCAGGCAGGAATTCATCACACCATGTCACCTGCCCAGTTCAGGTTCAGGTTTTAAAAGTGTTGAGGAAACGCCTTGTATAACTTTATGACTAATAGACAGGTGTAGCCTCGTCGTCGAGGCTAGAAGTGAATCCTCTTAAACCCCAAAATGATTGACGTCTTAAACAATGATAACTCAGTATAAGCTGATTAAAAAGGCGGTGGTTGAACTGCTCTGACATCACCTCACAAATGAAACAGAGTTCAAGCTAGGTGTTAACAACTTTGTTTACCTCATCAATGACCACCAGCCATTTCCAAGCAACAATAGCCTAAGGACCTCTGGAATGTTGGTCACATGAGTCGAGAAGAACATCACAGAAGTCGTAGCTCAGTTGGTGAGAATGTCATAGAAGCACATTCATCCATAGTTGCACGCACACTGACCCACAGTCATTTTACGATGTGTGAAGAAACTCTGTGTCCAGTGTCCACGACCACTCCCAGTGCTTTTACACCATAATTCACACCTTCAGACCCTTGCTTGGTGCCTCTCATATGCATACTCAAATTAATACTTAACAGTATAGGGTACAGGGGTCTATTAAAAGACTGGGTGGTGTTGGGGCACAGCGTGATATTTGACAGGCCATTGGCTCAGACCTGTGACCATTTACTCCCCTGGGTTCACGTTGGCTTTCGCTTTGTCCGAGGAACTACAGTGGACATTGTCTTATGACCTTTGTGTCTTCATCAACATAGCATTTTAACATTGTATCACAGAAACACTGGTCATAGCTTTTAGATGGCTGTAACACAGGGATGGGGTGATGGAGTTTGGTCCCGTGGTGGGCAACACTGACAATTCTGGACTACACCTTGCCCCTGGAAGCAGGGGTTCAAACCCCAGGTCTGCCAATCTCTCCACCACTAAGGATAGACTGGGGTTGGGTAGATGCACAGGAATTTCTAGTGGTTAGTCACAGAGGTAAGGGAGTATATGATATGAAAAATAACTACTGTATCTGGACACTGCATTCTCAAGCAGTTGAACGACACAAAGTTGTACCTCAACCAGAGCATTCAGAGTATAGTATGTATGCCCTGTTTAATCTTTTATTTCAGAATGATGCAAAGCTTGGTATTCTTACATCATTCACACCTTTAAAGAACTACTACTACACAGATGCCATCTGCTTTGACCTTGGATTGATCTCAGTTTGGAGGAGGGAGATCTGTTATTTATTGTTATGCTATGCTGTATGTGTTTGGCATGACAGGGAACAGTGACACAGGAGTTTGGCTAAAAATCTGTCTCACTCTCGTTCTCTAAATGTTCGTCTCTCCTTCCTCCAGGCGTTGAGGAGCACAGGTTTGTGGACATCTGATCCCAGGCTGAGGGATTGTATGCATCAGCTGCGCCAGTCAATGCGGGAATCTGCCGGAACAGTCATGATGGACCAGAAACTTTTCAGGAAGTGAGTTATGCTCTATTTTCTATTTTGGATGGGATGGACATAGCCTTATTTGGCTCTTTTATCTTACCATATACATCCTCTAGTAGGATGGTATGAAGAGATTATTTACTATAGTAAACACTATGATTCTTTAATTCATAAAGTTAGCATAATGTATTATGTCTTTCTCGATCACACATACCATATTCTCATTCTTCAGGCGGATTGGCAAAACATCACACACACTTTATCCCATTTTTACATAGCAATTTTATGAAAGTGACATTTATATGGTATTTCAATGTGCGAAGGAACTATCTTTGCTATTGCCCCCAGTGTTGACTAGAAACTTCCAATACTTTCCCCCCACTATCTCTGTGTGTATTTATGTCTGCTCTGCATGCCTCTACAGTGGACAGGTAGAGATTTGTTATGAAAGGTTAAGAGTCAAGGATGTTTGATTGTGGTTGTATTGTAGTGTTTGTGTTGGGGTTAATGTGAGGCAAAGACAGAGTGACAGCGTCTGTAGTTTTATGGCCAACAGCTGCCTCTGAACCTTACTCATGCACACACACACACGCACGCACACACACACACACACACACACACACACACACACACACACACACACACACACACACACACACACACACACACACACACACACACACACACACACACACACACTGAGAGATGCAGAGAGAGAGAGCTCTGGAATTGTTGGCGAACAGAGTATGACATCTGTGCAGGGCTTAGGTCTGGACGGGAGCTAATGAAAGTCCAGCATAGTGAGTGAACTGCAGACGGTGCCAGTTGTATTAGGAGCTCAGCTTATCAACAAGCTCCGAGGGAATCTAGACTGCTGTCCAAACAGTATTACTTCCTAAGTGGCAAAGCTAACTTAATGAATGCAGTGATGATTCAGACTCTGGCCTGCTACAGTAGTGGGTCACTGAGTCCTGTCTGGTGGACTTCTTCTTCCATTGAATAACTATGTTCCTGTGATTGAACACTGCATATCTACCATCCCTTTGCTCATCTTAGATTGAGACTTGGTGTTGTACTTGGTATTATTTAGAAACTAGAGCCAAAGACACAAATAAAGTCATAGAGAAGAGAAGAACAATATTGTGTTGTGATTAAATATTTTCTTCCCATTGAGGAACACTCTGAGGTGGTCACTAGAAAAAGGCCACTAGAAATAAAAAAACTCCCATTTCTGGTGAATGTGTAAATTATGCAATCGCTATATTTGCCTCCCCAGTGTCCCAAACTCTAAACAAGTTGTGTATTAACAAGCAACGGGGGACGGATCTTTCAGCTCAACCCAGCTATGAAAGACTGTGAATGCCATTCTGTGAGATCACATCACATCAGTGCTTACTAAAGTTAGCACTTTGTTTATATATAATGGTAAAGACAGGTGTGTATCTACAATATGATAGGCTGTCTATTCTCAGCATTTAATTTGGTCCCAGTTGGGGTCCAGTTTTATATTGTTGATGTCATTAGGATTTCATCATAGGATCAGTAGTGTGTCTGTTCCACTTAGCCCTGATACATGGCTGACTCCTAGACGCCGCATAGGAGTCAGCAGCCGTGTATCAGTGCTAAAGGTCACTGTGTGTATTAATAAAGTAGTAATACTATATACTGTAAATAATCTAAAGTGACTGACATTTTTTGTATGGTTATTAATAATAATTTGGTGGGTGCTTATATTTGTACAAGTGTATATTACTACAAGTGTGAATTGGAAAACCATGTTTTTTACATATCCCTACACTCCCTGACACACCCTCGGAGAGTAGGGTCACGGCCAGGTCTGCCATTAATGGCAACCCTGGAGCAATTAGAGTTAAGTGACTTGGTCAAGAGCACTTCAACAGATTTTCACCTTGTCGGCTCAGGGATTACGAACTAGCGACCTTTCGGTTACTGGCTCAACACTCTAACCGCTAGGCTAATCAAACGTAGCAGGAGTAAAAGAAACGCCTGAAACTAGATCCCCTACATACTGGTCTTGACAAGAAGAAAACAAACTGTGGGGGGAGGTTCTCTTCTGCACTGTTCAACCAACCCAGTAAATGTGGAGGAGGAGTTTAAATGGAGAGTCGCCTTGTTAACGTCCAAAAGTGGAAGTCACATCACAGGCTCTCTTTCCATTTCCCCTGAAAACCATAACAGCCTCAGCAGAGGTTATCGCTAGGCATAGCCTCGGGAAGTAGGGGTGCTGAGGGTGCAGCAGCACCCATCATAAATTGAAAAAAATATAAAATAATATAATGTATATATATATATTTTAAATACAATTCTTCACAAATGTATATTACTCCTGTGTGAACTAGGACTTTATTACTCCTGTATGAGTGGACAAAAATACTCCCCAGCACCACCAACGCAAAACATCTTCCTGCGGTTGGCCCAAGCAGGAATCAAACCAACAACTCTAGTGTTGCAAGCGCCACACTCCACCAGCTGAGTCACACTTAGCCATTACCTATGTGATAAACAAAGTTTTGATGTGTGATATTTATGAATGTGTGTCGTGTTTCAGGTGTGTGGGTGCTAACATCCTGCTGCTGACCCAGGCGTTCAGGAGGAAGTTCATCATCCCAGACTTTGAAGTGTTTGCGTCCAACATCGACCAGCTGTACTACAGTACCCAGAGGCAGGAGGGGGGACATGTGAGTTCTGTTAGGATGCCTACACTATGCACATTGGCATAAATAATCTCACTCACACACGTACTGAATGAAAGCATACACACACTACATTCGTGCATACATGCACACATGTACTATACATACAGTACCTGACTTTGACATACATGACACTCCTCCATTCCATTATTTTGTGTGTGTCTTTGCTTAGGTAGCAGATTACATTCCTCAACTGGCTAAATTCAGCCCTGATCTGTGGGGAGTGTCTCTATGCACCGTGGATGGACAAAGGTAAGATTACAGCATCATCTGATCTATGTGCATAGTATCTTTTTACAGTATATCACCACTGCCCTCCATCATGACACATAACCCATGTTACTGAAATGAAGAGCATTGAACAGGCAGTCCACATGTCATCCCCTCATCTTGCCCTATCAGTATCTGCCCACCTTTTTTATACAAAATCCTCCACTGTATCTGTTGTCACCTCAGCCCTCCTCTCACTGTCCCATGATCTCTCCCCTGCTGGTGTGAATCAGACATTCTGCAGGTGACACCAAGGTTCCATTCTGTCTTCAATCATGTGTGAAGCCACTGGAGTACGCAATCGCTGTGCACGAGATCGGCACTGAGCATGTGCACCGTTACGTGGGCAAAGAGCCTAGCGGACTCAAGTTCAACCAGCTGTCACTGAATGAGGAGGGTGAGAGAGATGAACCCTAACCCTGTCCCTGTCTGCCTATGGCTAGGCTCACATACCTACTAAATGTCTCTGTGTCCACTTCTGTGTAGATGCCCCACACTTGAATGCATCTGAGGAGTACTGAGGAAAAAACTGTCTTACATTGAACTCTCAAATTATAACTCTGACCTATCTCCTGATCTAAGCTAACTCGATCGCAGGGTAATAAATAGTTCATTACACTGTGGAAGCAAACAATTACACATTTCAGTAAACAACTGTGTAAAGAGAAGAGAACCAACCTCTCTGCAACTACAGCCCACTGGGCACAGATGTCAGGTCAACGTCTAGTTTTGATTGAAATTTGGTTGTTGTCAACTAACATGAATTCAACATGAAATCAACAAAAAACTTCCCCATGAGATTGGATTTAGGTTAAAAGTTGGGTAAAAAAATGACTAAATTCCCAAACATTGATGACTTTTTGCAAATCCAATAATTTTCCCACGTTGATTCAGCATCATCACATTGATTTGCAATGGCGTGGGTACAACATTGATTCAACCAGTTTTTGCCCAGTGGGAGGTGATTGAGAAACATTGATCAATGATTACAACATGCTGTAGGTCTTGACTGGTGAGATAGTCGATAGAGCAGGAACAAGCAAGAACAGGACATCTGATCATTAACAAGTCAAGACATCTTATCTGCAGGTTCCCTCTAAGCTGGCTAAGGCTGGCTAGGTGTCATTACACATGTTCACCTCTGGCACGCACATACATGTGTTCACTATATTAGTGGATTTTTTTTTAGCGGCCATATCTTTAGGTTATATGGTGGTGGTGGAATGCACGACAGTGATAGCATTGTCCTCTCTCTCTTTGGACAGATAAACCACACAACCCTATGGTGAATGCGGGGGCTATCGTCATCAGTTCTCTGCTCAAGGTAAGGGGATTCCTGGGTGCACTGACGTTATAATCTCCTATAACCTTTCATGAGGTTTTGGAATTAGAGTACAGATCAAATCTTTGCTAGCTAACTGAAACAATATCAGGAGTACATTACAAACTGCTGTACACCAAATCCACTCCAACATCAAATATACAGGAAATCAGGAAATCTGTTGTAACTAGTACAGCCAAGTGTCACAGTCAGACCACCCTCAATCATTGACCAATTCACCCTATGGCCCAATACAGTGTGGACAGAGGTCAGTAAGCTATCACCAGCTGACTCACCAACCATCCCTATCAGTCAGCATTACCCTCATTCTAACAGCTACAGCAGTGGGGAAAGAGGGCAGGCCTCTATATAGACATGGACCTCTATTCTGCTATGTTTTCCTCTCCCTGCCTAGCTGCCTGTCTTCTCCAGCTGCCTCTTAGGCCATGCAGGTCACATACATTAGTGGGGGAGGGTGGGACTGACAGGATGGGTGTGTGTGTTAGCCGGGCCAATGAGACGGCTGGGAAGAGAAGGTGTGTTTGTCTGTTGGTGAGACACTGTACATTTACATTTACATTTACATTTACGTCATTTAGCAGACGCTCTTATCCAGAGCGACTTACAAACTGTATGTGTGATTGTGTGGGTATGTGTTTATGTCTGACAATTATAAGTATTATGATTTATGTCTTTGACAACTTTAAGTACAGGGAGAGAGAACAGATAGAGATGGCTGAGTCATTTCATTGGCTAATAGTGTATAGCACATACTGCACTAGGCAAGTTGAGGGGAGGACTTGTACTCTTCCAAGTCAGTGTAGCACTTCTAGCACGTTTTATTTGGAGTTTATGCAATTCATTTATAAATAATGCGCAAAGTTCACTTCATCTTTCAGAGAGAGCAGAACTCTCTGAAGTTATGAGTGGAAAGACGTGTCATCAGCCTCCTGAGTGGCGCAGCGGGCCGCGTCCTTGTCCCATCACGCTCTAGTGACTTCTTGTGGCGGCCGGGCGCATGCACGCTGACTTCGGTCGCCAGCTGTACAGCGTTTCCTCCGACACATTGGTGCGGCTGGCTTCCGGGTTAAGCGAGCAGTGTGTCAAGAAGCAGTGCGGCTTGGCGGGGTCGTGTTTCGGAGGACGCATGGCTCTTGACCTTTGCCTCTCCCGAGTCCGTACTGGAGTTGCAGCGATGGGACAAGACTGTAACTACCAAAAAATAAAATGAAAGACGTGTCATCACTCAGAAGCACTTCATCAGAGTGTCACTGACCAATAAACCCAGGGTTGCACCACATCTGAAGAAACCTATTCCTTGAGGATCACTCAACAAGAGTAGGATGGTGAAGTACCAGTCTCTGCCCATTATGGTGACTTAACGACTTGCTAGTGATCTTTCACTGGACCCTGAAACTTAAGCAGGGCAATAATCTGCCCTCGAGCTGCTAGCCCATGTCATACTCATCACATCACGCGGACGGACGGACAGACGGACACAGCGACTAATCCTACCCCACACACCCACCCAGAATCTGTCTAACTCACCAGCACACTGTGCCCTTGGTGCAAAAAAAAACACAAACACTGCCACCTAGGGACAGAACAGCTCTCTGCATAGTGTCAATAAAGAATTACTACAGCACAAGAACACTGTACGAAAGTGATTTCCTTCTTCTTCTTTATTTTTACAGCCTAACTCGAATAAGGCAGAGAGATTTGATTATGTGAGTATCCTTTAAGGTTTCAGACTTCTGTCATGTCTACAATTGCTTCTTATTAGTAAAAATGTAATGGAAAAACTGACATACATCTTTTATCATAGGTAATGGAATACTTAAAGAAGATTGCTGGCACAGAGTATGTGGGCTTCAGCAACGCCACGTGAGTGTCAAATTGAACGTTATAGTATGAAAAATGAAATTATCTAATATTTCAGACCATACAGTAACTGTAATTTGTGGTGTGATAAACAGCTTTTAATGTTTTGCCTTCACAGTTTTCAATCAGAGAAGGAGACCGGGGATAGGAATTTTGCTATTGGTTACTATCTGAAGGAGAAAAAAGTGAGTGTTTGAGCTTCACAGAGTCTTCCCAATAGTTATACCAATTCCTAAACTCTAAAACTATGAGTTATGCTACCTGCTGATTGTGTCCTGAAACGGTGGCCTCTCTCTCATTTTGCCTGGTAGTGCTTTCCTGAGAATGCAGATATGATTGCAGCCCTCGACTTCTACTTCCAGGTGAGACTCATGTTTAAAGAGATTTGCTGATGTAGCCAAGACGGTCTTTAGCTTTTTCCTAGTGTGTGTCCCTGGTGGAAACACTCTGTATGTGAGTAAAGTGCTACCCTGTACACAGGGTTGGGTAGCTTACTTTCTAAATGTATTCCATTGCAGTTACTAGTTACCTGTCCAAAATTGGAATCAGTAACATAACTTATGGATTTCCCAAACTCAGTAAATCAGTAACATAATCTGATTACTTTCAGTTACTTTTGGATTACTTTCCTCTTAAGAGGCATTAGAAGAAGACAAAAAGGATCCATCAAATGCATTTGGTGTGTCATCATAGTGGTCTCTGACTTGTGGTCAGACTCACTCAGGTGGAACAAACTTAAACTTGTGCCTTTTTTCAATGCTGAATTGAATGTCATTGAGAAAACAGAAAGGTGTCATAATGTATTTTTTCACAAACATCCTTTCTGAATTTAAAATAATCCAATAAGTAATCATCTAGTTTTTCAAAAGTATCTGTAATCTGATTACAATATTTTTGCTGGTTAAGTAAGATTACATTTACAGTTTATTTTGTAATCATATTACATGTACCTGATTACAATCAGTTACTCCTCAACCCTGCCTGTACAATAAACCAGAGGTCTCAACTGTTCTCTGTTTTCCTCTCAGCTGTGTTCCATCGAGGTGACCTGTGAGTCAGGCAGTGTCATGGCCGCCACACTGGCCAACGGGGGCATCTGTCCAATCACAGGCGAGCGGGTGCTGAGTGCAGAGGCCGTGCGGAACACCCTAAGCCTCATGCACTCCTGCGGAATGTACGACTTCTCTGGCCAGTTCGCCTTCCATGTGAGTCACTGAGAAACAGACAAGAGGTCAATGACCTGAGGTGCCTTTATCACAGAGACGAAAGAGGAAGTGAGACATCCCCATCTCATTTCTTCTGGTTCATATACAGTCAATGAACTAAGCAGACCAGACCCAGCTGCTAATGCATTGGTGCCTATGGGATAGCCACCCTGTTAAGCAAACCGGAACTGACCATTTTTTTCAATGGTAAACTGCCTGAGTGGGACATTTTCATTTATCCAACATCTTTGCTTATCATACTGTATGTGGTCAGTTAGAACGTTCCCCTTTATCTTAGAGGTGCCATATTGCTCTCACCTATCCTGTGTTGTCAGATCAGTGCAGTTAAAAGAGAGGAGACAGGGAGAGGTATCTATTTTAGACTATTTCAGATGCACCCGGTGATAAGTGTCATACTAAACTTCATTCTTGCTGTTTGTCCCATCTTTTTTTCCAGGTGGGTTTGCCTGCCAAGTCTGGCGTGTCGGGTGCAGTGCTGCTGGTGGTCCCTAATGTCATGGGAATAATGTGTTGGTCTCCTCCGTTAGACCGTGTCGGAAATAGTGTCCGAGGCATTCACTTCTGTCAGGTATGCAGACAAGAAGAATTTCAATCCCCTATGATAAGTATGAAAATGTATGCACTCACTAACTTTTATTCGCTCTGGATAAGAGCATCTGCTAAATGACTAAAATGTAAATGTACAATTTTAGTTTTTACCATACCCAGCAGTAGATATTTATTCTCAGTGATGACCTTGTTTTTTGACATATCAAAAGTCATTTCAATGTCATACCTGAGTTTATATATTTTTTGCTGTATTAGACATTGTAAAATTGGTAGATTAAAAAAGAATAGAACATTGAATAGTAGAAAAATCTGTCATTTTCCCATTCTATCTGCTGATTGAGCAGGAGCTGGTTTCTCTCTTTAACTTCCACAACTACGACAACCTGAGACACTTTGCAAGGAAGCTGGACCCTCGCAGACTCTCACTTGATGATAGGGTAAGGGATAGAGTATGCACTAATGTCCCGATTCCGGCCCGAGTTAAGAGTGTGTAAATGGAACATTATTCTCTTTTTATGCTTTTTTCTCTCTCTGCGTATTCTGAACTTGAACTTAAGCATGAGAATAGCATGCTAGTCAACCGCTATTCGTTCGGGGTGGAGATCTAAGAAATGAAGGTGTGGCAGAGGTGTGTCTACACAGATAAGCCGTATTCTGACCTTGACTTAATTCCCTCGTAATTCTACCACCTTTACGCGAGAGGAAACCATGAATAAGGTCGAACGAACCTGCTGGTTCCAAGTGGAAAAAGCATCTTTCTTTTTTCTGATAGAAATAACAGCATTCTCCATGCACACTGTAATTTATAAGTGGATAAGAGCTGTTGATAAGAGCTAGGGGAGTGAACGTTATACCTCCCCCTGAGGAAAATATATTTTTACTTGGCCCTCCCCGAGCATTTCAAAAATATATATGTAACCCTCCCCCTCCAAAATGATAATTAAAACAAAACAGCAGGGTATATTAAATCCCTTTTTAATTGACTATCAATGTTGCAGTCTTGATTTCTATTAAACCAACCCCTGGTTGAGAACCAATACTGTATTGATACCATAGTCATGTTATCTGCTAGAGGGCGGCATTTACCAATTTAAGCGTTAAGGGCCGTCCACACCAAGGACGATAACTATAGCGATAAATTATACATAACTATAAAACGTTGGCGAGCATCCACACTAGAGGAACGTTTATCATTCTACAGTAGCCTACACCTGTCAGTCAACTGATCCAATCATCCTACTGCACGCTGTAGGCGTAAGGTGGTAATACAGAGCATTCAGTGCTTCAGGGTGTCTTCATTGTCAAAGTGACAACTGCAAATAATACTTCAATGTAGGCTACACGTAGCCTAATGAAAAACATTATATAGAAACTTGTATTTAAACTAAATGTAGAAATTCAACAACAAACTCTGTTCAGCCTGCGCATCTTTTAAATCATGCAATTGCTTGCCTCGTTGCTCAAGTGGTTTGCAAGTGATTTCCATTTTTCTAATGGATGTCAATTCATTTGGATCTTATTTTTCACTGTGCTCATCACTGTCTGTCCTGTGCAACCATTTAATAGGCTACATCAGTGCAACAACGTTATCATCACTGGCCAGTGATGCACTCTCTCTCTCTGCAACTTTCCCCGACAGTTATTTTGGCCTAGGCCTATTTTACATTCAGCAATTAGCAAGAGCAAGCCTGCTTCTCTCCACGAAAAGCCTTTTAGTATTTGTAGCCTATAGCTTTTCGTGGGATTTCACGAGATGAGGAATAGTGGAGAGGCTTGCGTCCTTGCCTATAGCTGGAAAAGAGAGGCTAGAGTTGTGTAGCCGAAGAAGCTAAATATTAGCTAGATATTAGGCCACTCATTAACTAAATATTAGGCCTATAAATATTTACCTGTCAAAGTGCAAGAAAAAAAAGTTCAACAGATGATGAAATGGCAGATCTGTGCGTTCCTCCTGGCTGCGCTCTGCAGCAGTCGGGCACACAAAGCTCCACTGTTGATTAGGCCTACGTTTTTAGACAATAACATTATTCTACCTAGGCTACAACAACAACAGTGCAATGAGGAAAGTATTATTGTTATCAAATGAGTACACAATTATTGGCTAGGGCTGTAAACTACAGGGATGTAGGCTAATTTGAATGTTTGTAATTATTTTTATTTTATTAGGATCCCCATTAGCTGTGGCAATTGCAGCAGCTGCTCTTCCTTGGGTCCACACAAAACATGACATAATACAGAACATTAATAGACAAGAACAGCTTACTGACAGAATTACATAAATGCAAAATGTCACACATAGCAGCTGGTGGGGTAAGTCTGTGTGTCAGTGCTGTGTGTATGTTGACTATGCAAACAATTAATGCTTCTTCTAAAAACAAAAAGTGATGCAGTCAGTCTCTCCTTTACTTTTAGCCAAGAGAGACTGGCATGCATAGTATTGATATTATCCCTCTGATTACAGTGAAGAGAAAGACCGCTCAAACTGCTGTTTTGAATGCTTCATGCCGAAATAACTGCATAAAATCAAATCAAATTGTATTTGTCACATGCTCTAAATACAACTGGTTTTACCATGAAATGCTTGCACTTGTGTTACTAAAATAGTAAAATAAAATACACCAAAATTGAGCTATATAGAGGGAATACCATGCAGCCTAGGCCTAATTTTGCAACCATTTGGATCAGTTATGGGTCTATTCTCGACGGTTTACAAGGTCCAGAAAGGTACATTAGCAGGCTACTCATATGGTGGTCCCTCCCCATTTCGTTCAGTTTAAGAAACATTTTTCAACAGAATGAATAAAACAAGCTATTGTAGGGCTAGTCTAGCTTTTCCTGGGACTCCAAGAGCTAAAGAGGAATTATTAGGAATAATACTGCAGTGAATAGCCTATAGGCCTACCCAATGTTTTTAAATCGGATTTATATGACATTACAGGTAGCCTAAGATAAACATATCACTTGAAAAAAGACAACTCGTAGGCAACTCGTAGGCATAGAGATAGTCCAGCCATCCACATGGACTGTTGTCCTCCCTATTCGGTAGCAATTCCTCCAACACCCGATTTAATCCATTCACTTTTTTCTGCATTGAGGGACCATCTCTTTTCGACTCCAAAATTACATTGAACTTTTCTAGACTCTCTTCAGCAGACCAACTGCAAAGAAACCCTTAATTATTGTGAAGATAACTTTTTTCACGAGCTGTGGTCCTTGCATACTTGTGCGACACCATGCTTGTTGTTGTGATAAAACACATTTTTATGGTGCTTTCAAGATAACTGTGGGGAAAAAAATTAACGAGGTCAATTCATGACGTCAGTGATCTTCAGGTCGGAAAGTTGGAGCTCTAGAAAGATGCCAGAGTTTCCGACTTTGAATTCCAAGTTGGATGACCGTTCAAAACTATTTTCCCAGTCAGAATTCGTTTTTTTTCACAGTTGTCTTGAACACACTAAAGTCGGAGATTTCAGAATTCCCAGTTGTTTTGAATTGTGGCATTCCTACCTCTGTTCTTGTTGCGCGCTAGCTCCCTACGTCATCACGACAAGCGCTATTTGATTCACCAGATACTCTACATGCCCACGTTCTGGATACGCCAAGCAAATAGAGGGACTGATCGAACAGCCAATGGAAAGGTAAAAGCGAAATGCCCACCCAGCCGGGCTCAGTGATGAAAATGAGAAAGAGAGAGAAAGCAGGGTTATACACCAAAGTTACACATAGTCAGATTCAATAAGAAAATTCCCAAATACTGACATTTAATCGATTACAAATTACATGACAGTCCCTTGGACTAAATAAAAAAATACTAAACCCTCCCCCTGACTGAAATTGAAAAAGCATGACCCTCCCCCCATTTTCTTCCAGGTAACAATTGCTTAAATTTCGACCGGACCCTAGGTAAATGAGTAATCAGTTTGAAGAAGGGGATTGTAAATACACATAGCAATAGTTATAGGTGATTTTTCCTTATGATCCCTGGAGAGGAATGTGAAACCGTCCATATGGAAGCAAACTGAAAATGATATCAACAAGCCCCTTTTCCACAGTGAAATAGGATATAAATAGCTGTGACATTATTCTGAATTTTATTTGCGTGCCCTCATAATTTCTGTGGATGAAATTTGGACACCCAAACTATAGGCTTCTGTAGGGCTAAACCTGCCGAGTTGATGTATGCGCTTTAGAATGTTTTAATTATAGCCTATGCCCAGGCTTTTCTCTGTTTTATTTTACAATTTGTATCATGTTAATTATTAGCCACTCTCGGGAGCCACATACATTTATAACTGTCACTTTAGTGTTAGTTTTATCTAATTTGTAGCTTACATTTAGCATCATTCCATTCCGTTGACCTTTCTTTCCTCTGTCACGTCTATGTAAGTTGTTCCTTAGGCTCGCTAGCATTAGTAGATCATATTAGGCTAATATTGGGCAATAAGTTGGGACATGTAGACTATTTGAATCATTATGGAACTCAGACCACAAGTAGCAGGTTAAACCAGGAGCCTGGCGCACGGTTCATGACGACTGGACCGTTGTCATACAGTTCCATGCTTAGTGAGAATTAGAGTAGATTTATTTATAGGACTTGTTCAACCCCTATTGTAAACTTTTTTCCACCTTACAATATTTAATGGATTGAACTTGAATGTGACAACTTTCAGGTTGAATCAAACCACTGTTTATTCAACAATATATTTTGTGCATAAAGGCTCTCCAAACTTTTAAAAAAATGTTTCAAACATACTTTCCTAACCCTAAAAGGTGCCTAAATAATCTACAAAGTCAGAGTATTTTTTTATCTACCAGTTGGTGCTGAAACGGAGATGAAGATGCATAGATGGCATTCTTTCATTGATCCCTATTTTCTGCACCTGTTCTCTTGATGTTTTCTAGTCTGTCGACAAAATTCAAATTAAAGGTACACCGTATTTAAAGGGATGGCTTAAGATAAATGTACTGAAAACCATATTTAATTGAAAACTCCACGAGAAAATCTGTTGGCCAGCAAGTGGGAGGGTTTTCTGCGGTTGAATTACTTTTATTCAGAGCGCACAAGGGATCCACGCCTGCAAAGCCCATTACACACCTTTATAAGCTAAGTCTGAATACCAACTACTGAGAAGTGCATAAGAAAGGCATAATTTCCTAAATTGGAATCGGGCCCTAAGAATACCAACTAAATGTTTCTCAAATGTACTGTACCTCTTGGGAAGATTCATGTGTAATGTTTATGCTTCCGTCACAATATCTGAAACATCTCTGTGCTTCAATATCCTTCTTCTATGTTGATAACCCATCATTGTGGTCCTCTGTAGCTCAGCTGGTAGAGCACGGCGCTTGTAACGCCAAGGTAGTGGGTTCGAACCCCGAGACCACCCATTCACAAAAAATAAAAATAAAATGTATGCATGACTGTAAGTCGCTTTGGATAAAAGCGTCTGCTAAATGGCATATTATTGTGATGTTTTCTTCTGCCCCATCAGAACAAGTCAGTGGTGAACCTGATGTTTGCAGCTTACAGTGGTGATGTCTCTGCCCTGAGGAGGTAAAGACAGGTTCTTGGGAGTGTAGACTAGTTAAATAAACCCAACCCATTATAGTTGGTCCTGATTTGCAAGAAATTGTAGTTTGCCTTTTCATAAGCAAGCGCTGGCGCCAGATAGACAAGAAGAATATGGCGTCAATAATACATTTATGTGCAGCATGGAACAGACCACCCCTGGTATCAAATCATTTTCAGTTAACTTCATAAATACTATAGAGCTTTTCACAAAGTAATTTGTCTCAAATCAATTATCTCTAAGTCTCCGCCATCTGTCATTCCAATTAACCATTTGTTGTTCTCTTCTTTTCTTTTCTTCATTCTCTCGCTCCTGTCCTCCCCTTTAGGTTTGCTCTCTCGGCTGTTGACATGGAGGAGAAAGACTATGATTCTCGTACAGGTCTCCACGTGGCGTCAGCTGAAGGTGAACCTATATATTTTGGGGGAGGATAATACTGTTCTCCCACATAACATGTACTTCACCTTATTGTTCACAGTTGTAATTCAAGTGTGTCTGCTTTGGTTTAATTGGAGTGGATGGCTTCGCTGGGATAACTATAGATATGTGAATGCATCAATGGTTGGTTGCACAAACTCATTACCGTATATTGAGATTTAATTATTCCTTCCTGTTTGTTCAGGTCATGTGGAAGCGGTGATCTTCCTAACAGAGACGTGTAAAGTGAACCCCCATATAAAGGATAGGTAGGGACACCACTTCATCATCTGCCTGTCACTTTCAATAACTCACACATCTCTGAGAAATGTTCCATTGTAAAGGTCCTTGAAGAATGCATAATGGAGACTGGTGGTTTTAAAAGTGTCCAGGTCTTTAAAATCACCCAACTACACCAGACTAGTCAAGGGCTATTATGACCTGATTTGTTCTGAGACTCAGTCGGAGCATTACTTAGCACACTATCCCTTGTTTCCTTTGCCTTGCATCACATTTGCCTCTGCAGCGGTATTTCAAAGCTTTTTCCTGACCGCTTATATCGCTCTCTCTATCAGGTGGGGAAACACACCCCTGGATGATGCCAGGCAGTTTGGTCATGACGGGGTGGTGTCGGCCTTGACGGAGTACCAGCGGATGTATCCATGCAGTAATGGGTCCCAGTCAGAAACCGAAGACCAGAGAAAATTAGACACAGTGAAGGTTGTGGTTTGAGCTAGACAGGAGAGATGTCTAACCATATTGTATTTAATACAAGAGGCATTTGCAGAGTTTCATTCCAGATAGTTGTCCCCCTTCCCCTATATCCTTGTTCACAAGCACTCCCCATAACAGATCTGATAAGACTGGGTTGGTTAAAACAATATGGCGGAAAGCTATAACTAACATCTTCTCAGGTACAGTTGAAGTCGGAAGTTTACATACACTTAGGTTGGAGTCATTAAAACTCGTTTTTCAACCACTCCACAAATGTCTTGTTAACAAACTATAGTTTTGGCAAGTCGGTTAGGACATCTACTTTGTGCATGACACAAGTAATCTTTCCAACAATTGTTTACAGACAGATTATTTCACTTATAATTCACTGTATCACAACTCCAGTGGGTCAGAAGTTTACATACACTAAGTTGACTGTGCCTTTAAACAGCTTGGAAAATTCCAGAAAATTATGTCATGGTTTTAGAAGCTTCTGATAGGCTAATTGACATCATTTGAGTCAGTTGGAGGTGTACCTGTGGATGTATCTCAAGGCCTACCTTCAAACTCAGTGCCTCTTTGCTTGACATCATGGGATAATCAAAAGAAATCAGCCAAGACCTCAGAAGAAAAATTGTAGACCTCCACAAGTCTGGTTCATCCTTGGGAGCAATTTCCAAACACCTGAAGGTACCACATTCATCTGTACAAACAATAATACGCAAGTATAAACACCATGGGACCACGCAGCCGTCATACCGCTCAGGAAGGAGACGCTTTCTGTCTCCTAGAGATGAACGTACTTTGGTGCGAAAAGTGCAAATCAATCCCAGAACAACAGTAAAGGACCTTGTGAAGATGCTGGAGGAAACAGGTACAAAAGTATCTATATCCACAGTAAAACAGGTCCTATATCGACATAACCTGAAAGGCCGCTCAGCAAGGAAGAAGCCACTGCTCCAAAACCGCCATATAAAAGCCAGACTACGGTTTGCAACTGCACATGGGGACAAAGATCGTACTTTTTGGAGAAATGTCCTCTGGTCTGATGAAACAAAAATAGAAATGTTTGGCCATAATGACCATCGCTATGTTTGGAGGAAAAAGGAGGATGCTTGCAAGCCGAAGAACACCATCCCAACCGTGAAGCACGGGGGTGGCAGCATCATGCTGTGGGGGTGCTTTGCTGCAGGAGGGACTGCTGCACTTCACAAAATAGATGGCATCATGAGGAAGGAAAATAAGGTTGATATATTGAAGCAACATCTCAAGACATCACTCAGGAAGTTAAAGCTTGGGCGCAAATGGGTCTTCCAAATGGACAATGACCCCAAGCATACTTCCAAAGTTGTGGCAAAATGGCTAAAGGACAACAAAGTCAAGGTATTGGAGTGGCCATCACAAAGCCCTGACCTCAATCCTATAGAAAATGTGTGGGCAGAACTGAAAAAGTGTGTGCGAGCAAGGAGGCCTACAAACCTGACTCCGTTACACCAATTCTGTCAGGAGGAATGGGCCAAAATTCACCCAACTTATTGTGGGAAGCTTGTGGAAGGCTACCCAAAACGTTTGACCCAAGTTAAACAATTTAAAGGCAATGCTACCAAATACTAATTGAGTGTATGTAAACTTCTGACCCACTGGGAATGTGATACAATAAATAAAAGCTGAAATAAATCATTCTCTCTACTATTATTCTCACATTTCACATTCTTAAAATAAAGTGCAATTTTTACTAGGATTAAATGTCAGGAATTGTGAAAAACTGAGTTTAAATGTATTTGGCTAAGGTATATGTAAACTTCCGACTTCAGCTATAGATGGGCGACAACGTTTCGTAATGAAATGCAGCCATTTTGTGCCAAGAGTCATGAAGAGTTGTAGCTAAGTGAGTGAATATATTTGATATGGTCACACGTCACTATGTATAAAGGTCACAAGCGCACTTTCTTTGTCCCAGACGCTGCACATAAAAGCTTTAGGAGTCTTTAGGAGTGGACAGAATCAAGGTAGCACTGTATAAAGTTGAGATGACACCAACAAGTGATCAGTTGCTAGTCAGGGGGGTATACTAAAAAGCAGGATCAATGCATTAGCCAGCTAACTTTGATTAACAACCAGAAATAACTATAGATTTTCTGGTTCATTAAGAAACCTAAACTTAGATATGATTTTGGTTGTTGAGTCAATTAGACCATGCACATTTCATGCTTATCTTTATTTATTTTTTAAAAGTTATTTCTGAATATTTTGGCTGGCTAAGTCATTGATCTTGCTTTGTAGTATACCCCTCAGGTGAACTTAGCAGTTATTGATGTAAGTACACACACACACTTTGTCCTTACTCGTCACTTAAAATGCCACTGTGACACACGTTATGTATATATGGCGACTGTATGTGACCACTGTTTGTACTTTATTTATACAATGTTTTTAATCATGTATGAAGCATTGATATTTTGTTAAGGGATTTCATTACACTGTACATATGACTGCATAACGTACACAGCATTGTAACATTACATATTACCAGGCTATAAATATATTAAGTGGGAAATTATATATTAATCTACCTCAATAGGAAGTAGAAACAGTTTCATAAGCAGGTCTGAAGACGTGAGGATGGGATATTTGACAATTTTCATTCTGGTCTTTTTTCCTTGTGTGAATACTTAACATGAATTGGCCTAAGATAAGATAAACAACTTTTATGTTACTATAGAAACATGTCTAAATGGGATCTTTTGAGTGATTGAGACTAATTAATATTCATGTATGATAGTGTCCCATCAGCGTTTCCTGTTACATGTACATTAATCCACAAATTTAGATGAATGTCTATTCACTGCAGAACAGACTGTTTTGATATGTTATAGAACCAAAGATACATCCAGGATTTTCTTACTGTGATTAAGTGCTGCTGTTCTACAGACTGCTTCCTCAGGTTAAAGTGTCAATGTGTGCTTGATTGACGTATGTTATGCTCTGCTGTAAATAAATATGAGTGAAAATGTGCAACAGTTTTTATTTCGGCATACAATTTATCATATCAAAAGTCTAAAAAAGGCATGGTTTTGGTTTATTGAAGTTTGACAAGATAATGGAGGATGTCAGGACTTTAAGCAATAGTAGTAACATTCCCAGTACCTAATGATCTCATTACACACAAGACGGCTACATATTATTTCACATGTAAAAAATATTACACAAGAGGTAACAAAAACACAGCTTATTGTGATGAGTTTCCTGAGTCTGTATGGCAGTGAAACGACACATTGGACAAACTCCCTGTTCTCCAAATTCTGATGGAGAATATTGAAAGACATTTAAGTGCTGCCTGCTGTAAGTGTTCAGTTGACAAAAACCAAGTTGTCAGAATGCACATCGCCATTCCTGTCCCCCTCTCACCTTGCCATCACCACTATCTTCCTCCCTACCATATTTTCATCATCAGTAGAGAGATACTTATGCTTCACTTCAAGCATTCAGGCTCCCCCAGACCTGAGTGTGTAAGCAGCTCTCCATCCCACAAGCCTCCCGAGTGGCGCAGTGGTGTAAGGCACTGCATCGCAGTGCTATCTGTGCCACTAGAGATCCTGGTTTGAATCCAGACTGTCGTAGCCGGCCGCGACCGGGAGACCCATGGGGCGGCGCACAATTAGCCAGCGTCGTCCAGGGGAGGGGAGGGAATGGCCGGCAGGGATGTAGCTCAGTTGGTAGAGCATGGCGTTTGCAACACCGGGGTTGTGGGTTCGATTCCCATGGGGGGCCAGTATGAAAATGTATGCACTCACTTAACTGTAAGTCGCTCTGGATAAGAGCGTCTGCTAAATGACTAAAATGTAAATGTAAAAAGCCTAATGCTGGGCAGAGAGGCCCCCTGAACATGGCCCTCAAGCTGTGGATCACCTTGGCCTTCGGGATGTCCACCAGGCTTATCAGGCCGGCCTCGTAGTCCAACAGGATGCCCACGCGGTCAGGCTTCCCCACCAGTGGCACTGGCACTCTCTGGTTGGTTGTCATGGCGAACCACTTGCGCTGGACATAGCCGAACACCTAGGAGGAGCTGTTGGTGCCCACGCAGTCGTCCCGTGACATCGCCACCAAGGCCACACCCAAACGGAACTCTGAGGACTTTTCCACCGTCTCCTCCCATTAGTGGCAGCCACCTGTGATTTGCCCGTCTCCGAACACTACGGCCCAATCATGGAAGCGCTCACAGTTTTGTTGGACATGGCTGGGGTCCAGGCCCAAGATGCGGTAGATGACACCTGTGTCCTTCTTAAAAAGGTCCAGACTGCTGTGGGCTGTCCTGTCATCCAACTTAAACTGCAGATCTACAGAGAGAAGATCAGAAATTATTAATAGATACTGACAACTACAGAATGTTCTCTAGAGCATGGTTTCCCAAACTCTGTCCTGGGCGCTAGCGCTAGGGCAAAAACCAAAACGTGCACCCAGGGGAGGCCCCAGGACCGAGTTTGGGAAACCCTGCTCTAGAGAGCAAATACATAGGCTTATGCTTGGTGAAAGTGGAGACATACATGGCATGCGATATCTAAAAACATTATTTAAATATTATCTTTATCTTGCATAATAGGCTAATAAATTGTTCATAAAACGTATTTATCTCCCCCAAAGCGTTATACGACATAACAAGGCCAAACTGGGTGTGTGATGTTCAGATGACATCCTGTCGGTAATGAATTGAAATCCACATTGTAAACCTTTGAACTACAATTGCTAATCAACACAATGTCACCGTAGCTGGCAGGACGTCGGGTATTTATGATCGGCATGACACATCTCGAAATTGACCACCGTCTGAGGATCGGGAATGCGGCCTACCGGTAACCACCAGTGATTTACTATCAAACCGATTTGAGTTACTGTATTCAACTACACTATAGAAAGCTGAAATGCAGTTTACTTGCCCTTCCAACCACAATGTAACCTAACTTTTCAAAACGATGTTCTGTTGTAAATTCTGTAAACTTGATGAAATGTCAGATTTCAAAACTAAAGTTAATTGACGCACGGAAACTTTCAAAAATAGGCCTACACATGCGTGGATGTCAAGGCAAAACAAGCAGGTGGTCAGAATTGTTATTATGCAATCTCCCCTGCTCGGACCTCAAGTTCGCTATGCGTTAAAACTAAGGCAAAGGGCGCGTCGCTCAGTGTCCCCTCGGGCCCTTGCAGTCACAGTGCAAGGTTCTACTCACTATCGCCAGTCGTTTGGGTGCTATACCATGTTGTCGCTGGAAGAAGCGTCACATGCATTTGTCTGTGGGACAGTGCACTCACAACTCGTCCTGCCAGGCGACAATAATGTCCCATGCCAAAGAGCATCGCCATCTTCACTTACACATCAGAGCCAAAGATGGTTGACAAAATGAAGGTAGTTTAAAATTGAAAACGGTTCTTCTTCTTCTTCTTTGGGGTTGTGTTGGCAGTTCGCATCCAATTTAAGGTGCGTACACCGCCACCTATTGTACTGGATGGAGTGTGAGGCCATTCACGGCCTACTTACATTAAATTATTTGTGATACGGTACTATAAAATTGGGGAAAAGGAAAAATTACCCTGCCAACTATTAGCCCTCTCTAAAAAAACAAAAAAACACCACCTCATTCCACTATTTACTCTATACAATCCTACTCCAGACCAACGGTCTGTGAGGACAGAACACTACCATTCAACACCCCCTGCAACTGTTCTGCAGTAAAACCTTATAATCCCAAGTATTTCTCTGCCGCTGCCACCACAACCTCTATTTTCTGTGACTTTCGATCTATTTCTACAGTACATCTGACAACCATAGCTATGAATGCCAAGAAACCTACCTTACTGAAGCGCATACACTACATGACCAAAAGTATGTGGACACCTGCTCGTCGAACATCTCATTCCAAAATCATGGGCATTAATATGGAGTTGATCCCCCCTTTGCTGCTATTACAGCCTCCACTCTTCTGGGAAGGCTTTCCACTAGATATTTGAACATTGCTGTGGGGACTTGCTTCCATTCAGCCACAAGAGCATTGGTGAGGTCGGGCACTGATATTGGGCAGTTAGGCCTGGCTCGCAGTCGGCGTTCAGATTGATTGATTGCATTTATTAGACCATTTTAGAAATACATACATAAGGGCTCTCCAGCCGGTGACGCCTCCACATACAATTTAAGAAAATCATCAAGGATAACACAATAAAGCTTAAAAGCTTATTTTTATTGTGGTCCTTTTGGAGGGGGAAGGGGGATGCAGCAAGGTTAGGCGGCAATTGTAGTGGCAACAGACAATGACAGACAAAGTTGTTGTTTGTTTCATAATGTGAGATATTTACTACAGTTCCATTTCCTAGTAAACATCTCCCTTGTCTCACATACCCTTAATATATAAAACAATCAATCCCTAATATATATAAGACAATCACAATATGATACACAACAGGCACCAAAAGGCAGACTATTTGCTATCCCGGGCATTTCCTTCTCAGCCACGTACTATAATCTTACGACTCACTTTTGAGACATGCTACTATTTAGCAATTTTTCAGTGAGAACTTGAAACTACCTATGGAGGTTATACGTTTCAAATTCTTTGGAAGACTATTCCAAACAATGGCAGCTGAGTACAATAAAGTTTATTTCCCAGTAAATCTAAAAGATACTTTCGTCTCCCGAGTGGCGCAGTGGTCTAAGGCACTGCAGCGCAGTGCTAGCTGTGCCACTAGAGATCCTGGTTCGAATCCAGGCTCTGTCGTAGCCGGCGCGACCGGGAGACCCATGGGGCGGCGCGCAATTGGCCCAGCGTCGTCCAGGGTAGGGGAGGGAATGTCCGGCAGGGATGTAGCTCAGTTGATAGAGCATGGCGTTTGTAACGCCAGGGTTGTGGGTTCGATTCCCACAGGGGGTAGGAAAAAAAAAAAAAAAATTATGCATTCACTAACTGTAAGTCGCTCTGGATAAGAGCGTCTGCTAAATGACTAAAATGTAAATGTAAATGTAAAAGGAACAACGTCAGTTTCACTCCTTCTAGTGGAATAGTTATGGTTATCCCGGCACAAGTTAAAGTAGTTACATACAGTTGAAGTCGGAAGTTTACATACACCTTAGCCAAATACATTTAAACTCAGTTTTTCACAATTCCTGACATTTAATCCTAGTAAAGATTCCCTGTCTTAGGTCAGTTAGGATCACCACTCTATTTTAAGAATGTGAAATGTGAGAATAATAGTTGAGAGAATTATTTATTTCAGCTTTTATTTATTGTATCACATTCCCAGTGGGTCAGAAGTTTACATACACTCAATTAGTATTTGGTAGCATTGCCTTTAAATCGTTTAACTTGGGTCAAACGTTTTGGGTAGCCTTCCACAAGCTTCCCACAATAAGTTGGGTGAATTTTGGCCCATTCCTCCTGACAGAGCTGGTGTAACTGAGTCAGGTTTGTAGGCCTCCTTGCTCGCACACGCTTTTTCAGTTCTGCCCACACATTTTCTATAGGATTGAAGTCAGGGCTTTGTGATGGCCACTCCAATACCTTGACTTTGTTGTCCTTAAGCCATTTTGCCACAACTTTGGAAGTATGCTTGGGGTCATTGTCCATTTGGAAGACCCATTTGCGCCCAAGCTTTAACTTCCTGACTGATGTCTTGAGATGTTGCTTCAATATATCCACCTTATTTTCCTTCCTCTGTCATGAATCCCGCTTCCTGAGTCTGTTTTTGCCTGAGTTGCCTGTTCTCTGTCTTGGAGTCTGTTTCCTGAGGTTCCTGAACGCACCCTGTCTGTTTGCCGGGCGACGAGGCTAGGAGGGATATCTCTAGATTACCTGCATCTCATCAGCTATTTGCACACCTGGTCCTGATCATCACCTCTCCACTTCATAAGTTCTGACCTGACATCCATTCCCTGCCGGATCGTTAGCCATGAACAGTATGTTGTGTCAGCGTATTAGCCTCAAGTTTACTAGAGTTAGTTTTGTTGTTCTGTACTTTTTGCTTGCCGTGTACTCACCTCCGTTTACTCTGTCTACAGTCATTCTCCCGGAACATTCATCCCACTCCTGCCTGGTCGTCGGTGGCTTCTGTGACACCATTGGATCTGCCTATTCACTCCCACCAACTCACCTCCGCTGCCCGCTCCGTCTCCTGGATTATTCTGCTTCCATATTTGAGTCTGTAAATAAATACTCACCTTCGTTCTACTTGCCTTGTCCTGGTCTGCTTCTGGGTTCTGCTTTAGAGAATCGTGACATCCTCATGATGCCATCTATTTTGTGAAGTGCACCAGCCCCTCCTGCAGCAAAGCACCCCCACAGCATGATGCTGCCACCCCCATGCTTCGCGGTTGGGATGGTGTTCTTCGGCTTGCAAGTCCCCCCTTTTTCCTCCAAACATAACGATGGTCATTATGGCGAAACAGTTCTATTTTTGTTTCATCAGACCAGAGGACATTTCTCCAAACAGTACGATCTTTGTGCAGTTGCAAACCCGTAGTCTGGCTTTTTTATGGCGGTTTTGGAGCAGTTGCTTATTCCTTGCTGAGCGGCCTTTCAGGTTATGTCGATATAGGACTCGTTTTACTGTGGATATAGATACTTTTGTACCTGTTTCCTCCAGCATCTTCACAAGGTCCTTTGCTGTTGTTCTGGGATTGATTTGCACTTTTCGCACCAAAGTACGTTCATCTCTAGGAGACAGAACGCGTCTGCTTCCTGAGCGGTATGATGGCTGCGTGGTCCCATGGTGTTTATACTTGCATACTATTGTTTGTACACATGAACGTGGTACCTTCAGGCGTTTGGAAATTGCTCCCAAGGATGAACCAGACTTTTTCTTCTGAGGTCTTGGCTGATTTCTTTTGATTTTCCCATGATGTCAAGCAAAGTTTGAAGGTAGGCCTTGAAATACATTCACAGGTACACCTCCAATTGACTCAAATTATGTCAATTAGCCTATCAGAAGCTTCTAAAGTCATGACATCATTATCTGGAATTTTCCAAGCTGTTTAAAGGCACAGTCAACTTAGTGTATGTAATCTTCTGACCCACTGGAATTGTGATACAGTGAATTAAGTGAAATAATCTGTCTGTAAACAATTGTTGGAAAAATTACTTGTGTCATGCACAAAGTAGATGTCCTAACCGACTTGCCAAAACTGTAGTTTGTTAACAAGACATTTGTGGAGCGGTTGAAAAACAAGTTTTAATGACTCCAACCCAGTGGCGGCTCCTGAAAAAATTCTCAGGAGGGGCAATTTTTCTGATGATTTAGGTGACCTACACACATTTTAAAAAAGATATGTCCAGCAACAACATGAAGACAGGGGCAGCATATAAATCAATACCAGAAGCATTTATTGACTGATCTGGGGAGATGGATTCCAGTTTCTGTGACAGATTATAAATAATCTCTGATGCCTTTGTTATATTAGCTTTTGGTTGAATGTACTGTCGTAGTAAATATATAATGTTATAGCTTGGTCTGACTAAAATCTTGTGCATGACCCATTTTGTGTTGGGCATTTGTTTTCAATCAATGCTGTTCCTATCCTATAACAATGGACAAAAGAGTCCTATCTTGTCAGCCTTGTCAGCAGGTGGCCAAGGACAACACCCACGCCATAGGTCTCTCAGTTCTTCCAACTCACGAGTTCTTGCTCTGAGGACACACACACACACACACACACACACACACACATCATCACTGATAACACACACACACACACACATCATCACTGTTAAACACACACACACACACACACAAAAAAATCCCCTCTCTTTAGGCTGAACATTTGAAGACAGAGAACCCGACTCAGAGCCAATGCAACAGTGGAGGGGACCTCGCCCAACTCATCAGGACCAATCAGAAGATCAGAACTACTAGATTCAACCTACATCATTTATTGTATAAAATGTCTGCACACAATGTTTTCGGGGCTCTCTTCAGATAGCTCCCTAAGAGTTTGACGAACGAGTCCGTGCACGCGATTCCAGATATCTTTACCTCTGAATAAACTGCCTTTATTATACCATATCCACCCTGTCCAAAGTCTCTACTTGGTCTCAGTTCTCCAGTAAACTTGTGATTATCAACAGTACACAACGGTAACAAACAATTGGGGGAACTCACGGGGCAGATAGTAAGGTCGCAGTGACACAGAAAGCAGTTCAATGTCGGGGGTACAGAGTCGCTCTCTTACCAGGATCGATTTTCCCTGTGACTGTGTCAGATCGCGGTCCGCTCTGACCAGGGTGAAGCCGGCCGGCTCCACTTCTCTGTCCGGTACCTGGGGACCATACTGTGCACAATCTTATGTACAAGACACAATTTAATCTGAGAGACTCTCTGCT